GACGACTAGCGCACTTCCCAGTCTTTAGGGTGTCTATAGCTAGGATTCCATCCAATTTGCGACAGATTCATGCGAATGTTCTAAAATCTGCAAAAAAACACAATATGTTAATTTTCCCATCAAAGTTGTTTCCATCAAATTGACAGCATCCAGTCTTCTTAGGTATGACACTACAAGCTTGGCACACCTGTATTTGGAGAGTTTCTCCCATTCTTCTCTGCAGATCCTATCAAGCTCTGTCAGGTTGGATGGGGAGCATTGCTGCACAGCTATTTTCAGGTCTCTCCAAAGAGGTTCAATCGGGTTCAAGTCCGGGCTCTGGCTGGGCCACTCAAGGTCATTCAGAGCCTTGTCCCGAAGCCACTCCTGCGATGTCTTGGCTTTGTACTTAGGGTCATTTTCCTGTTGGAAGGAGAACCTTCGCCACAGTCTGAGGTCCTGAGCAGGTTTTCGTCAAGGATCTCTCCGTACTTTTCTCTGTTCATCTTTGCCTCGATCTTGACTAGTCTCCCAGTCCCTGCCGCTGAAAAACATCCCCACAGCATGATGCCGCCACCACCATGCTTCACCGTAGGGATGGTGCCAGGTTTCCTCCAGACGTGATGCTTGGCATTCAGGCCAAAAAATTTAATCTTGGTTTCATCAGACCAGAAAATCTTGTTTCTCATGGTCTGAGAGTCTTTAGGTGCCTTTTGGCAAACTCCAAGCGGGCTGTCATGTACCTTTTACTGAGGAGTGGCTTCCGTCTGGCCACTCTACCATAAAGGCCTGATTGGTGGAGTGTTGCAGAGATGGTTGTCCTTCTGGAAGGTTCTCCCATCTCCACAGAGGAACTCTAGACCTCTGTCAGAGTGACCATCAGGTTCTTGGTCACCTCCCTGACCAAGGCCTTTCTCCCCAGATTGCTCAGTTTGGCCGGGCAGCCAGCTCTAGGAAGAGTCTTGGATTACATTTAAGAATTAATGGAGGCCACTGTGTTCTTGGGGACCTTCAATACTGCAGAATAAAAAAATGTGGTACCCTTCCCCATATCTGTGCCTCGACACAATCCTGTCTCGGCGCTCTACGAACAATTCCTTCGACCTCATGGCTTGGTTTTTGCTCTGACATGCACTGTCAACTGTGGGACCTTATATAGACAGGTGTGTGCCTTTCCAAATCATGTCCAATCAATTGAATTTGCCACAGGTGGACTCCAATCAAGTTGTAGAAACATCTCAAGGATGATCAATGGAAACAGGATGCACCTGAACTCAATTTCGAGTCTCATAGCAAAGGGTCTGAATACGTATGTAAATATGGTATTTCTGTTTTTTATTTTTAATACATTTGTAAACATTTCTAAAAACCTGTTTTCACTTTGTCATTATAGGGTATTGTGTGTAGATTTCTGAGGAAAAAAATGTATTTAATCCATTTTAGAATAAGGCTGTAACGGAACAAAATGTGGAAAAAGTCAAGGGGTCTGAATACTTTCCGAAGGCTCTGTAAATACGTAGTGCAAATAGAAATAACTTTTGCGGCTAAATTCCCATGTACCAAATACAAAATACAAGTTAATGGATTTCCATTGCATTTTCAACTCCAGGTTTTGCCACTGCAAATGTTGCTTAGGTATGGTATTGGCACATGCTCTCTAGCCAACAATTTTCAGATACAGTTGAGGTATTTTGTGTATTTTGGCTACCTAATGAGATTATTATGGACAAAAGTTTGAGATTATTTTTATTTGTCAAACTGCTGCCAAACATCATAATTTCCCCAGAATAAGACCATCAATATTTATTGAAAGGAGCATCAAGCTCATCACCATGCACTTTCACCACCCTGTGAAGTTCATATTTTATTTCATCTGTAGCCTAATAAACTGCATGCTTTCCCATGATGTCTTGACATTTTCTATCTGACATGTACTTTACTCACATATAAAGGTTGGATAGAAACCTGGTTAATGTCAAGCCATTTTGAGGATGCTGGAATTATAGGCTATTTTGGACCAACATGCACATGCCTACAGGAGATTTTTGAAGTAGCCTAATCAGATTAAAACATTGTGACTGGTTGTGTTTATGCCACATATATAAAAAAGTGAAATTATAAATATTTAGGCTACATTGAAGCGTTAGGTTCTAGGTGCACTAGGAATAGCCGCTAGAAGTGGAGAGGAGGCAGAGCCTGTTAAATTCCTGAATAACCAACCTGGTCTCAGAGCATTTCGTATTATTCTGTACGTAAATCAGCAACACATATTTTAGTATGATATGTTACGTTTCCTATGGTATGTATTAATTTGTGGATGTCCATCACCATAGCTGCGGGAAGTTGTTTTGAGGGGGGTACTGATATTTTTTTTGACCGCGCTACAGACGGTTATATCGTTCAGCTAGTAAAACATTTTTGTGAAGAAATAAAAAAGCATTATATTTTATATATATATATATATATATATATATATATATATTTCATTCTGATTTTTCAGGGGGCTGAACCACCCTCAGCAACCCTACTTCCAACGGCTATGTCCAACACTGATTTTACATGATATGTACAAAATAATACTAAATGCTCTGAGACCAGGTTGCTCTAAAACACAGAGCGCTGAAAGATCTGCAGACAAACGATAGCTCCACATTAGATGCGATGTGTGCAACTGAATCATGATTGGTAGGCTACACCATGCGTTTGTTCCTTATTTTTTTATAATGCAATTTCATTGTAACTGATCGCTATGGTAAAATCAAAAATAAAACACAAGTCATCATGGTTGCTAGGAGAAATCTGCTGTCACGACTCCCTCACGGCCATCTAGCCACTGCCGCTACTCTTTTCATCATTCCATTTGTTTTTTGTCTTGTTTTTCACACACACCTGGTACATATCCACTCATCAGTCTCTGTATAATTATTCCCTCTTCTCCCCCATGTCTTTGTGTGTTATTATTCCATGTGGAGGTGTCGCTAGCTGGTGTTGAGCATTATGTTACTTTATCGCCGGGATATTCACCCGTGTGTTTTGTTCTCCCAATACGCATTTAGGTCGCACTGTATTTGGTTTACGCATTGCTACGGACTGCTGTATTGGCCAAATAACCCTATTATTTGATTCTAACCTCCTGCGCCTGGCTCCATCCTACTCACCATGTTACAACAACATTGCAATGTTGACGCATGGTTAATTTTTTATAAATTTCGAAGCTATAGCATTAATTATTCAAATTGATACAAACAAATTATAGCTGATAGTACATTTGTTGAAAGTAATGAGCATTACAAACCAGAAACATGGAGATAAGAAAGATTTTGTGCACTTCTCGCCAGCTGTTATTTCCGCCCCAAGGCTGTGTTACTCCCGCACCGCCGGCAGGTTAAAAAGTAACGTTGCAGTAGTTCTGTTCTCGGCCTATTTAATTTAAACTAATTTACCCTAGAAATGAAATTACAGTTGCTTATGGTAGAGGACGTTTATACGTTTGTCATAAAATATGGTGTCTCTAGCGCTATCGATCTCTAAGTCATTAGGGGGGAAAAGAAAGTGTTACTTTCCTCCCAGTTCTCCCAAAAATGCTACAGCCCACACTTCTTTGCAAAAGAGGAATTGTTGTTCAATATTTTCTTCATCAATAGATGATTGTGTTTCTTTCTCCTCTCTTGGTATAGGCTCTGAGATTAGATAGTAAATTATATGATATTGCGCTCCTATCTCACAGCAATACTGCAGCCTAGGCCTAACCGTACTGGCCAGGCTACCGTTCTATTTACTTTCGAGCATGCTTGGCTATTGAATGAGCGAGGGATAAATGGTAGCCAAATATTTGTTGTGTAGCGGGAATAAACCAGTCATGTCAGAAAATATGATTAATTTTAGGTCCATATAATAAGTAACATATTACGCTACATGCTGCTATGCTATCTTCTTACCAACGGCAAATGCATCCGTTGTATCATTAGGCTATGTTTTGTTTTAAAAACATAATTATAGTTCCCGTGTGTCAAACACCTCAATCTCCCCCAAAATAATATTATTTGCTTGTAATACAATTTTTCAACCATTTGAAGTTGTGTGTACGCATAGTCTGAGATTTGCATGGAGATAGGCACACTTTCCTGTCAAATTCAAATTTGATAAATACCAACCTTTGTGGGAAAAGTGGTGCACGCAAGGTTTAGTATTTTTTGTGCATATGCACCTTTTATAATTGAGGCCCCAGCTCCGTTTAAGGTAAGAAGCCAAATCTATTTGATTTGTCAATTACCAAAGTCTTAATCTCTTTTTTTTGTTGGTCTATATCCTCAGCCATATATGTTTCTGTATTAAAATAAACTAGGTTTAGTGTTTCCTTTCTCCACATCCTGTGTTTGAGGAAGCTTCCTCATTTGGCTTACACCCTGATGGCAAGACTGGACGGATGCCTTTGACATTGACCAGAGCACAACTGTATTCCTTGCCATAGTTGTCATTGTTAGCTGCATGTTTATTGCCATTAATGGTGTTAGACAGTGATAGCAAAAAAAAGTTAAAGGTATTGTAGAGCTTACCTTGTATAGCATAGGGCTACTTGTTGTTGCACTCTCAGGGAAAGGGAAAACTCTGGTATTTGGTGACAAATGTCGTTGGCTCTGGCTGTATGTGGAGGAAAAATAACTTGACTCCCGGGACTGATGCATTTCTGTTTGTCATGTGACTCACAGACTGAGTAGGCTAGATCATCATGGACATTGACGGAAATAAACATGATTTGGCATAGCCGTTATCAAAACATAGGTTAGTTTGTCATTAGGTGTAGTGTTGTCATGCATCAGGGTCCACTGGTGAGTCATGGCTAGTTATTCTGCTGCCCAGAAAGGGTGTGGAACTCTACACAGTCAAACTACAGCAAAAGGCGGGGCTGTATATAGGCTACTGTATGATGTTTGTTTTCATAATTCTAATGTGCTCTTTTTTCTTCTTCAGGAGATAAGGAACTATTCTCTATGAACTTTGTCTGAGTGAGGACTGTAGAAATGCCTCCTAGGCCATCTTCTGGTGAATTTTGGGGCATCCATTTGATGCCCCCCAGGATCTTTGTGGACTGCTTGTTGCCAAACGGGATGAGCCTGACCCTCGAGACCCTCGAGTGCCTCCGTGCGGCCACGCTCATCACCATCAAACATGAACTGTTCAAGGAGGCCAGGAAGTACCCCCTGCATCACCTACTACAGGAGGAGACCTCTTACATCTTTGTCAGTGTTACGCAGGATGCAGAGCGAGAGGAGTTCTACTATGAAACTAGCAGACTATGTGATCTCAGGCTCTTTCAGCCTTTTCTGAAGGTCATCGAACCCGTTGGCAACCGAGAGAAGAAAATTCTGAACAGAGAAATTGGTAAGACTTAGGCTACTTATTACCCTGCCTCCTCTTTGTAGAGAGTAAAAAAACCTGTTAAAACAGGCTTACTAGATTATTAGATATCTTCTAAAACATCATATAAGTAAGTGAGTTTCTTTTGTTTCAGGATTCGCAATTGGTATGCCTGTGTGCGAGTTTGACTTAGTAAAGGACCCTGAGGTGCAGGACTTCAGGAGGAATATTCTTAACGTCTGTAAGGATTCAGTAGAATTCCAAGATGTCAACGGACACCATAGTTGAGCTTTATATGTTTACCCTCCCAACGTGGAATCGACACAAGAACTTCCAAGCACATCCATGGCAAACTGGAAAAAGGCATTATTGTATCAATTAAAATCAAGCAAAGTGATTGTAATGTCATGATGCTGCAAGATGCCTAAGGTAGATCTAGTGGGTGTCAAACAATCACTTTTTTTACTTTGTCAACACATAGGCTAACATGTTAATAAGCAGCAAACAAAATTATCCTTATTCCTTTTCATGATAATCTCTTTCAAGGTTGTTCACAGCCTGTGTGTGGAGTAATGATTATTCTCTTTTCTGTTGCTTATTTTATAGGTCAAATCATTGTAGTGATCTGGGTGATCATCTCTGACAACAACGACAAGCAGAAATACACCCTGAAGATCAACCATGATTGTCTGCAAGAACAGGTGATAGCCGAGGCCATTAGGAAGAAAACCAGGAGCATGCTGTTGTCCCCTGAACAACTCAAGATGTGTGTGCAGGAGTACCAGGGCAAGTACATTTATTTTTATTTTTATTTTTTAAATTTATTTCACCTTTATTTAACCAGGTAAGCCAGTTGAGAACAAGTTCTCATTTACAACTGCGACCTGGCCAAGATAAAGCAAAGCAGTGCGATAAAAACAACACAGTTACATATGGGGTAAAAAACATAAAGTCAAAAATACAACAGAAAATATATATACAGTGTGTGCAAATGTAGCAAGTTATGGAGGTAAGGCAATAAATAGGCTATAGTGCAAAATAATTACAATAGTATTAACACTGGAATGCTAGATGTGCAAGAGATTATGTGCAAATAGAGATACTGGGGTGCAAAAGAGCAAAATAAATAACAATATAGGGATGAGGTAGTTGGGTGGGCTAATTTCAGATGGGCTGTGTACAGGTGCAGTGATCGGTAAGGTGCTCTGACAACTGATGCTTAAAGTTAGTGAGGGAGATAAGAGTCTCCAGCTTCAGAGATTTTTGCAATTCGTTCCAGTCATTGGCAGCAGAGAACTGGAAGGAATGGCGGCCAAAGGAGGTGTTGGCTTTGGGAATGACCAGTGAGATATACCTGCTGGAGCGCAGACTACGGGTGGGTGCTGCTATGGTGACCAATGAGCTAAGATAAGGCGGGGATTTGCCTAGCAGTGATTTATAGATGGCCTGGAGCCAGTGGGTTTGACGACGAACATGTAGTGAGGACCAGCCAACAAGAGCGTACAGGTCACAGTGGTGGGTAGCGTATGGGGCTTTGGAGACAAAACGGATGGCACTGTGATAGACTACATCCAATTTGCTGAGTAGAGTGTTGGAGGCTATTTTGTAAATGACATCGCCGAAGTCAAGGATCGGTAGGATAGTCAGTTTTACGAGGGCATGTTTGGCAGCATGAGTGAAGGAGGCTTTGTTGCGAAATAGGAAGCCGATTCTAGATTTAACTTTGGATTGGAGATTCTTTATGTGAGTCTGGAAGGAGAGTTTACAGTCTAACCAGACACCTAGGTATTTGTAGTTGTCCACATACTCTAGGTCAGACCCGTCAAGAGTGGTGATTCTAGTCGGGTGGGCGGGTGCCAGCAGCGTTCGATTGAAAAGCATGCATTTAGTTTTACTAGTGTTTAAGAGCAGTTGGAGGCTACTGAAGGAGTGTTGTATGGCATTGAAGCTCGTTTGGAGGTTTGTTAACACAGTGTCCAATGAAGGGCCAGATGTATACAAAATGGTGTCGTCTGCGTAGAGGTGGATCTGAGAGTCACCAGCAGCAAGAGCGACATCATTGATATACACAGAGAAAAGTGTCGGCCCAAGAATTGAACCCTGTGGCACCCCCATAGAGACTGCCATAGGTCCAGACAACAGGCCCTCCGATTTGACACACTGAACTCTATCTGAGAAGTAGTTGGTGAACCAGGCGAGGCAGTCATTTGAGAAACCAAGGCTATTTAGTCTGCCAATAAGAATGCGGTGGTTGACAGAGTCGAAAGCCTTGGCCAGGTCGATGAAGACGGCTGCACAGTACTGTCTATTATCAATCGCGGTTATAATATCGTTTAGGACCTTGAGCGTGGCTGAAGTGCACCCATGACCAGTTCGGAAACCGGATTGCATAGCGGAGAAGGTACGGTGGTATTCGAAATGGTCGGTGATCTGTTTGTTAACTTGGCTTTCAAATACTTTCGAAAGGCAGGGCAGGATGGATATAGGTCTGTAGCAGTTTGGATCTAGAGTGTCACCCCCTTTGAAGAGGGGGATGACCGCGGCAGCTTTCCAATCTCTGGGGATCTCAGACGTTATGAAAGAGAGGTTGAACAGACTAGTAATAGGGGTTGCGACAATTTCGGCGGCTAGTTTTAGAAAGAAAGGGTCCAGATTGTCTAGCCCAGCTGATTTGTAGGGGTCCAGATTTTGCTGCTCTTTCAAAATGTCTGCTGTCTGAATTTGTGTGAAGGAGAAGCGGGGGGGGGGGGGGCATGGGCAAGTTTCAGCGGAGGGTGCAGAGTTGGTGGCCGGGGTAGTGGTAGCCAGATGGAAAGCATGGCCAGCTGTAGCAAAATGCTTGTTGAAATTCTCGATTATTGTAGATTTATCGGTGGTGATAGTGTTTCCTAGCCTCAGTGCAGTGGGCAACTGGGAGGAAGTGCTCTTATTCTCCATTGACTTTACAGTGTCCCAAAACTTTTTGGAGTTAGTGCTACAGGATGCAAATTTCTGTTTGAAAAAGTTTGCCTTTGCTTTCCTGACTGCTTGTGTATATTGGTTCCTAACTTCCCTGAAAAGTTGCATATCGCGGGGGCTATTTGATGCTAATGCAGTACGCCACAGGATGTTTTTGTGCTGGTCAAGGGCAGTCAAGTCTGAGGAGAACCAGGGGCTATATCGGTTCTTAGTTCTGTATTTTTTGAATGGGGCATTAAAGATTGAGAGGAAATTACTTTTAAGGAACAACCAGGCATCCTCTACTGACGGAATGAGATCTATATCCATCCAGGATACCTGGGCCAGGTCAATTAGGAAGGCCTGCTCGCTAAAGTGTTTTAGGGAGCGTTTGACAGTGATGAGGGGTGGTCGTTTGACCGCGGACCCGTTACGGACGCAGGCAATAAGGCAGTGATCGCTGAGATCCTGGTTGAAGACAGCTGAGGTGTATTTAGAGGGTATGTTAGTCAGGATGATATCTATGAGGGTACCCATGTTTACGGATTTAGGGTTGTACCTGGTAGGTTCGTTGATAATTTGCGTGAGGTTGAGGGCATCTAGTTTGGATTGTAGGATGGCCGGGGTATTAAGCATATCCCAATTTAGGTCACCAAGCAGTACGAACTCTGAGGATAAATGGGGGGCAATCAATTCACAAATGGTGTCCAGGGCACATCTGGGGGCTGACGGGGGTCTGTAGCAAGCGGCAACAGTGAGAGACTTATTTCTGGAAAGGTGGATTTTTAGAAGTAGAAGCTCAAACTGTTTGGGCACAGACCTGGATAGTATGATAGAGCTCTGCAGGCTCTCTCTACAGTAGATTGCAACTCCACCCCCTTTGGCAGTTCTATCTAGACGGAAAATGTTATAGTTGGGGATGGAAATTTCAGAATTTTTGGTGGCCTTCCTGAGCCAGGATTCAGACACTGCTAGAACATCAGGGTTGGCGGAGTGTGCTAACGCAGTGAATAACTCAAATTTAGGAAGTAGACTTCTGATGTTTACGTGCAAGAAACCAAGACTTTTGCGATTACAGAAGTCAGCAAATGATAGCGCCTGGGGAGTAGGAGTGATACTGAGGGCTGCAGGGCCTGGGTTAGCCTCTACATCACCAGAGGAACAGAGGAGGACTAGAATAAGGATACGGCTAAAGGCTTTAAGAACTGGTCTTCTAGTGCGTCGGGTACATAGAATAAAGGGGGCAGATTTCCGGGTGTTGTAGAAAAGATTCAGGGCATTATGTACAGACAAGGATATGGAAGGATATGAGTAAAGTGGGGGTAAACCTAAGCGTTGGGTAACAATGAAAGAGATAGTATCACTAGAGGCATCAATTGAGTCGGTCTCTGCGTGTACAAAGGAGCTATCTAAGGCAGGTTTAGCTGGGCTGGGGGATCTACAGTGAAATAGTACAATTAGAAATAACCGAAACAACAATAAGCTAACCATGTTTGGGCTGAAGCTAAACATAAACAGGATGTAGTACCGTAAAAAGGAACAGTCCAGCAGACATCAGCTGTATAGCTGAGTTATCATAAGGTCCGGTGAACAGCAATAGGATAGTTCGGAGGCTGCTAAAGCACTAGCAGGTAAGAGGCCACGGCTAGCGTGTGCTAGCGGGCCGGAGCTAGCAGATGGAATCTTCGTGGTCGACGTCGTCGCAACCACATCAGACGATTTCGTCGGCAGACCAGTCGTGTAGGATCGGTGGGGCTCCGTGTCAACACTAGGTGGTCCCGTCCGGTTGACAGAGAGGTAGATAGCCGGGAGATGGGCCTAGCTCAGGATGATTTGCCAGACCACAGCGTCCATTTAGTTGAAGCTAGCTGGTAGCGATGAATCCGGAGTTAAAGGTCCAGTGATTCAGTGATTCCGGCAGAAAAACTGATATGTTCTGGGTCGATAACGCGCTGTGCAGACTGGCCGAATATCTGGTGATTAATATCCAGTGATTGAATTAATCCCGCAGAAAAAAAATCCAATGTTCTGGGTGAAATACCGCTAACTGTGGCTAATAGCAAGTAGCTAGTTAGCTGGCTAGCTAGTTTCAACTGGAGATTCTAGATAAAAGGTAAGTCAATAATAGAATCCGTTCCACATTGAGTGAGGCGGGTTGCAGGAAAGTATATTTTGTAGAAGGATGAAAAGTCTGATAGGGAAATATGTACGAAAAATAAATAAAAAACAGGGTATTTACAGGCTATTTACAGACACACGACAAAAACAGAACTGCACTACTTCGCCATCCTCACTCAATGTGGAACGGATTCTATTATTGACTTACATCCTCAAAGTGTGTGGCTGTGACGAGTACCTCCTGGAGAAATGCCTTTGAGTCAATATAAGGTTCGTTGGGCCCGACTGTGCACTGCATGTAAACAATGCATACACATTGAAGCATAACATTAGTTCTGACTCAGGTCCATATTGCTTAATCATGTATGTATCTTAAAGGTCCAATGAAGCCATTACTGTGATTGTTTTCATTTAAAATGGTCAGAAATAAACAAAAATAGTTTCGTAGCAATGGGCAATTTCTCAAGCAATAATTTTGCTACTATTGCCTGGGAGTGGTCTGAGTGGGGAGGGGAAAACTGAAAACTAGCTGTAATTGGCAGAGAGGATTGGTCTATTAACTAATTTACTAGGCCAAAACTCCATCCCACCAAAACAGGCTGAAATTTCAGGCGCTTTTCACAATTTCACAGTATTATTCCAACCTCATAGCGTGAAAATATATATACATATATATACAGTGGCTTGCGAAAGTATTCACCTCCCTTGGCATTTTTCCTATTTTGTTGCCTTACAACCTGGAATTAAAATAGTTTTTTTGTTTTTTGGGGGGTTTGTATCATTTGATTTACACAACATGCCTACCACTTTGAAGATACACATATTTTTTATTGTGAAACAAACAAGAAATAAGACAAAAAAACTGAACTTGAGCATGCATAACTATTCACCCCCCCAAAGTCAATACTTTGTAGAGCCACCTTTTGCAGCAATTACAGCTGCAAGTCTCTTGGGGTATGTCTCTTTAAGCTTGGTACATCTAGCCACTGGGATTTTTGCCCATTCTTCAAAGCAAAACTGCTCTAGCTCCTTCAAGTTGGATGGGTTCCGCTGGTGTACAGCAATCTTTAAGTCATACCACAGATGCTCAATTGGATTGAGGTCTGGGCTTTGATTAGGCCATTCCAAGACAGAGAGCTCCTTGGTATTCATGGTGCCGCTTGCTTGGTGGTGCCCCTTGCTTAGTGGTGTTGCAGACTCTGGGGCCTTTCAGAACAGGTGTATATATACTGAGATCATGTGACAGATCATGTGACACTTAGATTGCACACATGTGGACTTTATTTAACTAATTATGTGACTGTATATATATATTTACCAGTAAAACTACTAGTCAAATGTTTGGACACACCTACTCATTCAAGGGTTTTTCTTTATTTTTACTATTTTTTACATTGTAGAATAATAGTGAAGACATCAAAACTATGAAAAAACACATATGTAGTAACCAAAAAAGTGTTAAACAATTAAAAATATATTTTATATTTGAGATTCTTCGAAGTAGACACCCTTTGCCTTGATGACAGCTTTGCACAGTCTTGGCATTCTCTCAACCAGCTTCATGAGGTAGCCACCTGGAATGCATTTCAATTAACAGGTCTGCCTTGTTAAAAGTTAATATGTGGAATTTCTTTCCTTAATGCTTTAGAGCCAATCAGTTGTGTTGTGACAAGGTAGGGTTGGTATACAGAAGATAGCCCTATTTGGTAAAAGACCAAGTCCATATTATGGCAAGAACAGCTCAAATAAGCAAAGAGAAATGACAGTCCATCATTACTTTAAGACATGAAGGTCAGTCAATCTGGAAATAGTCAAGAACTTTGAAAGTTTCTTCAAGTGCAGTCGCAAAAACCATCAAGCGCTATGATGAAACTGGGTCTCATGAGGACCGCCACAGGAAAGGAAGACCCAGAGTTATCTCTGCTGCAGAGGATAAGTTCATTAGAGTTAACTGCACCTCAGATTGCAGCCCAAATAAATGCTTCACAGAGTTCAAGTAACAGACACATCTACACATCAACTGTTCAGAGGAGACTGCGTGAATCAGGCCTTCATGGTCGAATTGCTGCAAAGAAACCACTAATGAAGGACACGAATAAGAAGAAGAGACTTGCTTGGGTCACGAAACACGAGCAATGAACATTAAACCGGTGGAAATCTGTCCTTGGTCTGATGAATCCAAATTTGATATTTTTGGTTCCAACCGTTGTATCTTTGTGAGACGCATAGTAGATGAACGGATGAACTCCACATGTGTGGTTCCCACCGTGAAGCATGGAGGAGGAGGGGTGATGGTGTGGGGGTGCTTTGCTGGTAACACTGTCGGTGATTTATTACATTTTCTAAATTTTAGTCATTTAGCAGACGCTCTTATCCAGAGCGACATACATTATTTATTTTATTTTTTCATACTGGCCCCCGTGGGAATGGAACCCCACAACCCTGGCGTTGCAAACGCCATGCTCTACCAACTGAGCTTCATCCCTGCCGGCCATTCCCTCCCCTACCCTGGACCACTTGTGCGCCACCCCATGGGTCTCCCTGTCATGGCCAGCTACAACAGAGTCTGGATTCGAACCAGGATCTCTAGTGGCACAGCTAGTGCCTTAGACCACTGCGCCACTCGGGAGACATTGAATTTAGAATTCAAATTCAAATCAAATCAAATTGTATTTGTCACATACACATGTTTAGCAGATGTTATTGCGGGTGTAGCTAAATGCTTGTGCTTCTAGCTCCGACAGTGCAGTAATATCTAACAAGTAATATTTAAAATTTTTACAACATATACCCAATACACAGAAATCTAAGTAAGGAATGGAACACTAGTCACTTTAATAATGTTTACATATCTTGCATTACTCATCTCATATGTATATACTGTATTCTATAATATTCTACTGTATCTTAGGCCATGCCGCTCTGTCATTGCTTGTCCATATATATTGTATATATTCTTAAATTCCATTTCTTAAAGTGGCCAGTGATTTCAATAGGCAGCAGCAGCCTCTAATGTGCTAGTGATGGCTATTTAACAGTCTGATGGCCCTGAGATAGAAGCTGTTTTTCATTCTCTCTGTCTCAGCTTTGATGCACCTGTACTGACCTCACCTTCTGGATGATAGCGGGGTGAACAGAAAGTGGCTTGGGTGGTTGATGTCCTTGATTATCTTTTTGGCCTTCCTGTGACATCGGGTGCTGTAGGTGTCCTGGAGGGCGGGTAGTTTGCCCCCGGTAATGCGTTCGGCAGACCGCAACACCCTCTAGAGAGCCCTGCGGTTGCGGGCGGTGCAGTTGCCGTACCAGGCATTTATACAGCCCGACAGGATGCTCTCAATTGTGCTCTCAAGGCACACTTAACCAGCATGGTTACCACAGTATTCTGCAGCAATACGCCATCCCATCTGGTTTGCGCTTAGTGGGACTATCATTTGTTTTTCAACAGGACAATGACCCAACACATCTCCAGGCTGTGTAAGGGCTATTTGACCAAGAAGGAGAGTGATGGAGTGCTGCATCCGATGACCTGGCTTCCACAATCGCCCGACCTCAATCCAATTGAGATGGTTTGGGATGAGTTGGACCGCAGAGTGAAGGAAAAGCAGCCAACAAGTGCTCAGCATATGTGGGAACTCCTTCAAGACTGTTGGAAAAGCATTCCAGGTGAAGCTGGTTGAGAGAATACCAAGAGTGTGCAAATCTGTCATCAAGCTGTCATCAAGGCAAAGGGTGGCTACTTGAAGAATCTAAAATATAAAATATATTTTGATTTGCTTAACACTTTTTTGGTTACTACATGATTCCATATGTGTTCTTTCATAGTTTTGATGTCTTCACTATTATTCACAATGTAGAAAATAGTAAAAAATAAAGAAAAACGCTTGAATGAGTAGATGTGTCCAAACTTTTGACTGGTACTGTATGTGTGTGTGTGTGTATGTATGTGTATATATATAACACAGGATAATCTGTTTTTTGACTGCACTGGGCCTTTAATCCTATTCCTTTTTCCTCTCAGTATGTGAGGAGTTGCATCATGCTTGGCAGGATGCCCAACCTCATGCTGATGGCAAAGGATAGCTTTTGCTCTCAGTTACCCATGGACAACTTCACCATGCCCTCTACACCCGGCGCATCTCCACTGCCACCCCCTACATAAATGGAGAGTCCTCCACCAAGTCCCTGTGGACCATCAACGGCACCCTGCGGATACGAGTGCTCTGTGCCACATATGTCAATGTGAACATTCGGGATATAGATTAGGTACTCCATTGGTTATTGTTTTAAATCACCTTTTTCACATTTGTTTACTGTTTCTCTGTTTCTATGATTGGCTAGGCCTTTTAACTCTTCTCTTATAGCCACTTTTCAGTAATTCATTTTCTATTTGACTCCTTGGTGTGAATATCATACTGCTGCTACTGCTGGTTGTTTTCACTGTTTTTTTTGGTCTATTCTTCCTGTTGTCCATGAATAGTTATGTGCGAACCGGCATCTACCATGGAGGGTAGCAGATGTGTGACAACGTGAACATGCAGCGTGTGCCATGCTCTAATCCCAGGTATTACACACACACAAAACATGTGGCTCATCAAGAGATATATTGTTGCTATTTATCCCATCGTAATGGTAATGGAAGAGGAGGTTGTGTGTTGAGCTGTGATTTTTACACTTGTAATTGGTTCAGGGTGATTCGCCGTGTCTGTGCTTGTTTCCTAGGTGGAACGAGTGGCTGACCTACGACATGTACATTTCCGACATCCCCCGGGCGGCCTGCCTCTGTCTCTCCATCTGCTCTGTAAAAGGCAGGAAGGGGGCGAAGGAGGCAAGCACTCAGTTTAATCGGACACCCCAGACCTTTAAGGGTAAAAATGATACCTACTGGCTAGAATGGTGTTCAATGGTCTTACCTGAATGACCCGAGGTATCCTCAATGTGCATGTTGAATTACTTATTGACTTGTGGCATGGAGCGATCATGGCTGTGTAACCTAGGCATGAAGACTGTAACCAACACCTGGGCTTAGTGATATCACCTGAAGGTCAGAGAGATGGGTTTTCGTGCCCATGATGAATTAGAGATAAATGCCTCTAAAGGCCATCCTTTGTGAGCAACCTACATTACACCTTGAAGCCAACAATTAACTTGAACTAAAACATAGTCTGTTTGTTTGCCTCCTATTCTTTTCAATTCAATTCAATTCAGTACGACTTTTATTCCCCAAGGGGCAATTAGGATGTTTGTGTTGTTGTTACACAAGTACCCCATATAACATTAACTCAAGCCTGTAGGAATGCATTCACTATTCTCTGTGGAAGGATGGCCATTCACAATATGTGTGTTAATAACCGAAGCCACCCTTTGACCGTGATCCTCTCCTCAGGAGCATTGTCCACTAGCATGGGAGAACGTCAACCTGTATGACTACACTCATACCCTGGTCTCTGGGAAGATGGCTCTGGACCTGTGGCCTGTACCCCACGCCCTGTGTCACGCCCTGGCTCTGGGGACTCTTTAATGTTGAGCCAGGGTGTTCGTTTCTATGTTTTGTGTTTCTATGTTGGCCGGGGTGGTTCTCAATCAGAGGCAACGTGAATCAGCTGTTGCTTGTTGTCTCTGATTGGGAACCATACTTAGGTAGTCGTTTGGCATTTGTGTGGTGTGGTATCTTGTTCCGTGTATGGTTTGTGTTTTGTTACCAAGGACTTCACGTATCGTTTTGTTGTTTTGTTCGTGTGTTGTACATCTAATAAATCATGTACGCTTATCACGCTGCGCCTTGGCCCGTTTCATCATGTAACGATAGTGACACCCTGTCTAGAGCTGGAGTTTGACTACTTCAACTGTCCTGTCAAGTTCCCAGACATGACCACTCTGGGGGAGCATGCTAACTGGACAATATCCAGGGAGCTAGGCTTCAACTACTGCCAGTCAGGCCAGGTAATAGCATACATGGATATATACTGAGTGTACAAAACATTAGGAACACCTGCTCTTTCCATGACATAGACTGACCAGGTGAATCCAGGTGAAAGCTATGATCCCTTATGGATGTCACTTGTTAAATCCACTTCAATCAGTGTAGATGAAGGGGAGGAGACAGGTTAAAGAAGGATTTTTAAGCCTTGAGACAATTGAGACATGGATTGTGTGTGCCATTCAGAGGGTGAATGGGCAAGACAAAAGATTTAAGTGACTTTGAATGGAGTATGGTAGTAGGTGCCAGGTGCACCGGTTTTAGGGGGTCAAGAACTGCAATGCTGCTGGGTTTTTCACGCTCAACAATTTTCTGTGTGTATCAAGAATGGTCCACCACCCAAAGGACATCCAGGCAATTTGACACAACTGTGGGAAGCATTGGAGTCAACATGGGCCAGCATCCTGTGGAACGCTTTCGACACCTTGTAGAGTCCATTCCCCCAAGGAATTGAGGCTGTTCTGAAGCCAAAAAGGGGTCCAACTCAATATTAGGAAGGTGTTACTAATGTTTTGTACACTCAATGTGTATGGGAGCTGGTCTGATGTGATGTCTGATCCCTTGCAGAGTAATAGAGTGGCGCGAGACCAAGCCTTAACAGACAGTGATAGCGAGCAGCTGAGACAGTTGTGCAACCAAGACCCCCTGTCTGAGATCACAGAGCAGGAGAAATACTTCCTCTGGAGGCACAGGTACTGTCAGAAGCAGCACTGTCACCACCATAGAACTAGAATCAGTAGTCACCACCACACTTTACCTGGAGATACCTGGACAGAACCTGCTAGTGAGGCCTTGACTAACATGTCTATTGTCGCTTACCAGGCAATATTGTGTAAATATACCTGAAATCCTGCCCAAGATCCTACTGGCTGTCAAGTGGAACTCAAGAGATGAAGTTACAATGTTTTTAACATTACTGAACCAACATTTTTTAAAGACATCTCAAAAATGGAGAATGAAAGAAAATGAATTCTGAAATTCTTCAGACACTTATCTGAGAACTCTTGTGGGAATGTAATCCTCTTCTACTGCAGCACTACCAATGTGATAGCGGTGAAGTTACTGTTGTTTTTCTTGCTCTTAGATGTATTGCCTTCTGAAGGATTGGCCAGCAATAAAACCGGAACAAGCCATGGAGCTGCTGGATTGTAACTATCCAGACCCAATGATCCGTGACTTTGCGGTTCGGTGCCTTGAGAAGTACTTGACCGATGACAAACTCTCTCAGTAACTCATTCAGTTAGTCCAGGTAGGATTTATTTGGCTTTGGCTTCCAGAGAGTGACTTTCCTCTCACATTTCTTTGATTGTTTGGACTGTTGTCAAATATAAAATGTCATAATGACTATAATAACTGGCTCATCTCCATACTCTCTTGTCAGGTTCTAAAATATGAGCAGTAACTTGATAACCCACTTGTACGATTTCTGCTGAAAAAGGCCTTGACTAACCAAAGGATAGGACATTTCTTTTTCTGGCACTTAAAGTGAGTTACTAAGAGTTACTTTACTGAGTCAATTCCATTACTTTCACAGAGTTGACTGAGTGCTAATGCCCTATAACTCATCCACTTTCACTGTCCACTATGTGCCCTAGATCTGAGATGCACAATAAGATGGTGAGCCAGCGGTTCGGCCTGCTCCCGGAGTCCTACTGCCGGGCCTGTGGAATGTACCTCAAGCACCTGAGCAGATAGGTGGAGCCATGGAGAAACTCATCAACCTCACCGACATCCTCAAACAGAAGTAGAAGGACGAAACGTAGAAGGTAACCCAGCACTCCCTCTCTCTCTCCAATACATGCAGGTTTATTGTGCAACATGATGATCTGTTAGAGAATGTCTGCTGTTTCAGCTTACTGTTCCACGTTTCTGTTTCACTTCCGAAACTGACATCAGTGGCTCCGTTTACCTAATGTTGTGAAAACTAGGCTTCACATTTCAAATTGGGTATCTATCTTCACAGCTTGCTCTGTGTGGCCCTTGCAGGTGCAGATGAAGTTCCTGGTGGAGCAGATGAGGACCCCAGACTACATGGATGCCCTGCAGAACTTCACTTCCCCCCTCAACCCTGCACACCAGCTGGGAATCATACACACTGGCACTCCTGTGCCTTACCCCAGCCTTAACATAGACACTATTGAAACTGTAGATGGGACATTCTGTTTCAATGGCTAAAATGGTCAGCAATCTCTCTTTAGTGGCCCTAGTGGGAATGTTACATTAATTTGATCTAAGAGAGCAGAGGTAACCTGTAAGCATTCTAGTTCCCCATCATAATGTTCTGCTCATGCTTGAAAATGTGAAATGTTATCTGTAAACCGATTGTCAACTAAAGTGCTCAGACACTGGGCCCCTCAGTGCGGACGACTTGCACTCTAACACTGTTCATCCAATTGATCAATAAAGCTAATGCAGCTGCCTGTGTTGCTTGTACCTTGTAAAATGCTCTGCCACCCCCAGGCTTGAGGAGTGCAGAATCATGTCATCTGCCAAAAGGCCACTGTGGCTCAACTGGGAAAACCCTGACATCATGTCCGAGCTCCTCTTCCAGAACAATGAGATCATATTCAAAACGGAGATGGTGAGTCCGAGTCAGGTTTCATATTCATTCTGCGTTCTAAACAAGCGCTTTGCCTTGTAATGTTGTACTGGATCAGTTGGATTAAATGGATGGAATGTATTTAAATTCTGCCATGGCACACTGAATATGGTTTCAGACTTGCGACAGGACATGCTAACACTTCAGATCATCAGAATCATGGAGAACATTTGGCAGAACCAGGGTCTAGACCTGAGGATGTTGCCGTACGGCTACATGTCTCTAGGTGACTGTGTGGGGCTGATCGAGGTGGTGCGGAGCTCTCACACCATCATGCAGATCCAGTGTAAAGGTGGCCTGAAGGGGGCACTACAGTTCAACAGCTCAACACTACACCAGTGGCTCAAAGACAAGAACAAGGGAGAGATGTTAAGAAACTATATGTTGTTTGGGCACTTTCCTTCACAATTGCGTTGGTTTGAAAATTGTAAATCGTAGTGTGTCACGGCTCAGATTTGACGTTGTAACTCTGTATGTAGGTATGACCTGGCCGTTGACTTGTTTACACGATCCTGTGCTGGGTATTGTGTGGCGACCTTCATCCTAGGCATCAGTGACAGACACAACAGTAACATAATGGTGAAGGATGATGGGCAGGTAGGACCTGAGTTCTCAACAAGCTATTGTCATGATTTTAATTTATTTTTATCCTGTGCTAATCTGGGATGTATTGCAGCTGTTCCACATAGATTTTGGCCATTTCCTGGACCACAAAAAAAATAATGTGGCTACAAGCGAGAGCGAGTTCCGTTCATCCTAACACAAGACTTCTTGATTGTGATCAAGAGAGTTTGAGAGGTAGCCATCTTTGTTTTCTCTTTCTTGTGTGAGAGGACGCATCTGTGGATGTCTGTCTAGTGCTTGAATGTAAATGTTGTGGCAGACAGCTAGTGTCTACACAGTAGGCAGCTATTATATAACAGTGGCCTGTGTGCTCTGTCTCCCTGTGCTCTGTCTCCCTGGGTGTCTGATAGGCTACTGCCTGCCAAGTTTCCAGACTCTCTCCCATACTACTGCTTTAACAAATGGACTGATATCAGTATCTACTGCTAAATCAACCATTTTCAACAGAGACTATATATTTCAATGGCCAAATCTATGCTTGGGAAGGATTCTTTTGAGGCTAGAGAATTCAGAGGGAACAAGGGGAGTGGTATATACTGATTCTTCTGCATTTTCCCTCCTATTCTGTTTCTCAGGTTCCAGGAGATGAGCTATAAGGCCTACTTGGCCATTCGGCAGAATGCCAACCTCTTCATCAACCTGTTCTCCATGATGCTGGGCTCCGGGATGCCTGAGCTGCAGTCCTTTGATGACATTGCCTACATCCGTAAGACCCTGGCACTGGACAAGACAGAGCAGGAGGCCCTGGACTGCTTCATGAAGCAGATGAACGACGCCCACCACGGCAGCTGGACCACCAAGATGGACTGGATCTTCCACACCATGCGCCAGCACGCACTCAACTGAGCCCAGGCAGGGATACCTTCACCCAGCCCAGGCCCACCGGACACACCTGCCAGCTGTGAGTGGCACATCCAAACCTTAATGAACTTATGGGTGATGCACAACCATCTTACTGAGCACTTAACAATCCAGAGCTATATTATTATTATTTTTTACTGTATTTGTTTCCTGCAGCAGCTTAACAACTAACTCGCCTTGTCTAAAACCGTTCCTTTTTTTACTATAGTGTTTTGTCCATACATTTTCTTTGAACCTTTTGTGTACACTTTTCTCTTCTAAGAGACACCTTCCCTGGGTATTTATTCTTCTTGTTCCTTTCATTTATGTAAAAGAGAAGAATTTGCCCGTCACCTTTACAGGGTCACGGGGTATAGATGTCTTCCTTTAACGTAAATGCCTTTTGAATATGCACGGTACATAGGAACTCCCCCCAAAAAACTGGGTATGAATTCAGTCATTTTAGATGTGCTGCCTACTCCTCCCCCAAAAAGTGATCCCATTGAAAGGCAGCACATCTGGAAGTAATAGTGTTACATTGTGGCCTAATGGCTCCATTTGGTGGTAATTTCTAGCACCACAGTTTTTGAAACCATTGTCATACTCCTCTTGGCATCATATTTAGCAGTTTGTGCAGATGTTGTTGTTTTTTTTGGGGGGGGGGGGCACACACACTGATTGACTGACTGACTGACTGACTGACTGCGATACTATGGAGAAGTACAGCAGTACTGGAAGTAATGAATGTGCTGTCCAGAAATCCTTGCAGTGTAGAAAGGAAGCCTTAATGTAGTTGACGTACAATGAGCAAGGGCTGGATTTCTCCCTCTTGATCTTTGAGGTCAATGGTAAAATAAATCTGTTGCTCAGTGAGACGCCTTCAGTTGAGCTTGGTCATAATGACTGTTGAGAAGTGCATTAAGCTAGACAATCATAGCCACGTCTTTTAACTGATGTTTTGATCATGTCAATGGTGCAGTTGGATTGTGAACTATACGAATGTTACATTGCTATAGGTTAGCATGGGGAGAATCGGGCAGTACATTGTGAACATAATACTTTATTTGTAAATGTTGGGAGGTGGATGAAGTCTGATCAGTGAATGTGAGATATTGAATGGCTGTTCTGAGGCAGCTAGTCAGCACTGTTTATTTATGTGGGCACCTCTCTCTCTGTGTGGACTAGACTCTTCTGCCCCCTGTTTGCTATTGTGTTCTTAGTGTAAACCTTTTGATAATAGTTGGACCAAGGCAACTCTGAATAGAAGCTGTGGGATACTGTTTTCATTCCATAATGGCCTCTTAAAGTCCAAACCTCTTTCAGAGGTGAAACCCTGTATTCAAGTGAAAGCCCTGTATTCTCATTCTCAATCATGTTCACAAGCATAACTCGGTGATATATGCTGGTGAGAAAAAAGGTGCCATCTGAAGAAGTGGCTGTTTATGGAAGATTTTTCCCCAACGAGAACAGATTTCTCAAAGTGATAAAGAAAAAAAATGCACTTTCCGTTTTCCAACAGTTTTTGTTGATTCAATGACAGCCAAAGTTTTAAGTGTCGATTTTTATAATGTTATGTGAATCGCTCAATGGTTGTATCTGCATTACCATAGAAAGCCTAAGGACTAACACATACACTATACAGTTGAAGTCGGAAGTTTACATACACCTTAGCCAAATACATTTAAACTAAGTATTTCACAATTCCTGACATTTAATCATAGGAAAAATTCAGTGTCTTAGGTCAGTTAGGATCACCACTTTATTTTAAGAATGTGAAATGTCAGAATAATGGTAGAGAGAATGATTTATTTCAGCTTTTATTTATTTCATCACATTCCCAGTGGGTCAGAAGTTTACACACACTCAATTAGTATTTGGTAGCATTGCCTTTAAATTGTTTAACTTGGGTCAAACGCTTCAGGTAGCCTTCCACAAGCTTCCCACAATAAGTTGGGTGAATTGTGGCCCATTCCTCCTGACAGAGCTGGTGAAACTGAGTCAGGTTTGTAGGACTCCTTGCTTGCACACGTTTTTTCACTTCTGCCCACACATTTTCTATAGGATTGATGTCAGGGCTTTGTGATGGCCACTCCAATACCTTGACGTTGTTGTTCTTAAGCCATTTTGCCACAATTTTGGAAGTATGCTTGGGGTCATTGTCCATTTGGAAGACCCATTTGCGACCAAGCTTTAACTTCCTGACTGATGTCTTGAGATGTTGCTTCAATATATCCACATAATTTTCCTTCCTCATGATGCCATCTAATTCGGCTCTCGCTCCCGAGGGAATATGATGGGACAGCTGCCGGGTGTAAGGGTTTCCTGCTCCAGGTGGAGCTCTACCTGGTAACCATCCACCCGGCTCCCTCGGGATATGAGAGCGTGTCCGCCCTCATCTCCTGTCTGTCGGGCAGAGCGCTGGAATGGGCCAACGCAGAGTGGGGTGGAATAGATGCTGAGTCCGTACGTTACGAGGATTTTACCCGCCGTTTCCGGGCAGTATTCGATCATCCGCCGGAGGGGAGAGCGGCGGGGGAGCGTCTGTTTCACCTCAGACAGGGAAGGAGGAGAGCACAGGACTTCGCCCTGGATTTCAGGACACTGGCAGCCAGCGCGGGATGGAATGAGAGGGCCCTGATTGACCACTACCGATGCAGTCTACGGGAGGACGTTCGTAGGGAGCTGGCCTGCAGGGACACGAATCTAAACCTGGACCAGCTGGTAGATTTATAGATCCGGCTGGATAACCTGTTGGCCACCCGCGGACGTCCGGATCAGGGTCCGTCCAGTCCATCCCCCAGCACTTCCGACTCCACTCCTATGGAGCTTAGAGGTGCTGATGTGGAGAGACCCGGCAAGGGGGTGGTCTCCTGCACCAACTGTGGCCGCAGAGGACACACGGCGGGCCGGTGCAGGAGAGGACCCTCATGGAATCGAGGCAGCAGGCAGGGCCCTGGTGGACCATCCCAGGCGAGTAGGCACCCAACTCACCCAGAGCTCCCTGTTGCTCACATGATGGTCAATGTAAATTTCCCTGGGTTTTCCCCACATTCCCAGCATAAGGCGCTCGTAGATTCCGGCGCAGCTGGGAATTTTATGGATAGGCTGGTTGCGCATAAATTAGGGATTCCTATATTGCCTGTAGATGTGCCCTTCCCCATACGTGCCCTAGATAGTTGCCATTTAGGGTCGGGTATGGTTAGGGAGGTCACAGTTCCACTCCGGATGGAGACGCAGTGGGGTCCTTATCGATTCTCCTGCGTTTCCCGTGGTGCTGGGGCTTCCCTGGCTAGCCACCCATGACCCCAGGATTTTGTGGCAACAGAGGGCTCTTAAGGGATGGTCACCTCAGTGCTCGGGAAGGTGTGTAGGTGTTTCCGTAGGAGCAACTACGGTGGAGAGCCCAAACCATGTCTCCACAATGCACATTCCCTCAAAATATGCCGATTTAGCTCTCGCCTTCTGTAAAAAGAAGGCGACTCAATTACCACCCCATCGATGAGGGGATTGTGCGATAGATCTCTGGGAGGGCGCTGCACTTCCCAGGAGTCACGTGTATCCTCTGTCACAGGAGGAGATGGTGGCTATGGAGACATATGTCACCGAATCTCTGGGACGGTAGTCCGTCTCTTTCTTAGGATACCGCCTGTCAGAGTCAGTGGTCGAGATGGAGTGTGACCGCATTTCAGCCGTGCGTAATTGGCCGACTCCTACCACGGTAAAGGAGGTGCAGCGATTTTTGGGGTTTGCCAACTACTTCTGGAGATTTATCCGGGGCTTTGGCCAGGTAGCAGCTCCCATAACCTCTTTGCTGAAGGGTGGACCGGTGCGCCTGCAGTGGTCAGCTGAGGCGGACAGGGCTTTTGGTCAGCTGAAGGCGCTGTTCACCTCGGCTCCCGTGCTGGCTCATCCGGATCCTTCCTTGCAATTCACAGTCGAGGCGGATGCGTCTGAGGCTGGGATAGGAGCTGTACTGTCTCAGTGCTCGGGTTCGCCTCCCAAACTTCGCCCCTGTGCTTTTTTTTTCAAAGAAGCTCAGCCCGGCGGAGCAAAACTATGATGTGGGGGACCGGGAGCTGTTAGCTGTTGTGAAATTTCATAAGGTGTGGAGACATTGGCTTGAGGGGGCAAAACACCCTTTTCTCATTTTGACTGACCACCGCAATCTGGAGTTCATACGGGCAGCGAGGAGACTGAACCCTTGTCAGGCAAGGTGGGCCATGTTTTTCACGCATTTTGTGTTCACCCTATCGTACAGACCAGGTTCCCAGAATGCTCAGGCAGACGCTCTGTCCCGGCTGTATGACTCAGAGGAGCAGACCAGGGAGCCCACTCCCATACTTCCGGCTTCTTGTCTGGTGGCTCCGGTGGTATGGGAGGTTGACGCGGACATCGAGCGGGCGTTACACACGGAGCCCACTCCCCCCCCAGTGTCCAGTGGGTCGTGTGTACGTTACGTCTGAGGTTCGCGATCGTTTGATCTATTGGGCTCACACGTCACCCTCTTCTGGCCATCCTGTCATCGGTCGGACAATGCGCTGTCTTAGTGGGAAGTACTGGTGGCCTACCTTAGCTCAGGACGTGAGGGTTTATGTTTCTTCCTGTTCGGTGTGCGCCCAGTGCACGGCACCTAGACACCTGCCCAGAGGGAAATTACAACCTCTCCCCGTTCCGCAACGGCCGTGGTCACACCTATCGGTGGACTTTGTTACGTATCTTCCTCTGTCACAAGGTAACACCACGATCCTGGTCGTTGTGGATCAGTTTTCTAAGTCCTGTCGTCTCATTCCTTTGCCCGGTCTCCCTACTGCCCTACAGACCGCGAAGGCCCTGTTTACACACGTCTTCCGGCACTACGGGGTACCTGAGGAAATAGTGTCTGATCGGGGTCCCCAGTTTACATCAAGGGTCTGGAAGGCGTTCATGGACCATCTGGGGGTCTTGGTTTCACCCCGAGAGTAATGGGCAGGTGGAGAGAGTAAACTAGGATGTGGGTAGGTTTCTGAGGTCATATTGCCAGGACCGGCAGGGGGATTGGTCAGTTTACATCCCCTGGGCAGAGATGGCACAAAATTCCCTCCGCCACTCCTCCACTGACCTGTCTCCCTTTCAGTGTGTACTAGGTTACCAGCCGGTCCTGGCACCATGGCATCAGAGCCAGATCGAGGCACCTGCAGTGGATGAATGGTTTCGGCGCTCTGAGGAGACATGGAGCGCTGCCCATGTACACCTGCAAAGGGCTATCAGGAGACAGAAGGCGAGTGCCGACCTCCACCGCAGTGAGGCTCCGGTGTATGCACCGGGGGACCAGGTCTGGCTCTCGACCCGAAACCTGCCCCTTCGCCTGCCCTGCCGGAAGCTGGGTCGGTGGTTTGTGGGGCCCTTTAAAGTCCTGAGGAGGTTGAACAAGGTTTGTTATAGGTTACGAGACAGAACGTGTCTCCTTCCTGAGCGGTATGACGGCTGTGTGGTCCCATGGTGTTTATACTTGCGTACTATTGTTTGTACAGATGAACGTGGTACCTAAAGGCGTTTGAAAATTGCTCCCAAGGATGAACCAGACTTGTGGAGATCTACAATTTTTTTCTGAGATCTTGGCTGATTTCTTTTGATTTTCCCATGATGTCAAGCAAAGAGGCACTGAGTTTGAAGGTAGGCCTTGAAATACATCCACAGGACCTCCAATTGACTCAAAGTATGTCAATTAGCCTATCAGACGATTCTAAAGCAATTTTCTGTAATTTTCCAAGCTGTTTAAAGGCACAGTCAACTTAGTGTATGTAAACTTCTGACCCACTGGAATTGTGATACTGTGAATTATTGTCACGAATACAGCCGAGGCTGCCCCTCCTCCTTGCTCGGGCAGGCTTTGGCGTTCGTCGTCACCGGAGTACTAGCTGCCACCGATCGATGTTTCTGTGTTACACTAGTCTTGTCTTTATTATTCACACCTGTTACCCATTATGCTTATTTGTTTCCCTATAATTACCTCTGTTTTCCCTCCTGGGTTTGTGCGTGATTGTCCGTTGTTTTACGTCGTTTGGTGAGCTGTTGTTCTGATCTTCCCTGCGTGGAGGGTTTGTTATGGTTTACTTTTGTTTTAGTAAATCCATTCATTTCTCAGTTCTGTGTCCTGCGCCTGATTCCGTTTCACCATTTCACCCAGACGTTGACAATTATAAGTGAAATAATCGGTCTGTAAACAATTGTTGGAAAAATTATTTGTGTCATGCACAAAGTAGATGTCCTAACCGACTTGCCAAAACTATAGTTTGTTAACAAGAAATTAGTGGAGTGGTTGAAAAACGAGTTTTAATGACTCCAACCTAAGTGTATGTAAACTTCCGACTTCAACTGTATATACAAAAGTATGTGAACACCCCTTCAAATTAGTGGATTCTGCTATTTCAGCCACACCCATTGCTGACAGGTGTATAAAATCGAGCACACAGCCCTGCAATCTCCATAGACAAACATTGGCAGTAGAATGGCCTTACTGAAGAGCTCAGTGACTTTCAATGCGGCACTTTCATGGGATGCCACCTTTCCAACAAGTCAGTTCGTCAAGTTTCTGCCCTGCTAGAGCTGCCCCGGTCAACTGTAAGTGCTATTATTGTGAAATGGAAACGTCTAGGAACAACAACGGCTCAGCTGCGAAGTGGTAGGTCACACAAGCTCACAGAACGGGACCGCCGAGTAACGAAGCACGTAGCACGTAAAAATTGTCTGTCCTCGGTTGCAACACTCACTACCGAGTTCCAAAGTGCCTCTGGAAGCAACGTCAGCACAATAACTGTTGGTCGGGAGCTTAATTAAATGGGTTTCCATGTCCGAGCAGCCGCTCACAAGCCTAAGATCACCATACGCAATGCCAAGTGTCTGCTGGAGTGGTGTAAAGCTCGCCGACATTGACTGGAGCAGTGGAAACACGTTCTCTGGAGTGATGAATCACGCTTCACCATCTGGCAGTCCGACGGACAAATCTGGGTTTGGCGGATGCCAGAAGAACGCTACCTGCCTTAATGCATAGTGCGAACTGCAAAGTTTGGTGGAGGAGGAATAACGGTCTGGGGCTGTTTTTCATGGTTCGAGCTAGGTCCCTTAGTTCCAGTGAAGGGAAATCTTAACGCTACAGCATACAATGACATTCTAGATGATTCTGTGCCTCCAACTTTGTGGCAACAGTTTGGGGAAGGCCCTTTCCTGTTTCAGCATGACAATGCCCCCGTGCACAAAGCGAGGTCCATACAGAAATGGTTTGTTGAGATCTGTGTGGAAGAGCTTGACTGGCTTGCACAGAGCCCTGACCTCAACCCCATCGAACACATTTGGGATGAATTGTAACGCTGACTGCGAGCCAGGCCTAATCACCCAACATAAGTGGCCGACCTCACTAATGCTCTTGTGGCTGAATGGAAGCAAGTCCCCGCAGCAATGTTCCATCATCTAGTGGAAAGCCTTCCCAGAAGAGTGGAGGCTGTTACAGTGAGGGTAAAAAGTATTTGATCCCCTGCTGATTTTGTACGTTTGCCCACTGACAAAGACATGATCAGTCTATAATTTTAATGGTAGGTTTATTTCAACAGTGAGAGACAGAATAACAACAACAAAAATCCAGAAAAACGCATGTCAAAAATGTTATAAATTGATTTGCATTTTAATGAGGGAAATAAGTATTTGACCCCTCTGCAAAACATGACGTAGTACTTGGTGGCAAAACCCTTGTTGGCAATCAGAGGTCAGACGTTTCTTGTAGTTGGCCACCAGGTTTGCACACATCTCAGGAGGGATTTTGTCCCACTCCTCTTTGCAGATATTTTCCAAGTCATTAAGGTTTCGAGGCTGACGTTTGGCAACTTGAACCTTCAGCTCCCTCCACAGATTTTCAATGGGAGTAAGGTCTGGAGACTGGCTAGGCCACTCCAGGATCTTAATGTGCTTCTTCTTGAGCCACTCCTTTGTTGCTTTGGCCATGTGTTTTGGGTCATTGTCATGATGGAATAACCATCCATGACCTATTTTCAATGCCCTGGCTGAGGGAAGGAGGTTCTCACCCAAGATTTGACGGTACATGGCCCTGTCCATCGTCCCTTTGATGCAGTGAAGTTGTCCTGTCCCCTTAGCATAAAAACACCCCCAAAGCATAATGTTTCCACCTCCATGTTTGACGGTGGGGATGGTGTTCTTGGGGTCATAGGCAGCATTCCTCCTCCTCCAAACACGGCGAGTTGAGTTGATGCCAAAGAGCTCGATTTTGGTCTCATCTGACCACAACACTTTCACCCAGTTCTCCTCTGAATCATTCAGATGTTCATTGGCAAACTTCAGACGGGCCTGTATATGTGCTTTCTTGAGCAGGGGAACCTTGCGGGCGCTGCAGGATTTCAGTGCTTCACGGCGTAGTGTGTTAACAATTGATTTCTTGTTGACTATGGTCCCAGCTGCCTTGAGATCATTGACAAGATCCTCCCGTGTAGTTCTGGGCTGATTCCTCACCGTTCTCATGATCATTGCAACTCCGCGAGGTGAGATCTTGCAGGGAGCCCCAGGCCGAGGGAGATTGACAGGTCTTTTGTGTTTCTTCCATTTGCTAATAATTGCACCAACTGTTGTCACCTTTTCACCAAGCTGCTTAGCAATGGTATTGTAGCCCATTCCAGCCTTGTGTAGGTCTACAATCTTGTCCCTGACATCCTTGGAGAGCTCTTTGGTCTTGGCCTTGGTCTCCTATTCTCAGCTCGTTACCTGTATAAAAGACACCTGGGAGCCAGAAATCTTTCTGATTGAGAGGGGGTCAAATACTTATTTCCCTCATTAAAATGCAAATCAATTTATAACATTTGTTACGTGCGTTTTTCTGGATTTTGTTGTTGTTATTCTGTCTCTCACTGTTCAAATAAACCTACGATTAAAATTATAGACTGATCATTTCTTTGTCAGTGGGCAAACATACAAAATCAGCAGGGGATCAAATACTTTTTTCCCTCACTGTAAATGGTGTAATTGTTATTTAACAAGGTTCAAGGGTCATCTTTGTATACCTCTTTATTTAATACAGTACTTTTATTCTGACAGGTTTATAGACATATTTAATTATATTTTTCATATACTGTATTTTGTCATTACTATCAACAACGTTACTATAATTGTATTATTACACAGCCATCTTGCATGAGAGTTGGTTAAAATAATATTCTGCTAAGCAGCTATAAAAACAGTTTGGCGCTATAGGAACAACTAATAACTACTAACTTGTTCGACATTGCAGCCGACAGCGCGGGTGACTGCCGACTCACTGATCTACAAATCACCCTGCATCATAAATAACGTTATTGTTATTTGTAGATCAGTCAGTCAGTCAGAATTTACTCATGTTACATCACGGTTTTGATGCTCTCGAACACGGCCACAGCTTTTACGAGAAACAGAAAGTTGACGGAACAAAGGTTGTTGTTACGGTATACAGCGCCCACCTCCATCATTTTGAACTCTTTTGAATGAACACCAAGAACCGACGAAAGTCATTTTGAATCCACGTTCTTGCTGTATGCTGCTTGTACGGTTTCTAAGAAGGTACAGTAAACTTCCCATCTTTCTCCCCCTCTATTTCCCTCTTTCTCCCCCCCTCTCCTTCCCTCCCTCTCTTCCTCCCCTCTGTCTTTTCCCCTTGTTCCCTTCCTCCATCAGGATGTCATCTCTTCCCCAACCTCGTCATGTGATCTGGGAGACAGAGGAGCTGGTGGCCTACCTCCACCCCCGGCCATGGACCCCAGGCACTACCATCCTGGAGCCGAAGACCCCCAGGGGCCCCGGTGAGGAACCAAGCCCAGCTCAGGGCAGTCTCTTCAGGCTGGGGGAGGGAGCCTACCTGGGGCTGCTGCTGGGGGCCAGGGCGGTGGGGGCCCTGCTGTGTGAGAGGCTGGGGGTGAAGAGATGTGCCCTGGTCTGCAGGCCCTGCCCAGACAGTCATAGTCCACCCCAGATCCGGGTGCTGCCACTACACGGCCTGGACAGCGAGTGGCGCCCCCACCTGGCAGGAGACGAGCACTACACACACCACGACCCCGGCTACGTCACCTCTAAAAGCGGCCCTCGCTGGACTGACACATCCCTCCAGGAGATCCAGGCCGAGATCCGGGCCCAGCTCCCTGCCCCCGATGCCCTACCAAACCTCACCTTCCTGGGGGAAGACCCTTCGCACCCCGGCCTCTTCTCCCGGATCGTCCGTGGAGAAGAGCAGCAGTGGAGGGTGTGGGAGAATGAGGGACACGTGGCGTTCCTCAGCCCCTTCCCCAACGCCCCCGGTCTCACTGTACTGGTCCCCCGTCGACCTCTGACCTCGGATATATTTAGACTCGAAGAGGCAGATTATACAAGTTTGGCACTTGCAACCCGGAAGGTTGATGGGGGCTCTACCACCACCACCAGCAGCTCTCCACCTCCTCAGGCCCAGTTTAGTGCCACCTATCCTGGGTTCGTAACCTCGGAGGATGGCCCTGAGGCAAGCCTGGAGTGTTTGAAGGAGTTACAGGCCAAAATCACACAGTAATGATAATGTAATGTATCGACATGTTATGAAATATGTAATATGTATGTAACTGCATATTATGAAGGATCTGAGACTGGGTGATTATAGTATTGATGTATTGCATTTGACTACATACATTCCAATTGCATTATTGGTTGACTTGGCTCCCGAGTGGCGCAGTGGTCTAGTAGCTGTGCCACTAGAGATCCTGGTTCGAATCCAGGCTCTGTCGTAGCCGGCCGCGACCGGGAGGCCCATGGGGCGGCACACAATTGGCCCAGCGTCGTCCAGGGTAGGGGAGGGAATGGCCGGCAGGGATGTAGCTCAGTTGGTAGAGCATGGTGTTTGCAACGCCAGGGTTGTGGGTTTGATTCCCACGGGGGGCCAGTATGAAAAATAAAATAAAAATAATGTATGCATTCAATAACTGTAAGTCGCTCTGGATAAGAGCGTCTGCTAAATGACTAAAATGTAAATGTAAATGTAATAATACTTCCAACTTCTAACCAGTATACTTCGTGTTTCAGTTTGTTCCTCAGTTAAATACTTGCATTGTATCCAGACTGACTAGAATTATTTGAGTGTTATGTGACAATGTACAAATAAACTTCTCAGTTAAGTACTTGCATTTGTGGATAGTGTGTTGCTTTACAGAACAACAGCACACAGCACAATTTAATACATTTAGTTATTTATTTTTTTGTATCAAATGGCTAAACAGTCAAGATGCACTTTGACAAATTTGAGGGAATACAAAAGCAAGATTGAACTGCATTGTCAAAAAGAGATAATAAAAGCATGGTTCTTTTTTATTTCAAATCAGCAGGTGTGCTTATGATACAAATGCACTATAGAGCATGCACTTATTTTTTCCACAGCAACTCTAAATCACTTAAGCCCCCCTCTACCACTGGCAAAGGTGTTGTGCTTTCCTCCTGTTCAGGGCTCGGGATTGTTGGGGGGACAAACTGCTTCCAGGGCTTGGAGGGGCAGTGGAAGGGGCTCTCAGCAGCAGTGGGGGCCACAGAAAGCAGGGCTGACTCTGGGTCTGTTCTAGCCATGGTCACAGCAGTCGGGCTGCGCTCCTGAGACTCCTCTGATGACTCCTCTTTGGCTGAAGCAGTAGAGGCTTGGGTTGTTTTAACTTCATCAAAATTGTTGAAGTTCCTCAAGGGAGACCATCCAGGAGGTCTTCTTCTAAAGACTTCCTGTGAATGGAAAGATTTTTCATGTCAAAATCCTCCCTCATTTAGCACAAATCCCCCAAATGTATAGCTACACATCACCACCCTATTAATTTATCCGATTTTCTGTGCATCATTAATATGCTGTAGTAGTATAGTTTGCACAATGTCTCACAAAAGTCTCAAGGGGACCCGGTGCACATTCCACATTTGCTTCTGCAGTCTCATGCCTCCAAGGTGCCATATCTACTGTGGAATTGCAGTGAGCGAGTTCCTAGAGCGATAGCATACAAGATGATAGCGATGCCAGGGACAAGCATTCATGATACAACACATTACAGTGAAATGTTATGATACCACATTGATACCACAAAAGTATTATAAAAAGTATTTCATTTACATACAGAAGTATTACAACACCAGAATCATATATTAGATCAAATACAGTAGGCTATTCAAAAAATACTATGAGCTCCAATGTAGTTTACCACATCAGGATCTGGATGACATTCATCGTTCAGCTCTTTGTGGTCCGCTTTGGAGCAATTGCTTTTCCTCATATCGAACATCAGTCTATACCTGAATCCAGAAACCACCTGAGAAGAGCATGTGAAAGAAAGTAGAAGTTATTCAAATACAGTAGTTTGAGTTACGAGTGTCATTCCAGAGTTCGTTGGGGGGAGGCCCCAACGAACTCTGGAATGACACTCGTAAAGCAAACAAGTGCATTGCAGTCCAACGGTCACAACCATAGAGATACATTTGGCCACACGCACCACACCTCCCAATGCCAGAACCAAGGTGATGATTTGGCATATTTCCATTGGAAGTAATGAGCAAAGATACTTATCTTCTTACAAAATATGATATTTTTTCTAAATCTCTGTCTCTTTGTGTTGTTTGTCATTGTTGTAAGGCCCAATACCCCTGATCCCAACTGGTTACTCTGTTACTTGATTCACACTATAAGGCCCCAACCGTACAATCCTGGCTCTGATATTTTCTTTTCACATGGCCCTTTACAGCATGGGTTCAGCAGCTATGGTGGATGCGTAACCAGGCCAGCCCTGGCCTAGTTCAGCTCAGCATGGTTTGGCTTGGTTGGGCCCAATAGTGTGAATCGGGCATGAATTGAATTAGGTGTTTAGAGTCTTGGTGCTCAACCTTCCACCAGAGGGTGTAGTTGGCTAGCCTTTGCAACTGATTTACATGTACCTGTCTAGTAGCGAAACCAACACTGTTCAGGATGAAGTGGTGGCTGGAGTCAGAATCAGCATTGAACCTGGTGATGGAGTATGTCAAGGGATCCTTCAGGTCCTCACTATCCACATCAATCTCCCTAGGACACCCCAGACATGTGGTGCGTTCAGCAACAACAGGGGCCTCCACTGGAAGACAGAGAGGGTTGTCAGTATCTCAGTTTGTCTCAGCTGCTCAATTGAAAATGATTTTAGCCACATTTTTTCCAGAATGTTTGGGTGATTCGAATCACTGAAAATAAATATTCTGCAGCATGAGTCATTGTATGGTCAATATTTATTGGGTTGTCTAGAAATAGACCTGTCTGTGTTGTATGGCTTGGTCTAATTGGTGTGAAGTATGAAAATGTATGCACTCACTAACTGTAAGTCGCTCTGGATAAGAGCGTCTGCTAAATGACTAAAATGTAAAATGTAAATGTAAGTGAAAACGAACTACCTGGGTCACAGAAAACTGCCAGGACCTCTTTAGATGTCTCTGACATGTGGACTGTTGCTTTACAAGGCCTTGGCACCTGATAAACAAACAGAAAAAGTGAAAAAACTGAGATTGCCCAGAGATGTCATCTAATAACAATACATTTTTCACCTAGTGAAATTATTCAAGTGTACAGTTACCTTGTTCCCGGTGGGGAGGTAGTCACAGTCTCTCCAGACTTTGTCTCCCCCTGCTGGACAGTCAGTGACCCTGCTATTGAATTCCACAAAGTACTGAGTGCACGAGTCATTCTGAGCCTACAAGAACGGAACGCAAAACTGGACTGTGACTCGGTGTAGGAATGTTCGTATTCTCTCTTCATTAACAGAATGAACTCAAGATGTATGCAAAAAGGACAGGATAAATAACTGAATATAAAATTACAATATTCTAAGCCAATCACTAAGCCACTTACCTTTGAGGACTCCAGAATCTGGTAGAGTGCTAGTTGATTTCCATGAGAAAGCTTCTCATTATACTTTACTAGGGCCAAGTCCACAGCTGCCTCCACATCTTTGTCATCACAGAACGCCAGGATCTGCTCTGGCTCCAGCTCCTGCCCCTGTCCTGGAGCCCAAAGCTGGAGAGAGAACACCACCAGCACACACAGTCTCACTCCAAGCTTCATAACGAATACATGTATGTCCCAGGTCCAGAGAGATGAAAATGTGAGACCAGATCTCGTTCCCTACTGGACTCCTGCCTCTGAAATTATTGACTGTAGTCTGTTAGCCTACACAAACCTGTTTAAATAAAATGAGACTGGCAGAAAGGCATCCAGGCAGTCCCAGTGACAACAGAGTAAATGTTTACTTATCAGCTGTCACCACCATGCCTGCACTCTTTAAAAATCAATACCTTTTCTGAGTTGTAGAGAGTTTATGGCATGCAAGAAAAATAATGGACATGTTTAAGTATATATTATTCTCCTACAGTCACTTGTTGTGATACCAGTTTGTTTGACCCATCTAAAAAGATCCAGGCATGACTGATAACTAACTATGTAAGAGTCAAGTGTTAGAGTCAACTATGTAAGAGTCAAGTGTAAGAGTAATCTATGTAAGAGTCACATGCCTGAGGAGGGTTTATTTTCCTGTCTCCTCTATACTTTAAGGAATTAAACCTATCTTACTGTGCTGTGAATGTGCTGGTCAAATGACACATTATCACAAATGAATTACCTGTAATAGCCACTTCATGCCATGCAATGACTATATCAAAACCTTTTGGTCTAATGAAAACTAATTGTCTATCCCTAAAGTAAACATAAATATTAGTTTAGTTTTAAGTGTGTGTCATAGGGTAATGCAAAAGTAAAGGTCCATGTTATTTAGATGTAAATGGAGGGGGAATAAGACAACCTCTCTCCCATAATAAAGACTTTGGATGGGTAAACATGACCCCTCACCAGACACTTTCCCCAAATTATTGTCAATGAAAAGTTAAGCCTGACCTGCATTGACACTGCTGCAGTTCTGTGTATTTTAGGAGATACTTTGTCCCTCTCTACCTTTGACCCTGAATGCCTCCAATGCCTGCCTACGCACCGTTTGATTTCCCCAGCTCAGCCATTCCCAGAAACCAACTACAGCTCTGGTGCAATAATAATACGAATAATAATACAAATGCAATCTTTGATAAACCAATGGAAAACATATTTTCAATTTAGAGGCTAACATCTTTAACTCCTGGCTAATGCAAACAAGTAATTGTCATAAAAACCGCTAATTCAACACAGATGCCAGATGGGCTGGTCCATTTTTAACCTAGTAGGCCTGTCTAATTTGTGGGGGGTTTTGCGCAAAATTATCATTATCTGGCTAATAATGTGGGCCTCAAGGAAAAACATTGTCCAGTGTGGGGGCCTCAGGGAAAAGAATGGGTTGGTGTTGGGGCCTCAAGGAAAGAAATGGGCAGTTTTTTCAGGAATACCAGAACCGATTTCTGGTACCAGTCCACTCTGATTCAACATATGACCTTTACATGAACCAACCTACTTTTATGCTATGTTTTTAGGTAAAGAGTTGAGTAGACACAAAACAGAACATATCTGACCTGCAACAGCAAAATGTGCAGTTAGTTACATCATATATTGTCTATCAGCCATTTAAATAATTTGAAAATAAAACCCTCTTTGCCCCTCCCCTTGAAGGTGCTCATCACTTGAACAAGACGTTTTGGTCTTCTGGAGATGAATTCACCACACCACATCACATCTCACACCCCACATTTGGTGACAAACACCTAACTGAACACACAAGATGACAGACAAACTCAGCAACAACATGCATTGTGAAACAATACTTTTTCTACGGGTTGCGATCATAATGGGTGAGTTAACTTGCACCTTTATCTAATAATATCTAATAATGTCTAATCTATTCAGTGTTAGTGGTAGTCTAATTAAAACTGGGCAATGCAGCAATGCAGTTAACCATGCAGTATGTAATCGTTAATCTGCAAACAGAATAATGCAGGCCATTTGAATCTGATTTTGATTCTGAGATGATAACAGTGGTATTCTATAACAGTGGTCTGTGCACTCTTAGAAAAAAAGGTGCTATCTAGAACCTAAAAGGGTTCTTTGGCTGTCCTTATAGGATAACCCTTTGAACAGTGGTGGAAAAAGTACCCAATTGTCATACTTGAGTAAAAATAAAGATACCTTAATAGAAAATGACACAAGTAAAAGACACCCAGTAAAATCCTACTTGAATAAAAGTCCAAAAGTATTTTGTTTTAAATATACTTAAGTATCAAAAGTCAATGTAATTCCTAAAATATACTTAAGTATCAAAAGTAAAAGTAAAAGTATAAATCATTTCAAATTCCTTATATTAAGCAAACCAGACGGCACGATTTTCTTGTTTTTTTAATTTACGGATAGCCAGGGGAACAATCAGACATAATTCACAAACAAAGCATTTGTGTTTAGTAAGTCCACCAGATCAGATGCAGTAGGGATGACCAGGGATTCTGCTAAGCATTCAAAATGTAACGAGTACTTTTGGGTGTCAGGGACATTTTATGGAATAGAAAGTACATTATTCTCTTTAAGAATATAGTGGAGTAAAAATTAAAGTTGTCAAAAATATAAATAGTAAAGTAAAGTACAGATACCCAAAAAAACTACTTAAGTAGTACTTTCAAGTATTTTTACTTAAGTTCTTTACACCACTGCCTTTGAAGAATCCGTTTTGGTTCCAGGTGGAACCCTTTTGGTTTCCATCCCTTTCCATAGAGGGTTCTACATGGAACCCAGAAGGGTTCTACCTGGAACCAAAAAGGGTTCTCTTATGGGGACAGCCGAATAACCTTTTTGGAACCCTTTTTTCTAAGTGTAAAACATTGCTCGTAAAACTTCATGACATTTTACAGATATAATCATGACCACTTCAACACATGTAGTAATACCAAACAAGTTGTTAGAATGGCTTATTTAGGTTTATTGTAAAAAATAAGAAACTGAAACCAAGGGGATCTGTAAGTGTGCTTGTGAATGGTGCCTTGTCTTGTGGTTTCTGTAACCTGTTTCACTTTAGACTTCACTGCATTGCCCTTTACAGGAAACAGCCTCATGACTGCTGCATTGGACCCCACCATCATCACCACAGAGTCTGGCCTAAACAACCTTAAGCCCACTGAGCAGGCAAACCTACCACAGAGGCCTGTCCTTCAGCCCAATGAGACTGTTCCTGTCACCGGAAACTATGTGCTGAAAGACCCTGCAGGCATGCCATGCATCAAAGTCTCCATGGGAGTGGAGTACATAGTTATTGAGAAGAAGGTAGGGACAGTCACTTTCTCAGCACTTTTTGTTTAGTGCATTTCAGCACTTCTTTGCAGGGGTGAGATCTCATGTGGGTTGCTACCTAAGCTGTGAAAAACAGACAACATACATTTTTATCAAGGAGAGGCTGCATAAAAAATACAAACATTATACAGATTAATGTTTAGTCATCCATGCAATATTATTAATTGATACTATATTATAAAGTAGCTGTAAATCCTACCACATCACTTGTTTGCTATTGTTTTTGTCCTTTTCCAATCCAATGGTATGTTGATTCTTATTTTTTTCAGAAATCTTCCTATTTCAACGTAGACCCTACCACCACCCAGACTACGGGTAGATGTGGTGAAAAAGAGGCAGTTCTCTCCCTGGCTATTCTAGGAGAGGGAGGCTATCTGAATCTCACCTTTGAAAAGGTACACATTCAGAAACTTCCATTTTCTCATGTCACACATGATTTCTGACACATATGATCACATAACTGTAAAACTTTTTTCGCCCTATATCTTTCTGACTCATACTGAGATAATGACTGTGAATTCACAGGTTGACCACAAGACTTTTCCATAACGAGCAGAAGCAGAGCCATAGATTATACATGGCTCTCAGTAGAAGCATACTCATTCAAATACATTTGCATGATGATTTGCATGTTTGGCTTTGAATAAACAGTTAAGTATGTGTCCTCCCACAGGAAGGAAACCTGACCTATGTGTCAAAGATCAGAGCTAATTTGGCACCAGGCAAAGGTAAGTAGACCATCATGATCTCATAAATGGAAGTCAAAATAGAGACATGATGTGAAACAAATGCATAGATCTTTTTCTACAGATTTCATTGTTAGAAAAACAAGGCTGAGCTTATTCTTTCACAATTAGGAATTAAGAACTATCCTGGGGTAATAGAACATGAGAAGCTGTTCCCAACTGCTGCTGGCCGCAGCCTCAAGTGCTACTCTCAGACTGAGTTTCATCTGTCTGAAAACCTTAGAGTGAAGATTGTGCCTCTTCAGTTCCAAGCTTTCAAACTCACCAATGGGAAGTTTGGAAAGGGTAGGTCACTTTAACTGGGGCCTTTCTGTTCACGATTTACAAAACCATTTTGTTTATGATTTTACTGTAGGGTTATATATGGTTTAATGCTCTTTGAAATGTAACATTGTAAACATAATTTTTTGCCCTTTCAGCCCATCAAAAACAATTATTAAAATTGCTAAGATCCAGATGAAATATTGTTTCCTAATGTCCCCCTTGTGGCATTTCAGAGGTTGAGTGCAGGGCTGATTTCATCAAGAAGATCATTCCCATTATTCTTGGTGCCACGGCTGTGGGACTCTTTCTGATTGCTGTCCTGACCTTCCTGATCATCCGGGACCACCGTAGACAAGCTGGCTATGACAGGATCTGAGAAGACTTCATACAAATAACATGAACACTTTTTATGGCCATGTTTTGTATTTCCAAATTTTTTATTTTTATTCATTACTCAATATTACACTTTTTTTGTTGTGTTTTCAAATATAACATTCTTTCTGCAAAGAAAATATAAATAACATTATTACAGTAAAAAATATGTGAATGTATTTAATACTAATATGAAAGCACTGTGTAAGTTTACAATCATAATCAGCAAATATGGTCCGAATAATGTGGCTTTATTTTAGCAATTCGAATTTTGATGCTTCCTAATGTTTTGAAATTATATCTTGTTTGAAGAGTGCATACATTCCCGTGTGGCTTTATCCAGCTGAATTGAAATCCACTATCTTAAAATTCACATATAAGTATAGATTTCTTGAATGCCTTTTTATAAAAACACACTGTCCAAAAACATATAATTCTGTAAGACATTGTAAATTCGGTCTTGAACCTCTCTGTGTGACCTCTCCTGAGGGTTAGTGCTATTCGGGTTCCTTAGTACTTCCCGACCTTAAAGCCTAACCCTAACCACTATTAAACTTTTCAACTTCAATGGAGTTGGAGTAGGGATACGCAAGGATCCCGAATAGCAAGGCCCGGCCATTGACCCGATTGTCACTAGATAAAACAGCCACAAAGTCATAAATCTCGCCTATTTCTACAATGTATCTTCTTAAACCTAACCCTAACCTTAACCACACTGCTAACCTTTTGCCTAATCCTTACCTTAAGTTAACACCAAAAAGCATGATTTTTTACGATATAGACACATTTGACTTTGTGTCTGTGGTAACTAGTGTAAACCCCGCCTCCGTCTCGACTTTTTCTATTGGTTGATCATCTTACGGGTACACAAGAGAGACAGTCTTAGCAAATGGAACTTCATTTTTGACATCACTCTATATTTGTTGTTATTTTCACCAAACTAAGAGCATGTTTTAGGCTTATAATTTCATAGAATACCATTTCCACCGATCAACTCTAGTTGATAATACGTATTGTAAAATGCAGTATCGTAACTAGCTAAGGCTTAATTGGTAAATCAAAATAATCGATTTAATAAAGGCAAACGCTTATCATTTTCTCATTCGGCTGCTAGACAGCTTGTTAGACAGCAGACATGGCTGCTGTCCTAAAAGTTAAAACCTTACAGGGTCTAAGAATATTTCAACAGTAAGTCGATAATGCGTGTCATATGTTGTGTTTGCTATTACTGCAAGTTATCTATTCTTAATAAATAAACTGCTAAGAAGATGTCGTTAATAGTTTTTGTCTAGACAGTTGGCTAGCTAACTAGCTAGCGCTAGACAGCCAGCCAGTCGAACGTGCATCAGAATATTGTAGTTATCTTCTTAGTGTTAAAATGGTTAAACAGGTAACGTTAACATTATATAGCCAAAACAATTAAGCCACTATCTCGTGTCGTGTGTTTCAACATAACTAGTTAGCCTAATTACTTTTTAATGTGCTCCGATTTTGTGCAAGGTTAAATAAAGGTAACGTTAGCTAACTTAGCATAACAACTAACGTTAGCTAGCTAACCACGGTGAAATGTTTTGTTTCCAAAGCGATGGGCAGTTCATTTAATGCATTTAGCTCTATATCAGCTAGCTAGTTAGCTAATAGTCATTATCTTTGAGCAATGGTCATTATGCATTCGAGTATTAGCCAGCTGTGATGTACCCACCTGCACTGTGGTAAATGGTATAATTAGCATGTCTGCCCTTGAAAGCCATTCATTGATGTAAACAGCTGTAACTACTGTAGGTGCTCACTTAACATGACCTGTCCAACCATCAAGGTCTGTGTCCTGCAATGACCTGTGATTGTCTCATCTTAGGAAATGTATTTGGACCAAAGGATCAGTACGCTTCGCCTCGGTTGGTAAGTAACATGGGACAATAATATTAAAGTCAGCACTTCTGTGAATATTGTCTCTTTTTCAAGTTATTACTCTCCATCTAGATTGAACTGCATAACGCATACCAATTCTAGTTGACTAAATTGGTATGCGTTACATCACTCATAGCTCAGGTCTCTTTTCCTTTAGGGCAAGGCAGGATAGATAAATTACTAATTGCCAACAGAGGAGAGATTGCCTGCCGTGTGATGCGAACAGCAAAGAAGATGGGTGTGCGCTCTGTGGCAGTATACAGTGATGCAGACCGCCATTCCATGCATGTGGCCATGGTATGTCAAGGCTGTCGAAACTTTGAACCCTCAGTGTTATGTTTGTAGATGCAACCATATTGATGAGCTTTCTCTCATGTTCCTTAGGCAGATGAGGCCTATAACATTGGGCCAGCTGCATCCCAGCAGAGTTACTTGTCAATGGAGAAAGTCTTGGAGGTTGCCAAGAGATCTGGATCACATGTATGTCAAGTGCAGTATTGTATTTTTCGTTCTCATTTATTATGACAATCCACTTTTTCTCAAAGTCGCCATACAGGCTATGACTGAAGAATAAGTTGATGTTTGTAATTGTGTTTTTGTTATAGGCTGTCCATCCAGGATATGGCTTCCTGTCAGAGAACACAGAGTTTGCTGAGGCATGCAAACAGGAAGGTATCATTTTCATTGGTCCTCCATCATCTGCCATCAGAGACATGGGTATCAAAAGGTATAGTTAAATGACTCCTCTCTTTTCAAGTCACTCTTCAGTTTTGTATGTTGTAAGTCTGATATGAATAAGGGTTATTCAAAAGTTAAATCTTAGAAAGGCTGGTCATGGCTCACATCAACACCATTATCCCAGAAACCCTAGACCCACTGCAATTTGCATACCGCCCCAACAGATCCACAGATGATGCAATCTCTATTGCACTCCACACTGTCCTTTCCCACCTGGACAAGAGGAACACCTATGTGAGAATGCTATTCATTGACTACAGCTCAGCGTTCAACACCATAGTGCCCTCAAAGCTCATCACTAAGCTAAGGACCCTGGGACTAAACACCTCCCTCTGCAACTGGATCCTGGACTTCCTGACGGGCCGCCCCCAGGTGGTAAGGGTAGGTAACAACACATCTGCCACTGATCCTCAACACGGGGGCCCCTCAGGGGTGCGTGCTCTGTCCCCTCCTGTACTCCCTGTTCACCCATGACTGCATGGCCAGGCACGACTCCAACACCATCATTACGTTTGCCGACGACACAACAGTGGTAGGCCTGGTCACCGACAACGATGAGACAGCCTATAGGGAGGAGGTCAGAGACCTGGCCGTGTGGTGCCAAGATAACAACCTCTCCCTCAACGTGATCAAGACAAAGGAGATGATTGTGGACTACAGGGAAAAAAAAGAGGACTGAGCACGCCCCCATTCTCATCGACGGGCTGTAGTGGAACAGGTTGAGAGCTTCAAGTTCCTTGGTGTCCACATCACCAACAAACTATCATGGTCCAAACACACCAAGACAGTCGTGAAGAGTGCACAACAAAGCCTATTCCCCCTCAGTAGACTGAAAAGATTTGGCATGGGTCCTCAGATCCTCAAAGTTCTACAGCTGCACCATCGAGAGCATCTTGACTAGTTGCGTCACCGCCTGGAATGGCAACTGCTCAGCCTCCGACCACAAGGCACTACAGAGGGTCTCCCGAGTGGCGCAGTGCCACTAGAGATCCTGGTTCGAATCCAGGCTCTGTTGTAGCCGGCCGCGACCGGGAGACCCATGGGGCGGCGCGCAATTGGCCCAGCGTCGTCCAGGGTAGGGGAGGGAATGGCCGGCAGGGATGTAGCTCAGTTGATAGAGCATGGCGTTTGCAACGCCAGGGTTGTGGGTTCGATTCCCACAGGGGGTATGAAAAAAAATAATGTATGCACTAACTAACTGTAAGTCGCTCTGGATAAGAGCGTCTGCTAAATAACTAAAATGTAAAAAATGTATGGTAGTGTTTACGGCCCAGTACATCACTGGGGCCAAGCTTCCTGCCATCCAGGACCTCTATACCAGGCGGTGCCAGAGGAAGGCCCTAAAAATGATCAAAGACTCCAGCCACCCTAGTCATAGACTTCTCTCTGCTACCACATGGCAAGCGGTGCCGGAGCGCCAAGTCTAGGTCCAAAAGGCTTCTTAACAGCTTCTACCCCCAAGCCATAAGACTAATCATGGCTACCCGGACTATTTGCATTGACCCCCCCCACCCAAACCCCCTCTTTTACGCTGCTGCTACTCTGTTTATTATTCATGCATAGTCACTTTAACTCTACCCATATGTACAAATTACCTCAATTACCTCGACTAACCGGTGCCCCCGCACATTGACTCTGTACCGGTACCCCCCTGTATATAGCCTCCCTACTGTTATTTTATTTTACTGCTGCTCTTTTTAATTATTTTGATTATTTTTTACTTATCTATTTTTTACTTAGCACTTTTTATTTTCTTATAAAACTGCATTGTTGGTTAAGGGCTTGTAAGTAAGCATTTCACTGTAATGTCTACACCTGTTGTATTCGGCGCATGTGTCAAATAAAATTTGATTTGAAATATACTCCTTTTCTTTTTCCTAGTACATCAAAATACATTATGTCAGCTGCGGGTGTTCCTATCATTGAGGGTTACCACGGAGAGGACCAATCGGATGAGAAGCTCCAAGCTGAGGCTGTCAGGATTGGCTACCCAGTGATGATAAAGGCAGTGCGTGGCGGGGGTGGTAAAGTAAGTAATATGTACAAACCAAAATGATTGTTTCATGGAATGATAGTGTGGTTGTTTGTGTCTCAAGGCTGCTATGGTTCTGATTGGTTTATCTAGGGAATGCGCATTTCACACACCGCTGAAGATTTCCACGAGCAGCTTGAGTCTGCGAGACGAGAGGCTCGCAAGTCCTTCAACGATGACGTCATGCTAGTGGAGAAATTTGTAGAGGACCCCAGGTTTGTAGAATACACTGTATATCTATTTGTTTTGGAGATTCAGACAAAGCCCTTGTTTAGATGTCATGTGACCAGATTCCTTCCCTGACCAGACATGTGGAGGTCCAGGTCTTTGGGGACCAGCATGGAAATGCTGTCTACCTGTTTGAGCGGGACTGCAGCGTACAGAGAAGGCACCAGAAGATCATTGAGGAAGCACCAGGGGTAAGTGCAGGGTCCCGGCCTTTGCCCAGTACCCTGCCCTGAACTTTAGTCACTGTTACTAGCCGGCTACCACCCGGTACTCAATTCTGCACCTTAGAGACTGCTGCCCTATGTTACATAGTCATTGAACACTGGTCACTTTAATAATGTTACATACTGTTTTACCCTCTGCATATGTATACAGTGAGGGGAAAAAAGTATTTGATCCCCTGCTGATTTTGTACGTTTGCCCACTGACAAGGACAGGATCAGTCTATAATTTTAATGGTAGGTTTATTTGAACAGTGAGAGACAGAATAACAACAACAAAATCCAGAAAAACGCATGTCAACAATGTTATACATATTTTTGCATTTTAATGAGGGAAATAAGTATTTGACCCCTCTGCAAAACATGACTTAGTACTTGGTGGCAAAACCCTTGTTGGCAATCAGAGGTCAGACGTTTCTTGTAGTTGGCCTCCAGGTTTGCACACATCTCAGGAGGGATTTTGTCCCACTCCTCTTTGCAGATCTTCTCCAAGTCATTAAGGTTTCGAGCCTGACGTTTGGCAACTCGAACCTTCAGCTCCCTCCACAGATTTTCTATGGGATTAAGTTCTGGAGACTGGCTAGGCCACTCCAGGACCTTAATGTGCTTCTTCTTGAGCCACTCCTTTGTTGCTTTGGCCGTGTGTTTTGGGTCATTGTCATACTGGAATACCCATCCACGACCCATTTTCAATGCCCTGGCTGAGGGAAGGAGGTTCTCACCCAAGATTTGATGGTACATGGCCCCATCCATTGTCCCTTTGATGCGCTGAAGTTGTCCTGTCCCCTTAGCAAAAAAACACCCCTAAAGCATAATGTTTCCACCTCCATGTTTGACGGTGGGGATGGTGTTCTTGGGGTCATAGGCAGCATTCCTCCTCCTCCAAACATGTTGAGTTGATGCCAAAGAGCTCGATTTTGGTCTCATCTGACCACAACACTTTCACCCAGTTCTCCTCTGAATCATTCAGATGTTCATTGGCAAACTTCAGACGGCCCTGTATATGTGCTTTCTTGAGCAGGGGGACCTTGCGGGCGCTGCAGGATTTCAGTCCTTCACGGTGTAGTGTGTTATCAATTGTTTTCTTGGTGACTATGGTCCCAGCTGCCTTGAGATCATTGACAAGATCCTCCCGTGTAGTTCTGGGCTGATTCCTCACCGTTCTCATGATCATTGCAACTCCACGAGGTGAGATCTTGCATGGAGCCCCAGGCCGAGGGAGATTGACAGTTCTTTTGTGTTTCTTCCATTTGCGAATAATCGCACCAACTGTTGTCACCTTCTCACCAAGCTGCTTGGCGATGGTCTTGTAGCCCATTCCAGCCTTGTGTAGGTCTACAATCTTGCCCCTGACATCCTTGGAGAGCTCGTTGGTCTTGGCCATGGTGGAGAGTTTGGAATCTGATTGATTGCTTCTGTGGACAGGTGTCTTTTATACAGGTAACAAGCTGAGATTAGGAGCACTCCCTTTAAGAGTGTGCTCCTAATCTCAGCTCGTTACCTGTATAAAAGATACCTGGCAGCCAGAAATCTTTCTGATTGAGAGGGGGTCAAATACTTATTTCCCTCATTAAAATGCAAATAAATTTATAACATTTTTGACATGTGTTTTTCTGGATTTTGTTGTTGTTATTCTGTCTCTCACTGTTCAAATAAACCTACCATTAAAATTATAGACTGATCATTTCTTTGTCAGTGGGCAAATGTACAAAATCAGCAGCGGATCAAATACTTTTTTGCCTCACTGTATTCTAGTCAAGGCTCATCCTATATACAGTGCATTCAGAAAGTATTCAGACCCCTCTACTTTTTCCACATTTTGTTACGTTACAGCCTTACTCTAAAATTGATTAAATTGTTTTTTTCCTCATCAATCTAAAAACAGGTTTGGCACGCCTGTATTTGGGGAGTTTCTCCCTCTGCAGATCCTCTCAAGCTCTGTCAGGTTGGATGGGGAGCGTTGTTGCACAGCTATTTTCAGGTCTCTCTTGAGATGTTCGATCGGGTTCAAGTCTGGGCTCTGGCTGGGCCACTCAAGGACATTCAGAGACTTGTCCTGAAGCCACTCCTGCGTTGTCTTGTCTGTGTGCTTAGGGTTGTTATCCTGTTGGAAGGTGAACCTTCACCCCAGTCTGAGGTCCTGAGAACTCTGGAGCAGGTTTTCATCAAGGATCTTTCTGTACCTTGCTCCGTTCATCTTCCCCTCGATCCTGACTAGTCTCCCAGTCCCTGCCGCTGAAAAACATCCCCACAGCATGATGCTGCCACCACCATGCTTCACCGTAGGGATGGTGCCAGGTTTCCTCAGACATGACGCTTGGCATTCAGGACAAAGAGTTCAATCTTGGTTTCATCAGACCAAAGAATCTTGTTTCTGAGAATACTTTAGGTGCCTTTTTGCAAACTCCAAGCGGGCTGTCATGTGCCTTTTACTGACGAGTGGTTTCCATCTGGCCAGTCTACCATAAAGGTCTGATTGGTGGAGTGCTGCAGAGATGGTTGTCCTTCTGGAAGGTTCTCCCATCTCCACAGAGGAACTCTGGATCTCTGTCCGAGTGACCGTCGGGTTCTTGGTCACCTCCCTGACTAAGACCCTTCTCACGCGATTGCTCAGTTTGGCCAGGCGGCCAGCTCTAGGAAGAGTCTTGGTGGTTCCAAACATCTTCCATTTAAGAATGATGGAGGCCACTGTGTTCTTGGGGACCTTCAATGCTGCAGAAATGTTTTGGTACCCTTCCCCAGGTCTGTGCCTCGACACAATCCTCTCTCGGAGCTCTACAGACAATTCCTTTGACCTCATGGCTTGGTTTGTTTTATATAGACAGGTGTGTGCCTTTCCAAATCATGTCCAATCAGTTGAATTTACCACATGTGGACTCCAATCAAGTTGTAGAAACATCTCAAGGATGATCAATGGAAACAGGATGCACCTGAGCTCAATTTCGAGTCTCATAGCAAAGGGTCTGAATACGTATGTAAATATAGAATTTCTGTTTTTTATTTTTAATACATTTCTAAAAACCTGTTTTTGCTTTGTCATTATGGGGTATTGTGTGTAGATTGATGAGGGAACGTTTTTATTTAATCAATTTTAGAATAAGGCTGTAACGTAGCAAAATGTGGAAAAAGTCAAGGGGTCTGAATACTTTCCGAATGCACTATCTACTGCTTTACACACATGTTCTATTCATATACTGTCCATAATGTCTATACACACCGTCATATAACTTAACACTGAGTGTACAAAACATTAGGAACAACTTCCAAATATTGCCCTCAGAACAGCCTCAATTAATCAGGGCATGGACTCTGCAAGGTGTTGATAGCGTTCCACAGGGATGCTGGCCCATGTTCACTCCAATGCTTCCCACAGTTGTCAAGTTGGCTGGATGTCCTTTGTTAGGTATTACTGCACTGTTGGAGCTAAAAACATAAGCATTTCATTAAACCTGCGATAATGTCAGCAAAATATGTACACGTGACCAATAAAATTAGATTTTTGCTCAAGACTAAATTAACATGTCTTGGTGTCCTGTGTGAATGGCTGTTTGCTGGTTAGGAGACTTGACTGCACTGTGGTTTGTACTGTGTGTGTGTGTGTTAATGATTGTTTTTGTGTTTGCACGTGTGCTTGTAGCCTGGTATAAGCGAGGAGGTGAGGCGGAAACTGGGAGAGGCTGCGGTGAGAGCAGCCAAAGCCGTCAACTATGTGGGAGCAGGTGAGCAGAGAATGGACCTCAAACATTGTTGAATTTCTTTGTTGTTGCTTTGAACGCTCACTCACTAGAGGGTGTGAAATCATTATCTGTTGTTGTAACGTTTTAAATGGATGCTTTCCCATCCTTTGCACTACCCTGTGCACCGGTGTGACAACCACATTTATGTCCCTGACTCTATGCAGGCACTGTGGAGTTCATCATGGATGCACAGCACAACTTCTACTTCATGGAGATGAACACACGTCTGCAGGTGGAGCACCCTGTGTCTGAGATGATCACTGGTACTGACCTGGTGGAGTGGCAGCTCAGGGTAAGATGGAGAGAGGGGGAAAGCGGGATGCCTTTAGAAAGTCGGTTGGAGACATCAATATGTTGTAATACACTAAGTGTACAAAACATTAAGAACACCTGCTGTTTCCATGACAGACTGACCAGGTGAATCCAGGTGAAAGCTATGATCCCTTATTGATGTCACTTGTTAAATGCACTTCAATCAGTGTAGATGATGGGGAGGAGACAGGTTAAAGAAGGATTTTTAAGCCTTGAGACAAGTGAGACATGGATTGTGTATGTGTGCCATTCAGAGGGTGAATGGGCAAGACAAAATATTTAAGTGCCTTTGAACGGAGTATGGTAGTAGGTGCCAGGCGCACTGGTTTGTGTCAAGTACTTCAACGCTGCTGGGTTTTTCATGCTCAACAGTTTCCCATGTGTATCAAGAATTGTCCACCACCCAAAGGTCATCCAGCCAATTTGACACAATTGAGGGAAGCATTGGAGTCAACATGGGCCAGCATCCCTGTGGAACGCCTTCAACACCTTGTAGAGTCCATGCCCCACGACGAATTGAAGCTGTTCTGAGGGCAAAAGGGGGTGCAACTCAATATTAGGAAGGTGTTCCTGATATTTTGTACACTCAGTATGTTGAGTGTATTTATGAGCTCCTCTAGAAGGCCTCATAATCCCACATTATCCCAGAGATGGCAGGATTTTAATCTGCATAAAGATTAAATGAACAATTTGTAAAAGCACCACCCTGACGTAGGGCTGCACGATAAGGGCATGAAATCTAATAGCAAGTTTTTTTTGGGACAGAATATTGTGACTTGACATGCGATATAGATCAAAACACTTGGGTGAACTGTTGGGATCATAGAAATAAAATGATTTACACTGAGTGTAGAAAACATTAAGAACACATTGAGGGAGCGCGATGTGGCCCGGCCAACACTGTTAGCATTCAGAGGTACAGTAGATAATGAATAACATGGGCTTTCTCTTTGAGGTTACACAGCACAGTGCTAAAGATAGCTCGCCACAAGATTACCACAAGTTAGATTACAGAGGAGTGATGCTATCACACAGCAGTGATAAGCTAACCATCAATGAGAATTCACCCCAGCCATTACCAAATGTTCATACAATCCAAACTAATATTGTGTCCTCAGAACAGCCTCAATTCGCCGGGGCATGGACTCTACAAGGTGTTGAAAGCGTTCCACAGGGATACTGGCACAAGTCTTAAAAATCCTTCTTTAACCTGTCTTAACAAGTGACATCAATAAGGGATCATAGCTTTTTTGTGGTCCTCTGTAGCTCAATTGGTAGAGCATGGCGCTTGTAACGCCAGGGTAGTGGGTTCGATCGCCGGGACCATCCATACGTAAAAATGTATGCACACATGACTGTAAGTCGCTTTGGATAAAAGCGTCTGCTAAATGGCATATTATATTATTATTATTATAACTGGTCAGTCTATGTCATGAAAAGACCAGTTGTTCTTAATGTTTTGTACACTCGGTGTATATTAAGAAGCAAAGTGGAAAGCAGCATCGTTCTTCTTTGGAACAATCTGTTGACTGCATTTGACCTAACAGAACAGCATGCAAATGTATAGTGAATCTAACAGCAAGGAGGAGGAACTGTGTTGCTTGAGTGACAGGGGGTGAGGCTTTGTGTGTGTGTGTGTGTGGGAAGCAGCCGCAACAGGAGAGAGATGACAAACAGAGTAAACTATAAAAACGGACGTTTGTGTACTCTTCTTACTTGGCTCTCAGGTGGCTGCAGGCGAAAGGCTGCCCCTCCTGCAGGATGAAATAGAACTGATGGGACATTCGTTTGAGGCCAGGATATATGCTGAGGACCCCAACAACGACTTCCTCCCTGGGGCAGGACCCCTCCTTCATCTGTCTACACCCCTGGCAGACGAAAACACACGCATCGAGACGGGCGTCAGGGAAGGTACAGTACATCCAGCTCACCTGTAACTACTAACACCTATTTTACACTGGACTGTCAGACAGAACTCTTGATATAACCACATAGTGATGATGTACCTGTCTGTGTTCTCAGGAGATGAAGTGTCAGCCCACTACGACCCCATGATCGCTAAACTGGTGGTGTGGGGAGAGGACCGATCTGCTGCTCTGAAGAAGCTCAGATACTGCCTACGCCAGTACAACGTAAGAGCATTGTACACATACTGGACACATCCCATTGCTTATTTCAATTCTGTAAGAGACTGTTGATTGATCTTTGACCACTAATCCCGGCAGATCGTAGGCCTCAACACCAACATTGACTTCCTGCTGAGTCTGTCTGGGCACCCAGAGTTTGAGGCGGGGAATGTGACCACCAGCTTCATCCCCCAGCACTATGAGCAGCTGTTCCCTAAGCCCATTCCTCCCTCCAGGGCCACACTATGTCAGGCTGCCCTGGGCCTGCTGCTCAGAGAGAGGGCCAGCACCCAGACCTTCAAAGACCAGTCCAACGGTGAGGAACAACAACAGGCCTGTCTCTACAGGTCACTGAGAACTACACTACATGACCAAAAGTATGTGGACACCTGCTCGTCGAACATCTCCTTTCAAAATCATGGGCATTAATATGAAGTTGGTCCCTCCTTTGCTGCTATAACAGCCTCCACTCTTCTGGGAAGGCTTTCCATTAGATGTTGGAACATTGCTGCGGGGACTTGCTTCTATTCTGCCATGAGCATTAGTGAGGTCGGGCACTAATATTGGGGCGATTAGGCCTGGCTCGCAGTCGGCGTTCCAATTAATCCCAAAGGTATTCAATGGGGTTGAGGTCAAGGCTCTGTGCAGGTCAGTCAAGTTCTTCCAAACCGATCGACAAACCATTTCTGTATGGACCCCGCTTTCTGCACGGGGGCATTGTCATGTTGAAACAGGAAAGGGCTTTCCCCAAACTGTTGCCACAAAGTTGGAAGCACAGAATTGTCTAGAATGTCATTGTATGCTGTAGCATTAAGGTTTCCCTTCACTGGAACTAAGGGGCCTAGCCCGAACCATGTAAAACAGCCCCAGACCATTATTCCTCCTCCACCAAACTTTACAGTTGGCACTATGCATTGGGGCAGGTATCATTCTCATGGCATCCGCCAAACCCAAATTCGTCCTTCGGATTGCCAGATGGTGAAGCGTGATTCAGAGAACGCGTTTCCACTGCTCCCGAGTCCAATGTCGGCAAGCTTTACACCACTCCAGCTGACGCTTGGCATTGCGTATGGTGATCTTAGGCTTGTGTGCGGCTGCTTGGCCAGGGAAACCCATTTCATGATGCTACCGACGAACAGTTCTTGCGCTGACGTTGCTTCTAGAGGCAGTTTGGAACTCGGTAGTGAGTGTTGCAACCGAGGACAGACGATTTTTACGCGCTACGCGCTTCTTCACTTGCCGGTCCCATTCTGTGAGCTTGTGTGGCCTACCACTTCGCGGCTGTGCAGTTGTTGCTCCTAGATGTTTCCACTACACAATAACAGTACATACAGTTGACCAGGGCAGCTCTAGCAGGGCTGAAATTTGACGAACTGACTTGTTGGCATCCTATGACGGTGCCACGAAAGTCACTGAGCTCTTCAGTAAGGCCATTCTACTGCCAATGTTTGTCTTTGGAGTTTGCATGGCTGTGTGCTCAATTTGTATATACCTGTCAGCAATGGGTGTGGCTGAAATAGCTGAATCCACTAATTTGAAGGGGTGTCCACATACCTTTGTATATATAGTTGTATTTATATATAAACTCAGCAAAAAAAGAAACGTCCTCTCACTGTCAACTGCGTTTATTTTCAGCAAACTTAACATGTGTAAATATTTGTATGAACATAACAAGATTCAACAACTGAGACAAACTTACATTTTTACATTTTAGTCATTTAGCAGACGCTCTTATCCAGAGCGACTTACAGTTAGTGAGTGCATACATTTTATTATTTTATTTTTTCATACTGGCCCCCCGTGGGAATCAAACCCACAATCCTGGCATTGCAAACGCCATGCTCTACCAACTGAGCTACATCCCTGCCGGCCATTCCCTCCCCTACCCTGGACGACGCTGGGCCAATTGTGCGCCGCCCCATGGGTCTCCCGGTCGCGGCCGGCTACGACAGAGCCTGGATTCGAACCAGGATGTCTACTGAACAACTGAAAACTGAACAAGTTCCACAGACATGTGATAACAGAAATGGAAGAATGTGTCCCTGAACAAAGGGGGGGTCAACATCAAAAGTAACAGTCATTATCTGGTGTGGCCACCAGCTGTATTAAGTACTGCACTGCATCTCCTCCTCATGGACTGCACCAGATTTGCCAGTTCTTGCTGTGAGATGTTACCCCACTCTTCCACCAAGGCACCTGCAAGTTTCCAGACATTTCTGCGGGGAATGGCCCTAGACATCACCCTCCGATCCAACAGGTCTCAGACGTGCTCAATGGGATTGAGATCCGGGCTCTTCGCTGGCCATGCAGAACACTGACATTCCTGTCTTGCAGGAAATCATGCACAGAATGAGCAGTATGGCTAGTGGCATTGTCATGCTGGATGGTCATGTCAGGATGAGCCTGCAGGAAGGGTACCACATGAGGAAGGAGGATGTCTTCACTGTAACGCACAGCGTTGGGATTGCCTGCAATGACAACAAGCTCAGTCTGATGATGCTGTGACACACCACCCCAGACCATGACGGACCCTCCACCTCCAATTCGATCCTGCTCCAGAGAACAGGCCTCGGTGTAACGCTCATTCCTTTGACAATAAACGCGAATCCAACCATCACCCTTGGTGAGACAAAATTGCGACTCGTCATTGAAGAGCACTTTTTGCCAGTCCTGTCTGGTCCAGCGACGGTGGGTTTGTGCCCATAGGCGACATTGTTGCCGGTGATGTCTGTTTAGGACGTGCCTTACAACAGGCCTACAAGCCCTCAGTCCAGCCTCTCTCATCCTATTGCGGACAGTCTGAGCACTGATGGAGGGATTGTGCGTTCCTGGTGTAACTCGGGCAGTTGTTGTTGCCATCCTGTACCTGTCCCGCAGGTGTGATGTTCGGATGTACCGATCCTGTGGAGGTGTTGTTACACGTGGTCTGCCACTGCGAGGACGATCAGCTGTCCGTCCTGTCTCCCTGTAGCGCGGTCTTAGGCTTCTCACAGTACGGACATTGCAATTTATTGCCCTGGCCACATCTCCACTCCTCATGCCTCCTTGCAGCATGCGTAAGGCACGTTCACGCAGATGAGCAGGGCATCCTTGGCATCTTTCTTTTGGTGTTTTTCAGAGTCAGTAGAAAGGCCTCTTTAGTGTCCTACGTTGTCATAACTGAGACCTTAATTGCCTACCGTCTGTAAGCTGTTAGTGTCTTAACGACCGTTCCACAGGTGCATGTTCATGAATTGTTTATGGTTCATTGAACAAGCATGGGAAACAGTGTTTAAACACTTTACAATGAAGATCTGTGAAGTTATTTGGATTTTTACAAAATATCTTTGAAAGACAGGGTCCTGAAAAAGGGACGTTGCTTTTTTCCTGAGATATATATATATATATATAACTCAGCAAAAAATGTCACCAGACATCACCGGCAACAACGTCGCCTATGGGCACAAACCCACCGTCGCTGGACCAGACAGGACTGGCAAAAAGTGCTCTTCACTGACGAGTCGCGGTTTTGTCTCACCAAGGGTGATGGTCGGATTCGCGTTTATCGTTGAAGGAATGAGCGTTACACCGAGGCCTGTACTCTGGAGCGGGATCGATTTGGAGGTGGAGGGTCCATCATGGTCTGGGGGCGGTGTGTCACAGCATCATCGGACTGAGCTTGTTGTCATTGCAGGCAATCCCAACGCTGTGTGTTACAGGGAAGACATCCTCCTCCCTCATGTGGTACCCTTCCTGCAGGCTCATCCTGACATGACCCTTCAGCATGACAATGCCACCAGCCATACTGCTCATTCTGTGCGTGATTTCCTGCAAGACAGGAATGTCAGTGTTCTGCATGGCCAGCGAAGAGCCCGGATCTCAATCCCATTGAGCACGTCTGGGACCTGCTGGATCGGAGGATGAGGTCTAGGGCCATTCCCCCCAGAAATGTCAGGGAACTTGCAGGTGCCTTGGTGGAAGAGTGGGGTAACATCTCACAGCAAGAACTGGCATATCTGGTGCAGTCCATGAGGAGGAGATGCACTGCAGTATTTAATGCAGCTGGTGGCCACACCAGATACTGACTGTTACTTTTGATTTTGACCCCCCCTTTGTTCAGGGACACATTCTTCCATTTCTGTTGTCACATGTCTGTGGAACTTGTTCAGTTTATGTCTGTTGTTGAATCTTGTTATGTTCATATAAATATTTACACATGTTAAGTTTGAAAATAAACGCAGTTGACAGTGAGAGGTTGTTTTCTTTTTTTGCTGAGTTTATATACATACACACACACACACACACACACACACACACACACACACACACACACACCCACACACACACATTACCAGTCAAAGGTTTGGACACACCTACTCATTCCAGGATTTTTCTTTATTTTCTTTACTATTTTCTACATTGTAGAATAATAGTGAAGACATCAAAACTATGAAATAACACATATGGAATCATGTAGTAACCAGAAAAGTGTTAAACAAATCAAAATATTTTATATTTGAGATTCTTCAAAGTAGCCACCCTTTGCCTTGATGACAGCTTTGCACACTCTTGGCATTCTCTCAACCAGCTTAATGAGGTAGTCACCTGGAATGCATTTCAATTAACAGGTGTGCCTTGTTAAAAGTTAATTTGTGGAATTTCTTAATGCGTTTGAGTCAAACAGTTGTGTTGTGACAAGGTAGGGGTTGTATACAGAAGATAGCCCTATTTGGTAAAAGACCAAGTCCATATTATGGCAAGAACCGCTCAAATAAACAAAGAGAAACGACAGTCCATCAATACTTTTTAAGACGTGAAGGTCAGTCAATCCGGAAAATGTCAAGAACTTTGAAAGTTTCTTCAAGTGGAGTCGCAAAAACCATCAAGCGCTATGATGAAACTGGCTCTCATGAGGACCGCCACAGGAAAGGAAGACCCAGAGTTATCTCTGCTGCAGAGGATAAGTTCATTAGAGTTACAAGCCTCAGAAATTGCAGCCCAAATAAATGCTTCACAGAGTTCAAATAACAGACCCATCTCAACATCAACTGCTCACAGGAGACTGCGTGAATCAGGCCTTCATGGTCGAATTACTGCAAAGAAACCACTACTAAAGGACACCAATAAGAAGAAGAGACTTGCTTGGGCCACGAAACACGAGCACTGGACATTAGACTGGTGGAAATCTGTCCTTTGGTCTGAGGAGTCCAAATTTGAGATTTTTGGTTCCAACCGGCATGTCTTTGTGAGACGCAGAGTAGGTGAACAGATGATCTCCGCATGTGTGGTTCCCACCGTGAAGCATGGAGGAGGAGATGTGATGGTGCTTTGCTGGTGACAATGTCGGTGATTTATTTAGAATTCAAGGCACACTTAACATGCATGGCTACCACAGTATTCTGCAGCGATACGTCATCCCATCTGGTTTGCGCTTAGTGGGACTATCATTTGTTTTTCAACAGGACAATGACCCAAAACACACCTCCCAGTCTGTGTATGGGCTATTTTACCAAGGAGAGTGATGGAGTGCTGCATCAGATGACCTGGCCTCCACAATCACCCGACCTCAACCCAATTGAGATGGTTTGGGGTGAGTTGGACTGCAGAGTGAAGGAAAAGCAGCCAACAAGTGCTCAGCATATGTGGGAACTCCTTCAAGACTGTTGGAAAAGCATTCCTCATGAAGCTGGTTGAGAGAATGCCAAGAGTGTGCAAAGCTGTCATCAAGGCAAAGGGTGGCTACTTTGAAGAATGTAAAATTGAAAATATATTTTGATATGTTTAAAAAACAAATTGGTTACTAGATGATTCCATATGTGTTATTTCATAGTGTTGATGTCTTCACTATTATTCTACAATGTAGGAAATAGTAAAAATAAAGAAAAAGCTTTTGAATGAGTAGGTGTGTCCAAACTTTTGACTGGTACTGTATATATATGCCATTTTGTGATATTTTTCTATTCTATTATTTTGCTTGGTATTATTGTTTCACTCACGTCTCTTTGACCTGCATTGTTGGAGCTCGGAGCTTAAGAATTTCACTGTACCCTGCAATTACATCTGCGACCCTGTGCATTTGACTAATAAACTCTGATTTGATTTATACAACAACTGTCTGAGAGAGTACTGTTGTCGGTAGATCCTAAATTGTCTGTTCTTTTCTCCCATCGCAGATCCCTTCTCTCCTTTTGCCTCCAGTAACGGCCGGAGGGTGAACATCCTATACAGTAGGAATATGACCCTCCAGCTGGGTGAAACTAGTGAGTACACCAGCCTTTTCTGAGTTAAGATCACATTCTGAGTTAAAATGCAATCCCAGATCTACCGCTCAGATTCTTTGGATCATGCCATACAAACGTAAGCCTATGTAACATTAACCTATTAAAAACAGTACTGTAGCAATGAGGTTTGTGCAGTAGGCCAGGGATCATCAACTAAATTCAGCCACTGGGCGTTTTTTTTTCTTTTTTTTTTTTTTCTTGAGCGGATGGTCGCGGGGCTGGAACATAATTATAAATACTTTGTAGACTGAAAATTGACCCCAAGACGCCCAAACAGAAACTCAGCAAAAAATGAAATATCCTCTCACTGTCAACTGCATTTATTTAAAGCAAACTTAACATGTGTAAATATTTGTATGAACATAACATGATTCAACAACTGAGACATAAACTGAACAAGTTCCACAGACGTGACTAACAGAAATGGAAGAATGTGTCCCTGAACAAAGGGGGGTCAAAATCAAAAGCAACAGTCAGTATCTGGTGTGGCCACCAGCTGCATTAAGTACTGCAGTACATCTCCTCCTCATGGACTGCACCAGATGTGCCAGGTCTTGCTGTGAGATGTTACCCCACTCTTCCACCAAGGCACCTGCAAGTTCCCTGACATTTCTGGGGGGAATGGCCCTAGCCCTCACGCTCCGATCCAACAGGTCCCAGATGTGCTCAATGGGATTGAGATCTGGGCTCTTCGCTGGCTATGGCAGAACACTGACATTCCTGTCTTGCAGGAAATCACGCACAGAACAAGCAGTATGGCTGGTGGCATTGTCATGCTGAAGGGTCATGTCAGGATGAGTCTACAGGAAGGGTACCACATGAGGGAGGAGGATGTCTTCCCTGTAACGCACAGCGTTGGGATTGCCTGCAATGAAAACAAGCTCAGTCCGATGATGCTGTGACACATCGCCCCCAGACCATGACGGACCCTCCACCTCCAAATCGATCCCGCTCCAGAGTACAGGCCTCGGTGTAACGCTCATTCCTTCGACGATAAACGCGAATCCGACCATTACCCTTGGTGAGACAAAACCGCGACTCGTCAGTGAAGAGCACTTTTTGCCAGTCCTGTCTGGTCCAGCGACAGTGGGTTTGTGCCCATAGGCGACGTTGTTGCCGGTGATGTCTGGTGAGGACCTGCCTTACAACAGGCCTACAAGCCCTCAGTCCAGCCTCTCTCAGCCTATTGCGGACAGTCTGAGCACTGATGGAGGGATTGTGCGTTCCTGGTGTAACTCGGGCAGTTGTTGCCATCCTGTACCTGTCCCGCAGGTGTGATGTTCGGATGTACCAATCCTGTGCAGGTGTTGTTACACGTGGTCTGCCACTGTGAGGACGATCAGCTGTCCGTCCTGTCTCCCTGTAGCGCGGTCTTAGGCTTCTCACAGTACGGACATTGCAATTTATTGCCCTGGCCACATCTCCACTCCTCATTCCTCCTTGCAGCATGCCTAAGGCACGTTCACGCAGATGAGCAGGGCATCCTTGGCATCTTTCTTTTGGTGTTTTTCAGAGTAAGTAGAAAGGCCTCTTTAGTGTTCTAAGTTTTCATAACTGCGACCTTAATTGCCTACCGTCTGTAAGCTGTAGTGTCTTACATTTTTGTCATTTAGCAGACGCTCTTATCCAGAGCGACTTACAGGAGCAATTAGGGTTAAGTGCCTTGCTCAAGGGCACATCGACAGATTTTTCACCTAGTCGGCTCGGGGATTAGAACCAGCGACCTTTCGGTTACTGGCACAACGCTCTTAACCACTAAGCTACCGGCTTAACGACCATTCCACAGGTGCATGTTTCAAAATTTGAGGTAGGCAATATGATCACACCGGTAATAGATCAGTTGTTGTATTACTTGAGGCACAGCTGAGTGAGTATACATTTAAATTATTTGCTTGTCATTTTTATTTTACTGGGCTGATGGTGCTTACATCTGATGGTCAGTCTCAGCGAAGGGAGAGAGCAGCAGACTGAAGGTCCGCCTCTCAATGTCCCTCCTTTCCCCCTTTCCTCCGCTTACCAAAAGGGGACACCGTCTTCAAGCTGATAGTGAAACTCAAGTTGCACCGCATTATTTCTGCCCCATACACACATTCATGTTGTTACTCCTATGAACATAGAAAGTAAAATTTTCCTCAATATTAAAAAAGACCCAAGCCGCTAATAAGACAAGCCTATCAATACACTTTCATTACAGCTGCAGTGCTGGTTATAGTGCGAGTGGAAGTAGGAAGAACGCACATTTTATTGTTTCATAAAAGTCTTGAATAAAAAGTGTTGACAGTGCTGAGTAAAAACTTAAACATGTAGTCACTCATATAAACAGCAGCTCTTTGCTGTATTCGTTGACAGTCTCTCCCTAGTGATGGTTTTAAAAGTTTTGAAATGTCACAGTAGGCTATCAACTTTGCTGTAGCTTGCTTTTACGCCTGCTACGTTACTGCAGACATGGTAATCTCAGTCATCCGATTGGCCAGCGGTAGGCCTATAGTGCACTTGATTTGGTACCTTCAGACATAAAAATGGTTCAAAATGGGAACACTTCGCTTACCCGGCGCGCAGGGCAGCTGAATCGGGTGAACCTACTGCCAACGCAAGGCTTTATCGTTGGGTTTTGTACAGAAATGTTTGCCGATCGACTAGGAATGCCTTGGAGATCGACCAGTTGATCGCAATCGACCAGTTGGTGACCACTGTCACCCTTAGTCAGTCTTCACGTTGATGAGCCCAAGCCTGTCCTCCTAGACCTTGTTCTAATGACTGTTTAAATAATTAGTGGTAATGACATTGATTCATTAGTGTGTCTGATTCCTCCCAGTCTATAAGCAAGCCCATCTCCTCACTATTATTGAACTTTCAGCAGTCCATATGGCATCGTTAGTCACTCATCCTCATGTTTCACTGTTGCTGAGAAAGTCTTGAATACAGAGAAGTACTTTTAATCTGCTTTTTGTTTACTTGTCACAATTAATTTATAAGTCGTTTCCACTGAGAATAAGTTATTCATATTTTATGTCATACAAAAAAAATACTTTGGAATAGGACCCATCATATGCATTTTTTATAAAGGCAAATCTGAGTCCATGAATCAAGTGGCAGAGGAAAGACTTCACACAGAACTTTAACACATTTTTTTATCTGCAGAAGTGGAAGTAACAGTTACATACAATCCAGATGGGACTTACTCTATGGAGGTACATGTTCTGTGTGTGTTGTAAAAATTGCCATATATACTTCTAAATTCTGTCTGTGTCACATGATTTGCTGCAACTGATGGGTTTTGTCTGCTTCCTCAGAATGAAGGTGAAGTGTTCCAGGTGTCAGGGGAGGTGGAGACAGAGGGGCAGGCATCATTCCTGCACTGCTCTGTCAACGGGGTGAAGTCCCGGCCCAAACTGGTCATCCTCGATAACACAGTACACCTCTTCTCTATGGTGAGTCTCCCCCCCCCCCCCCCCCCCGGTGCACGTTTTGGTTTTTGCCCTAGCACTACACAGCTGATTCAAATAATAAAAACTTGATGATGAGTTGGTTATTTGAATCAGCTGTGTAGTGCTAGGGCAAAAACCAAAACGTGCACCCAGGGGGGACCCCAGGACCGAGTTTGAGAAACCCTGCTCTAGAACACCGCCATTTTCCTTCTCAGGTCCTCTAACCCACTCTCTTCTCCCCATCAGGAGGGCAGCGCAGAGGTGAGCGTTCCAGTGCCCAAGTTCCTGGCTGGTGTGAGCACAGGAGCACAGGGAGGAGCTGTGGCACCCATGACCGGGACCATTGAGAAGGTAATAAATTACGGATCATCCCTTTATCTCCTGGTTGTCTGTCTCTTTCTCTCACAACCATCATTTCTGTCTAGAAAAGCTGATGATCTTTAATATGTTGCTCTGGGATATGATTTCCTGCCAGATGGTCAGTTAGCACTCAGGCATGCTGATTCATGGGATATTAGCTCACTTAGCGGCTAAGGTCGGCACATTATTTAATCTATACCTCCTGTTGATGACATGGTGTGCATCATTCAGACGTGCCAATTGATAATTGTCAGTTGCAATGGAAAAACAGGATGTGGCCACTGAGACTCCTTTCCTAACATTAACAGGGCCATTTAGAATCTATAGGTAAGATCCTTTATAGTATCTCCTCTCTTCCTCCAGGTGCTGGTGAAGGCAGGAGACACTGTGCAAATGGGAGACGCATTGATGGTGATGAATGCCATGAAAATGGAGGTGAGCTTATGTCATTTCCTACACTGTGAGGAGTCCACTCCCAACACTACACACACACTAGCTCATCCACGTTGACTTTTCAAACCCTGCAGCCACCCACTTACATTGTGTTGTAAATGAACTATGGGTCCTCAGACTGTGTTCTCTCTCTCTCTGCAGCACACCATCCGAGCACCCAAGGCTGGAGTTATCAAGAAGGTGTTTTTCAAGGAGGGCTCCCAGGCCAACCGACACGCAGCCCTGGTGGAGTTTGAGGAAGCCGCTGAGGAGGAATAATCTCATCTGTGTGAATATCTGTGTGAACTTTGACTGTAAGAGTTACTGTAGAAATTATAGGAAAGTGGCATTTTGAATTCAACCGGAAGGGTTGACATTTTCTGTAGGAGTAGCAAACTGCTGTACCATCCTATGGGAACACACTACAGGTCCATGTGTTTCACACTGTACATACAGTATGAGATGCCAGAATGTTTTAATCTTCATTTTCTGATGGCTGTATAAAAGTAGAAGTCTGGCTTTTGTACTGTCCTCTGCAAAGTGCTCTTGTAGTCGGTTTCTCTATGCTTGGCTCATGGTTCTACTATAACCACTAAACCGCTAGCTTTTTGGTGGGGGTTCTTCCTTTCCTGATGCCTTTTCTTCAAGCTTCAGTTTTTTTCTAGCTTCACTATAGCATGGTCCCAGATCTGTTTGTGCTCGTCAACTCATTGTCAAGCTAAAAATGTTTTATGGTTTAATGACAAGGAGTTGGCATGATGACACAAACAGGTCTGGCACTCAGACTACATCTCATGATTCAGATTCACTCCAGGCTGTCAAATTCAAATAAGGGCTATTTGCTGCTAACAGCCTCCCCTCACAGGCCTACCTTGTTGTGATTTAATGACCAGAATCTGGTTACGTTACAGTCCAACAGCTAATACCAGGGAAGAGATGGCCTGCCATCTGAATTCATTAAATACGGTCATCTCTCACATCATGTGACCTACAAAATAGATTGACCATCAAATAACCAATTTGAGAGAAAGGTGGAGCACATCTGTGTTTTTATAGGTGTTGTAATATGTCAGCATTATAAAGTGTTGAATCCCCCAAAGCACACTCCTGACAACTTTGTGGTGAGTTATTATGAATGTGTGCCGTCATCCATTCAGGAGTGCATCTGTATTATTCACGTCATGATTTGTAATTAGCAGAGGGTTGTCAAATTACGTTTTTCTAAAAGATAATTTCAGATAGATAAAGTTATTTCTCTAAATGTCTCATTTTGTGGTTTTATAGAGGTATACTACTATGCTGGTGCTTATCTAATGGTCACAGTAGTGTGTGTACATTAGTTGCATACACAGTCTGCTGGAAAGGACAAAGGTTACACATGCTTTTTAAAAACATATTTATTCCTTAAATAGAATTTGCTTTAAACATCAGCAATGAAACAGTTTCACTGACAGGAGAGTAAAATAACAGTAACAACTTTTTTTTCTATTAACATGATCAAGAGATCGGAACATGAACAGCTGACTTCACATCTGTGTCCCTAGTGCAGATGGATCCTTATTGCCAATGAAAATGGAGACTTGAAATAGATTTAAATATTCAAACACCTCTTACTGACTGACCTAATGAGTGGCATGATTAGAAGCTCTTGGTGAAGAGACTGACTTGAGGCCAAATGTGACTATCTGAACTAGAAGCTACATATATAAAACTGAGTGTGACAAATGACAACAGTAGCAAATAAGTATACAGTTGAAGTCGGAAGTTTGTGGCAAAAACATTTAATCCTAGTACAAATTCCCTGTTTTAGGTCAGTTAGGATCACCACTTTATTTTAAGAATGTGAAATGTCAGAATAATAGTAGAGTGATTTATTTCAGCTTTTATTTCTTTCATCACATTCCCAGTGGGTCAGAAGTTTACATACACTCAATTAGTATTTGGTAGCATTGCCTTTAAATTGTTTAACTTGGGTCAAACGTTTCATGTAGCCTTCCACAAGATTCCCACAATAAGTTGGGTGAATTTTGGCCCATTCCTCCTGACAGAGCTGGTGAAACTGAGTCAGGTTTGTAGGCCTCCTTGCTCGCACACGCTTTTTCAATTATGCCCACAAATGTTCTATAGGATTGAGGTCAGGGCTTTGTGATGGCCACTCCAATACCTTGAATTTGTTGTCCTTAAGCCAATTTGCCACAACTTTGGAAGTATGCTTGGGGTCATTGTCCATTTGGAAGACCCATTTGCGACCAAGCTTTAACTTCCTGACTGATGTCTTGATGTTGCTTCAATATATCCACAATTTTCTTTCCTCATGATGCCATCTATTTTGTGAAGTGCACCAGTCCCTCCTGCAGCAAAGCACCCCCACAGCATGATGCTGCTTCACGGTTGGGATGGTGTTCTTTGGCTTGCAAGGTCCCCCTTTTTCCTCCATACATAACAATAGTCATTATGGCCAAACAGTTCTATTTTTGTTTCATCAGACCAGAGGACATCTCCAAAAAGTACGATCTTTGTCCCCATGTGCAGTTGCAAACCATAGTCTGGCTTTTATATGACCGTTTTGGAGCAGTGGCTTCTTCCTTGAAGAGCGGCCTTTTCAGGTTATGTCGATATAGGACTCGTTTTACTGTGGATATAGATACTTTTGTACCCGTTTCCTCCAGCATCTTCACAAGGTCCTTTTGCTGTTGTTCTGGGATTGATTTGCACGTTTCGCACCAAAGTACGTTCATCTCTGGAAGACAGAACGCGTCTCCTTCCTGCGGTATGACGGCTGCGTGGTCCCATGGTGTTTATACTTGGCGTACTATTGTTTGTACAGATGAACGTGGTACCTTCGGGCATTTTGAAATTGCTCCCAAGGATGAACCAGACTTGTGGAGGTCTACAATTTATTTTCTGAGGTCTTGGCTGATTTATTTTGATTTTCCCATGATGTCAAGCAAAGAGGCACTGAGTTTGAAGGTAGGTCTTGAAATACATCCACAGGTACACCTCCAATTGACTCAAATTATGTCAATTAGCCTATCAGAAGCTTCTAAAGCTTTCTGGAATTTTCCAAGCTGTTTAAAGGCACAGTCAACTTAGTGTATGTAAACTTCTGACCCACTGGAATTGTGATACAGTGAATAAGTGAAATAATCTGTCTGTAAACAATTGTTGGAAAAATTACTTGTGTCATGCACAAAGTAGATGTCCTAACCGACTTGCCAAAACTATAGTTTGTTAACAAGAAATTTGTGGAGTGGTTGAAAAACAAGTTTTAATGACTCAACCTAAGTATGTAAACTTCCGACTTCAACTGTTCTTCATCAGACATGCCAGAGTGACCAATGCTGACCTTGATAAATCGTGCCAGATATGCTTACAAATATTGGTACCATGCAAATAAATATAAACCTCCACTGACTACTTGGACATTTCAAAGTGTCTCCCACTTCGAGCTGATGAGAGGTAACTGCTACAAATAGTAACCAAATAAAATCCCACGATTTTATATTAACTCGGCCATATTCTAATAAATCTGTGTGTGCTGATGATGTGCATAAATCAGTCATTGATAGCAAGTTTAAAACGGTTGTCTCAATGACCCTCTAGACTCGACTCTGGCATTTCCATTATTGTGGGCCAAAGGCCCCAAAAGATAGAGGATACAGAGAGCTCATGCAGTTCTGTTCAGTCAGTGAGGCGATGGAAATAAATACACAAACAAATATGAAGAAGTGGTTAGTAACAGAGGGGGAAATACACAGCAACAAAAACATGATTTCAATTAGCAATGATTAGGAAAATAAAAACAATGTGTGGGATTTTAAACAAGAACTAGATGTGCAAGCCATATTTGATTTCATCATGTTGACAGCTATTTAATATCTTTCATTGGGAGCTATTATATGGACATTCTCCTGTCGACATGTCTGAACGAACGTACCGCTAACAATCTGTGCAGAAAAGGCATATTTTAGGGACAGTTTCCAAAAAAAGCAACAGACTTGAGACCTGATCATCCAACTGCTTTCACATTTTCATACCTTAAAATCAGGTTGTAAAAATGGAGGATATGGCTATAACAAGGCCCACCTAATTTCCTCAGGAAATAGACCTTCCAGATAGTCAGGTGAAGCAGCAGCAGCACTGACCTACAGGCGCAAAGAAGTAGACCATGTTCTTTCACTCAAGTCTGACAAATTCTTTCGTCTTTAGTACCGTCTTATTCCCTTTTATTATTTACAGAAACAACAGATGCCAATGTAGCATCTCTCTCAAAGTGGTGGTGCAAAGCCTCATGGCTGGTCAGCCCTGGGCCATTCGGGGAGTAGTCCCTCTCCGTGTGGCAGGGCGGCACTACTGCTCTCTGCTACCTTAGCAATGAGTGGCCTCCATGGGTTCGAGCGTCAAGATGCTCCGGTCGTTGGAATAGAAGGGGTCCGAGTCGCTCCATGATCTAAAAGCATCAACGACAGAGGAGTGAGGGGTGGGGGAGGATGACTAAGCTGAAAACCTGCCTCTGGAGTGCTTCCATCTGTCTCTGTCCTGCCTAAAGACCCTTTATTTACTGTTGGATGGGACGGCCATCTTGCCATTGCATGGTACAGTAGGGGGATAGCACAGGAGTAGTTGAAGACTTTATCTGTATTGATATGAGGAGGCCCTGCCATGGAACTGAAACCTTGTCATCCTGCTCATCTTCCACTGGCTTCCTGCCCTGTCTCCTGACTCGTTTCCTGCCCTGTCGCCTGACTCGTTTCCTGCCCTAAACTTCAACTACAGGGGTAGTAGCACAAGCAAACAGTCAAACTCAAAAAGGAGGAGAGAATAGGGTGAGTACAGCGAGGGTTAGTACAGGATTAGTACATGGATGACACAAACAGTCAACGTCCCCCTTCTCTCTGAGTAATGTCACTATATGCATAATACATCTTATGCATAACCAGGTATACTAAATACTGTTTCTTTGAATGATATGATGCTCAGTTCTTGGCTGTACAATTATGTGACCAATTTACACTGAATATCTACTGCTAATACAAAAATTGTATCATAATATAATAATATATCGAAGACATCTTGAATATATATTTGCATATTTATAGTAAAGAAAATATCAAAGAGCCCTTGAAAAGAGGGCTCAACTCTCTTACCTTCAGGAAAGGCACAAGGCCCTTCCCTATCTATCAAAGCCTGTATGAACTAACATCGCCACCAGGGGGAATAGTAAGGACTTTATTCAGACTCCAGTAGAATCTAATATAATCTAAATAATATTGTTCATCAATATACCCATTTTATTATCTTTGGATCACAAGTGTCAACAATACCGTATACGTGCTAAATGGATTAAGTATTTCAGACAAAGACAACCGTTTTAAGATCTTGTATGTACATGATGCTTTTGGACTTAAAAAATAAGTATTTCTTGATAAATGTGTATGTTGGTGTGATGTCTAGTGGTACTCCCACTTGATATCAAGCTATTAGTCCATTGTCTATGGCGATCTATCAGAACAGAAAACCAGGCAAGCAGCAGAATATTAGATTGAATAGTGACGTCAAGGTGATAACAGCTGCATATGAATAACGTAGATGGGGGAAGTTGATTTATCTAGATTTTAGACACAGAGCGGCAACGACGAGAGAGGTTCAGACAAAGTGCAGCAAAGCTGGAGGAGGAGGAGTAACGTTATAGAAAAGATCAGGAGACACGTTAACACATAACGTCTGGTTACTCAGCATACAAAATACCAAAGGCAGCCCCATGCAACAAGACAGTTCTCTTCTCAAAAGCAGCTATAAGGCTTCAAGTACTTCACTGTATAAAATAAATAGCAAAAAGACTATTCTCATTTTGAGACTACAGTTTTCCAGTACATCTCTCTGTCAGGGAGTGTGGTCCCCATGTTTCAGCTGTGGCACACAGACCCCAAACACTGCAGCATGTCAAAACATTCAGTAACAGTACAAGGTACGGTACAGTAGGGCTGATGTATTCCCTGCCAGGCTGCCAGTCAGCGAGCATGGGCCATGGTGGGGTCTCTCTCTCCCCCTGTGCAGTGGCAGTATCCTAGCATTAAGGCCGGAACAAGTCTCAGTCTAACTTTGATTATTTTCTTTCGGAGTGCTCATCTCACCTCACAGTGTTGGGACAGTGAGGGTGTGAAGTAGATGTGTGGGCAGACAAGGAAGGGGCTGAGAAAGCATTACACTGGCATCATGCTGTCATTGTCCATAGATACACACATGCAGTATAACAAACTTTGGCAAGTCCGAGACTAAGAGTACAAGGAGAAAGCAGAACGAGAATGCTACATTTTTAACAATATTCAAATAAATATACCTCGGTTAGCATACTCTTGAATAGATCTTTCAGCATAAATACACTGTCATAGATCAATATAGACTTGGACTCTGAACCTGGGCTTCGCCTACACTGTGAAACACAAACACACTGACTCGGCAGGCTTTGGAAAAGTTAAAAGAAGCACAAAACTTCAGACAGAAGACGAGGTTGATCAGACACAAAGATAGGTGACAAAAAGCCCCCGGGTGAAAGAAGACTTGAAAAGAAATGCATACGAGTACAGACTTGGAAGGACAGATTACATAGACACATGGCTACATTGGTGAGCATGTTGTCCCACTGAATATAGAAGAGAAATAGACGAAGGACTCCATGAAGCCATGAAGTTGATCATAGCATACAAGATAAATATGTCTCCCTTAAAGGCCATTTAAGATTCAGGATCCAGATACTAGTCTCCCTCCCTACAAACCTTTGTCCGTCACTGGGCTGCCTGTCCTACCAGTAAGACCGTAGTCTAGTCTACCTCTCTCTCTCTACTAGGCTCTCACTACTCCTGGGGAGCAGTGGGCTCATCCTGCTCCAGCTTGTAGGAGATGCGCCTGCAGCAGCAGAGGCTACAGAGGGTGGGGTCACACCTGTTGGAGTTGGCAGGGTCGCAGCGGCCCATCACTTGCTCCACCATCCGGCCCAGCCGGGTGCACCCGTTCTCCCCCTCTGAGAAGCAACTCATGGAGTCCACGCAGCCGATGCCCTGGTAGTTAGTCTCAATAAGCTGCAGAGAGAGAGGATAGAGACAGAGAGAGAAGATAGATACAGAGAGAGAAGATAGATACAGAGAGAGAGAGAGAAACAGAGGAAGGGGAGCCAGAGGGGTGGCAGAGCACAAGAGAATATTAGAATCAGAACACACAGGTCACCCCAATATCCACAAGAAAACAGCCCAATGACTGTCCAGGGAGCCGGGAGGGGATTTTGGGGATTCGGAGCTCTTCAAAACAATAAGGGGTGGGTGATTATGTACAAGGTATCAGGCAAAATGTACATGGCCAAGCTGGGGAGGTGAAAATCAATCAAATAAAAACTAAAATCAATACATTTAAAAGCGGTAAACGATGCAGTATTTTCCAAGGCAAGTCTGTCCTTGTCCCTGGCCTGGCCAAGCCTTGAAGCCATGTAATCAAATCACACAGGAGTTACAGGCAGTTGCCATGCCAGTCTGATGTGTGCTTAAAATCATATTCTCACGTTAATCTCAGTCAGCTCAGTTCCACATAACAATGATAAATAACAGTGATTCACTCGCAATCAAAGACAATCTACGGCTGCAAATGAATGGCAAAGGCAGAAAATTCAGTGAATATAAAATGCATAGCATTAAGTGGAGGAAATAATCGACTTTGATCTCGTACAGCCAATTCTTGATTTTCCTGAGTAAGCACTCACTGCGCAGAGCACCGCTAAAGAGGCAGACCTGAACACATCCCAAGACTATGGACACTGGTTTGGGGTTACAACGCTCAATTCCCTCCTCTGCCCACCACTCAGAAACTACAGCAGAAATAGTGGTAAAAAGAGCGAGAACAAAATAGGTATTAGGCTACTATGCCATGGATGTATAATTCTACTGTATCCTACATTAAACACTGTGTCCTCCAAATTCTACTCTATCAAAAACTGATGAGCAAGGCAAGCCAGTTTCAGGTGATATGGATATTCTTCTCATCAAGACTGATTACATAAACATCCTTCATGTTGTTTCCACCTTGACCTGCAGTTAGGGGACCACTAACATGGTTGGAGGTGGTGATGATGATTGACAGTTAAAGTAACTAAGTATGTTAAAAAGCAGCTTTTCTGTGTTTGAATGGTGTGAGCGTCCCCATTAACAGGTGTGATGGTATACCGGTCAATACAAATATTCATGACAAGTAAACAGCTGATTGGCCAGCTCAGCCAATAAGACAAAAACATAACATCATCCTCTATGAGGAAATAGCAAGAATTTTCTAAAACAGTCTGTTTGAGATACAAGTTTGCTGTGAAGTTTTCAAATTAGTTTTTCTAAAATGTATGCTTTGGCCACAAATACGAGTATAGGATGAGTCATCAACATTATTTGGGCATGAGTTAACAGATTATGAAAAAAGTTAGTATTTAAAAGTGACACTGTACAGTGGGGAAAAAATTATTTAGTCAGCCACCAATTGTGCAAGTTCTCCCACTTAAAAAGATGAGAGAGGCCTGTAATTTTCATCATAGGTACACGTCAACTATGACAGACAAATTGAGAAAAAAAAATCCAGAAAATCACATTGTAGGATTTTTTATGAATTTATTTGCAAATTATGGTGGAAAATATGTATTTGGTTAATAACAAAAGTTTCTCAATACTTTGTTATATACCCTTTGTTGGCAATGAAACAGGTCAAACGTTTTCTGTAAGTCTTCACAAGGTTTTCACACACTGTTGCTGGTATTTTGGCCCATTCATCTATGCAGATCTCCTCTAGAGCAGTGATGTTTTGGGGCTGTCGCTGGGCAACACGGACTTTCAACTCCCTCCAAAGATTTTCTATGGGGTTGAGATCTGGAGACTGGCTAGGCCACTCCAGGACCTTGAAATGCTTCTTACGAAGCCACTCCTTCGTTGCCCGGGCGGTGTGTTTGGGATCATTGTCATGCTGAAAGACCCAGCCACGTTTCATCTTCAATGCCCTTGCTGATGGAAGGAGGTTTTCACTCAAATTCTCACGATACATGGCCCCATTCATTCTTTCCTTTACACGGATCAGTCGTCCTGGTCCCTTTGCAGAAAAACAGCCCCAAAGCATTATGTTTCCACCCCCATGCTTCACAGTAGGTATGGTGTTCTTTGGATGCAACTCAGCATTCTTTGTCCTCCAAACACAACGAGTTGAGTTTTTACCAAAAAGTTATATTTTGGTTTCATCTGACCATATGACATTCTCCCAATCCTCTTCTGGATCATCCAAATGCACTCTAGCAAACTTCAGACGGGCCTGGACATGTACTGACTTAAGCAGGGGGACACGTCTGGCACTGCAGGATTTGAGTCCCTGGCGGCGTAGTGTGTTACTGATGGTAGGTTTTGTTACTTTGGTCCCAGCTCTCTGCAGGTCATTCACTAGGTCCCCCCGTGTGGTTCTGGGATTTTTGCTCACCGTTCTTGTGATCATTTTGACCCCACGGGGTGAGATCTTGCGTGGAGCCCCAGATCGAGGGAGATTATCAGTGGTCTTGTATGTCTTCCATTTCCTAATAATTGCTCCCACAGTTGATTTCTTCAAACCAAGCTGCTTACCTATTGCAGATTCAGTCTTCCCAGCCTGGTGCAGGTCTACAATTTTGTTTTCAGTGTCCTTTGACAGCTCTTTGGTCTTAGCCATAGTGGAGTTTGGAATGTGACTGTTTGAGGTTGTGGACAGGTGTCTTTTATACTGATAACAAGTTCAAACAGGTGCCATTAATACAGGTAACGAGTGGAGGACAGAGGAGCCTCTTAAAGAAGAAGTTACAGGTCTGTGAGAGCCAGAAATCTTGCTTGTTTGTAGGTGACCAAATACTTATTTTCCACCATAATTTGCAAATAAATTCATAAAAAAATCCTACAATGTGATTTTCTGGATTATTTTTTCTCAATTTGTCTGTCATAGTTGACGTGTACCTATGATGAAAATTACAGGCCTCTCTCATCTTTTTAAGTGGGAGAACTTGCACAATTGGTGGCTGACTAAATACTTTTTTCCCCCACTGTAGGTGATAATTTCCTACGTGATTTACCAGTCCTGTAATTTAACGTCTAGGATAATGCGTCGGCACAAACGGGAAACTCGCACGCGTCACACCCAACTGCACAACGGTCAGCCAACTAGACCCATCAACAACATAGAAGACATCAAGACCCCAAGAACATTTAGAACCCAAGAACATCAAGAAAATCTGGAATAAATATGATGAATTTGACTAAGGTGATATTGGTAACAAATTAGATACATTTGATCTATTAACAATCATAATTTTTGTTATTAATGAGTAACCTTGATTTGATTAACTTAAGTCAGGGATGAGGTATATGAAGTTAAATGATGGGGACCCCCCCCCCAAAAAAGAAAAATGCGTACATAAAGCCATTTTTAAAAAACAAGCCAAATTAAAAATAATAGCACAATCAATTTGACATATACTGGTAGGATTATGATATATTAAAATGAAAAATATGTAGAAAAACATTGTTTGTTTGATATAATGACTCAGTCTTTTGCTCGTTTAAAGGCATTTAGGCTAATAAAACATGCATACACATAATTGCTTACATACACAGACAGACAGGTGAAAAATGGCACGAGTCATGATTAAGTAAGGTTGGGTGTTGTTATCACAAGGCACAATGCTGAATATTTCAAAAATTAAAAGCATTATATTTGGGACAAATCATTCACTAAACCTCAACTAAATCATGTAATGAATAATGTGGAAATTGAACAACTTGAGGAGACTAAATTGTTTGGAGGAACCCTAGATTGTAAACTGTCATTGTCAAAACATATTGATGCAACAGTAGCTAAGATGGGGAGAGGTCTGTCCATAATAAAGCGCTACTCTGCTTTCTTAACATCGCTATTAACATGGCAGGTCCTACAGGCCCTAGTTTTGTCGCACCTGGACTACTGTCCAGTCGTGTGGTCAGGTGCCACAAAGAGGGACTTAAATGTACACGAAGAGCTAACATTAATAATATGCATGCCAATCTCTCCTGGCTCAAAGTAGAGGAGAGATTGATTTCATCACTACTTGTATGTGTGAGAGGTATTGACATGTTGAATGCAGCGAGTTGTCTGTTTTAAACTACTAGCACACAGCTGAGACACCCATGCATACACCACAAGACATGCCACCAGAGGTCTCTTCACAGTCCCAAAGTCCAGAACAGACTATGGGAGGGGCAAAGTACATTTTACATTTACATTTTAGTCATTTAGCAGACGCTCTTATCCAGAGCGACTTACAGTTAGTGCATATATTTTCATACTGGCCCCCCGTGGGAAACGAACCCACAACCCTGGCGTTGCAAGCGCCATGCTCTACTAACTGAGCTACAGGGGACATTACGGGGACTTTCTACTACATAGAAATCTATTCCACATCAAGTAACTCATGCAAGCAGTAAAATATGATTTAAAAAACAGATAAAAAACAGAGCAATATGGGGATGGGTGGACAGGGTGGGCGATGGCAGTCCAGGGGAGGACCCACACACACACTGAGAAGCCTGGCCTGGCTGGGCCAGGGAAGCAGTAGGGTTACTACCTTGGCAGCAGCTAATGGGGATCCATAATAAATACAAATACTACCTAGGGGAGCATAGGGCTGGGCCTTGGGCGGGGGGAGGAGAAGCAGCTAGCAGTTGCCAATTGTCCTCCCCTCGGCTCCTGCCTTCAGCAGAGTCATATTCTGAGCTGACTGAACTCTTATCCTCTTCCATCTGGAAGCACAAAACAACCCATTAAGTCTCCTGGACAGAAGGAAACAGGAGAGAACAAGACGGAAGGAAACAGGAGAGAACAAGACAAATGAGCACAAAAACGACTCCCACATCCATAGGAGGTAATAGAGGATTGCAGCACCGATCAATTCGTGTCCAAAACAATTAGTGTGCACTAACATTTTAACTAGGAGACTGGGCACAAAGATGTTCCAAAGAACCAATGAGCCAGTTTAGTCATTTCAGTGTACTCTCAATTATGTAAATGTATCAATTGTAACTGGATGATTCAGGAATTAATTTAGAATTTGGTTTAGCAATTATTCTGCAAACATGTCAATCCAATTAGGAAATTGATCCCTTGCTTTTGGATGGAGTGGTTGTCATTTTCTCTGCTCATTGTGCATATCTTAAGAAAATAATACTATTGTTTAAGAGCATGCTGTCCAGAATATGATCCGGAGATACAGTGAATAAACTACTATGAAAATAGCATTCACCAGCTAGCAGCTTTTGCTAACTATTATTTTGGGCATCAGAGTTACTGTATTAGCAGCATACATTAAACAGCCTCAAGCTGTGCTCCACATGCCGTTATGACCGGAGCTTTATATCAGGGCTGCTGCACAATGCTGCAGTGAGGGGCTGCTCTGCCCAATGCAGAGTGCACTTGACTTTTACAGGCTAAACTAAAGTGACATGCAGTTGATAGACTCTTTGCAGGGGTGCATAACAAAATGCCTTAGACTTATCTTTCCCTCTCTTTTTTACCCTTATCTCCTAGAATGCTGGTTAGTTAGTTTGTCCTCTGCATTCAGACAAGACTTATAGGCAGCAGGGCCCCGCCTACTCTACCTAATTTTGCCCAGCTGATTCTTGGCTCTGGAGAGAGGCTGCAGAGCGATGAAGTCATCACCTATGGCGACTCGGTTGGAGTACATCTACAGAGCAGATGAAAGGAAGGAAGGGCGGAACACAGAGAAGGTCAGGTAGGAGGGAAGACGACATACACAGTAGACACAGTGGATGATCATAACACACTCGTACAGTCACACGCACGTGCACGCATGGATAAACACCAGCCTGAGAAAGGAAGAAAGTCATCTCTATCACAGAGACAGGAAATGAGACTCAATCCTGAGAAAGAGAGAGCTTTTATCTTCTAAGAACCACTGAGCAGCACTTTCACACTCAACTTTCTCCATCACGGACTGGGGATGCTAGAATTGCTGACTTGACAACTATGATGCAAAAAAAGGCCAATAAGTGTAAGTAAACAAACAAAAAAAGAGGGCGTGTTAATATCAACCTTTTAAGAAAAGAGGCAATTGCGACCACAAAAATGGAACTGTTCAAGAGGCTGTTTGAAGAGGCTGTTTTCAAAAAACTGTTTGTTCAGCAATATGCTCCTACCATATGGCATCTACTGTCTAGCTCTCCCACATATCAGACACACACAGACACGCTACAGTAGATTAAGATCTGGAACAGAGATGCACCCGCTTTGTTTGGAGCATGCCTTTGTCAGTTGCACAGTGAATTGTTGTTCTTGTGTTGTCTGTGAGGTGAGAAGCCATGCTGTGGTGTCATGCGTTTCCTGTCAGTGTATAGTTTATTACGGCAACCCGCAGCCCACCCCTTCCCCCTCCTCTCCCCTGTCCCTGGGTGTCCTACCTGAGACTTCTGGGTACTGGTGGGCTGGAGGTGCCTATAGAACACCTTCTTGATGATGTCGGGGAAAAGGCAGGCGATGATGATGATGATGATGGCGAACCAGGCGGAGCCGCTGGAGAGCAGCTGGACAAAGACAAAGTACATGTCCTGGGTGTGGAGGAAAGGCCTGGAGGGGGGCAAAGGTCACAGAGAATCACACTGTTAGCCAGCCAACATCTGTTCAGGCTTAACTAACCCTGTGAGTAGAGCCTGGAATAGAACTTCAAGCTTTTCGACTGTCTGGGATAAAACATTTAGATCATTTTAAAGTGGCTAGCATCACTGAGGTGTAATTCTAAGTAGACTGTATGCCACATGCAGTACAATTACACTTGTTGATCTTATCACATACTATATAACGAAATGCAATGTGTATTTGAGATACACAGGTTGTGTGGGAAAGAGATGGCACCTCAGCTCACCAGATGATTCCCCCATAAAACAGGGAGAAGATGAAGTAGAAAGCGATGGAGCCCCAGGTAACAAAGTGATTCATCCACGTCCAGAAGTGGGTCTCCAAGGCCAGCTGTCGACAGAGAGAAAAAACAACATGTAGTTTGGTCAGAACAGCATGTGAAAGGCCATAGGAGAGCAGAGGGGAGTGAGGTGACTGTGACAACAATATCAAAAAGTGATAGATTTCATGCAGGATTGCTTTAAGAATTATTTATGAATTGAAGAATTGCAAAAACTCAAATGACATTATTTACCTTCAATGTAACAGTGATGACCATTACTGTGAATACCAAAGTGCCAAAGGTCCAGTTTCCAAACATCTACAAGAAAAATTAAATAAAACATTTAAGAATTTTCACAGAGACAATACAATGGCTTAACATCTATCATAGGAATACTGCTTTAATAGTGATGTAGACCGAGTCATGTATTAGTAGTCACAGCTTTCCAGAAGACTAGGCCTAAGCCTTGTAAGCTAAATTGATGACAAACTTGTGGAGACACTGGAAGGAAGTTACTGACTCTGAAAGCAGTGAGTGTCTCCAACTAGCCGTCATCACTCACCCCTTGAGAAACATGGCACATCATCATAAGCATAACCAAGCAGGATGTTCATAGAGAATGGACCAATGACAGCAACAGATGTTAGGGTGGTAACGATGACAGGGGCATGCATCAACTGTAATTCAGTCAACTTTTACCAGTTGTCTGTTAGCTCTCAAAATCTGATGACATGCAGAGCATGAAAAGAGGGAGAAGAAGAAGAAAACTGAACAAAAGAAAGAAGCGAAAAAGAGCAACATGGTGAGTGCTTTTTCAACAACACCAATCTAGTAGAAAGACTGACACAGACAAAAATAATAGAGACAGAATAGAGGGAGAGGGGGCTGCTGCCCAAATAGAAAAATCACAACACAGCACAGCCTCCTGGAACAGTCTGGAACTTACTGCCATCACACTGCCTAACTTAAACTGAAAGAGCAATATTTCAAATTACTGTGCACCTTGGTAAAACACCCAATCAATATTCCTAGAGATCTGCACAGAACATTCAAAATCAGGTTCAAAGTCAAGTTCCCCGTGGGGCCAAAGCCAGGTGGGGAGTGTGGATCTCCTTACCCCTTCCTCCCCCGGCAGGACCACTGCCAGAGGTAGAACAGATAGTACAGTACATGTGGCCCGGCCCAGCCACCTCACCTGTCCATTCCCCATGAGAGACGTGTCCTCCCCCATCAGGATGTAGGAACCAAAGAAGAAGACAAAGGCGTGGCAGAAGCCCAGCAGCGTCCAGTACAAAAAGGTCTTGAAGGAGAGGAGGGAGTTCCTGCTGATGTCTCTGTTGGTGTGAAAGGATACAAAGCAACATGGTTCTGTCCGTTAGCAAATGCTTGTTGTGTTTTCATGCAAATGCATCTAATGGAGGTAAAGCCTCATTCTTTATGGGAAAAATATGCAAAATAGAACACCACATCCTACCTGTAGAGCACTGGCTTACTCTGCAGCACGTGCGGATGGACCTGTTGCTCAAACAGGCTGTACACCAGTATGGGCAGGGAGGTGAAACAGATGTTGTAGAGCGTCAGGTAAACGCTGTCATATAGAGTCTGGGGAAACAGGGAGGCAACAACGAGGTAGGCCAAGGTTGCCACATAACCCTGGGCCATGTACAACACAGCACACACTCACACCTGCCAATATGTTTTTTCCCCTCCGTCAACTAGGGCCTACATTTGGCTAACTCCTACTGTATATTGATGATCCACAGAGATGGACAGTTTGAGTTGATGATCCCTCAGGGGGAGATATAGCTACACGTGGTACATTCAGAACAACAGGCATGTATATCACACAGAACAAGGTACACCGATACAACACTCACAAAGCAACAGTAATAAGGGACCACAAAAAAATGAACAAATTGAACTAATGAGACATTGAAAGACACTTACTTGTTGTGAAAACAGACAGAAGAACTGGTATAAAAACTGGGGCGTAATAAAGCACACATTCTAAGAGAAGACAAAAAGGGATTTAGACCCGAGACAATCACATCTAGCTCCTGTATTGGTTTTCATTTTATAGAGCACCGCAAAGCATCCTTAAACATAGAACTCACCTTGTAAAAAAAGTACTGTACAAGGGATGCTATTCTAATGTAGTAGGAGTGGCCATGGACGAGCAGTAATTTGGAAAGGAATCTAAACCTTGCTATTGCATAGTCACTGTTTCGTACTGCTTGTCTTCCCTCCTTGCCCATGATACCTGAAAAAAAATTTAAAGGTCTGTTATTACCCACTTTGAAACTACAGGGAAAATACACTATTGAGTAATGGGTTATTGTAATTTGATGGGGTGGAGGACTTACCTATGCCAACATGGGCCTCTTGAATCATGCTGACATCATTGGCTCCATCCCCAATGGCTAAAGTGATGGGTTTCTCTGGAGACGTTTTCAGCAATCTCACCACCTGCCAAGCACAGAATTCTCATTAAGCAGCCCAAATGAGACCAGGAGCATGTCCATCGCAATTAGCCTTTACTGTAACACCAGCTACTGCAGATAAAACCACAGCACTAGCCAGATACTCTACTCTCCACAGCCATGACCACTAATACAAAACTCTGCGAAACCAAAAGATAAAACTTAAATAGCTAGCCATCTTAAGGAAGTTTTCCAGACAATTTCAGCAAGTGTCATGTAAGTACACTGTTGTAAGTGAGTTGTAAAGTGGTCTAGAGACCTTTCGCAAACACAGCGCAACAGAGTACTTGAATGTCGTTTTGCATCACAAAATGAACGGTTCCTTGAAGAACATAGTTCTGCCTATGTCGCTGTGTCGCTACGTCGACAAATCACGTTTTTGACTGCACTGGGACTTTAAACAAACCAAACATTAGAATCCCCCCAAAAGGTATTTTGTTGAGAAGTAAAACGGTAAAAACAGCTGGTAGCCATGTGCCTTTTCTCCGTGATATAGGATGACATTCTATTTTTAGCTGAAGGGAGCGAATACATTGAAGCAGCATATCAAATCGGGATAATGTTGTAGGTTACACTAGCAAGTATAAGAATATTTGCCAGGGCATATTATTTAATTATAAATCTCATTATTTCACATTGAGATGTGGGAAGCTAAAAAGGGTAGCTGTTTTGCTGTATTTTTAGCCAGGCTAATGCCAGCTAGCTACTGCTAGCAAGGGAAGACCACTCTTAGTTGGTTTTTCCAACAAATGAGAAGACAAAAATAAACTCTGCTATCGCCCCGTTGTAAATGGGAGTCTAGGAAACACGGACCGGCGAGGGTATCATGTTATCAAAAGGTGCACGTTGTGATCTGTGTTTTCGGAGCGCACTGTTGTAATCATAAATAATCTACTTCAATCACATTCATTCTGCTAGCAGGTATTATGTATTACTATAAAATCTACTAATGTATTATTATTACTAATTTATGCAGGCAATTATCTTTACATTAACAATACATTTGTTCTAAATACTTGAGAGGGCATGAGAGAAATGAGAATGGTGCTGTTCACTGACTGCATTCATAAAGGAGAGCCCTAAAAGGCAGGTAGTGACGGCAAGGGGACTTGCCTTGGCCTTCTGCAGGGGCGCCATGCGGCAGCACAGCACGGCAGAGCAGTTCTTGCACACCTCCATGAAGAGCTTCTCGTGCCCCCGAAGTGCCAGAGACACGCTGGCCCCATCCACCACCAGGCCATGCTGGATCACATGGTCCTCTCTGATCCTACACACACACACACACACACACACACACACACACACACACACAGGAGAGCAGGTATAACTATACAGCCCTAGCATGGAGGTCCTCAGGACACACACACACACACACACACACTTGTTTTACTATCCTTGTGGGGACCAAACAATTGATTGATTCCCATTCAAAATCCTATTTCTCTAACCCCAAAAAAGCCTTTTTCCTTGTGGGGACCGGCAAAATGTCCCCACTTGTCTGAATTTTCCTTGTTTTATTATCCTTCTGGTCCCCACAAGGATAGTAAAACCACACACACACACACACACACACGTCTACAGTGCATATAAATATGACGTTAAACTCTGCCTCCTATAGTTCTTTATTGCACCCAGACTTGTATATTACCCTGAATACATTAACATGCTGATGAGGGCTTGTAGACTAGTTAACCCAGGACACAACATGGACCACAGACATGGTGAGTGACTGACGTGAATGGCATGGGGAGACATGGTGGTAGATGTGAGTGACTGTGTCCTACCTCCTGGCCAGTTGTCGGAGCTGCTCGGCACACTCGTTGTCAGACTTCTGCTGCACCAGCTCCAGGATGTTCATGGTGCGGTGGAAGTGGCCGCAGGACAGGCTGACGCTGACCGCCGTCTCGTGCTTGTCCCCGGTCAGCACCCACACCTTGATCCCGGCCAGGCGAAGCGCCTCGATGGTCTCCTGGACCTTCTCCTGCAGCCTGGGGACACAGACACACACCAGTCACAGCACGTTAGCCTCCATGCCATATAAAGAACTAAAAGGTAGCCCCAAAGGTGGGTTAATTTCCGGGAAACAGAATCGCCCCGGTATGACTGAGGGGCAGGCTCTGTATGAGTGTACTGCACAATGATTGCAGAAAAGGGAATCATGTTTTTTTATGTGTGTGTGAGTCTGTTTCTTTCAGCTTCAAATGTTTTATCCCGCTACCCCAGAATGGAAACAAATGATTGATTGCACTTTTAACCTATCTGATTAGCTTTAAAAGGGCCAATCCACAGTTGGATGTAGCAACTGCAGATTGACCCTTTAATGCTGCTGCAGCTAATTGGCACACATCCATATTCCATAGGAGTGAGTTGAGATCATCCTCCTATAATAATAATAATAATAATAATAATAATAATAATAATGCCATTTAGCAGACGCTTTTATCCAAAGCGACTTACAGTCATGTGTGCATACATTTTTACGTATGGGTGGTCCCGGGGATCGAACCCACTACCCTGGCATTACAAGCGCCATGCTCTACCAATTGAGCTACAGAGGATCAGTTACTCCTGAAGTAACTATGTAGGGTGTGGCTCATCATGACTCAAACCAATCACTTAATTCTGTTTAATTGACCATTTAATTTGCTATGGATGTTGATATGATATCACAATCAATAGAGGTAACGAGGGCATCAATGAGATGTCATAGTCAGACCAGGCCATTAGTCAATCAACTAACCATGTGAACATAATTACATTAAGGAGATGGTCGGAACGAGAACCTGAGGCCCTTAGGGGGCTAACTAATGAAACCTCTGCTCTATGATATCCCATTAAAGCTGCCTGCTTACAACCAAGGCTGTTGTATTCAAGTGGTGAAGCATCTAGTTGTTTGAAAATGCCAAACATCGCCTATTATACATCCAAGAGTAAGTAAGAAGAATGTGTTAATAAGTGTAAGTAAACAAACAAGAACATCCTGTATTCAGGGTTGAATATTCAATATGGATGGTGTGTATGTATATATATGCGGGGGGGGGGGGGGGGGGGGGGGGGGGGGGGGGGGGGGGAATACATATGGGGGATTGGAAGTGATGCAGACAATTACATTGATGGAAGTTACAATCTATCTGCAATATTAAAGCTGATCTACCCCCAAGAAAAAAAGAAGAAAAAAAAGAAAAAGAAAACAATAAATACAAAAAATTTGCAATTCAGCCAGTCAAAATGACATTGATACAATGATGATATGCACAGACATAGTTTGATGTGCTTCCAATAATTATTGAAACAGCCAGATGTAATCTTACATCTGTCCACCTTCACTCTAAGCATGTTGTACACTAGCAGCACTGCAGTATGAATACAGAGATGATGTTGAGATAGAAATGTTAAAGTTAAGTGGTAAAGCCAGATTGATTAGGAGTCTAAAGAGAGAGTGCTTAAGATTTATCATATCCTCAATAATGTAGAGGCTTGTTCCTTCAAAGATTTTTTGGGGTGAGCAGAGCAGCATCCTCTAAGCGAGGAGTTCTATGCGCACCGTGTCTACCGGAGGAAGGAGAAAGAGAGAGCGAGAGAGAGAATGATGGTGTGGGCTGTCTGTATCTCACTGCAGAGCAAGCGCGCGCACACACACACAAAATGCCAACGACAACAGAAAGTCTCTCCTGGATTGCCACTCACTGACCAATGACCAAATCCAGACTGCCTCTGCTTCAGTGTCTCCACGGTCACTCTGTTCAGTATGTGTGACTGACATGGAGCTACAGTGGACAAGTCTGAGGCATTCTATGTAATACATGTAGTAATCAGCATAGACGTGGATAGTCATTTTAAGATGCATGCAAAACTAACCCAGAGGCAGCTAATGGCAAGTGAGCCCTTGTTACATAATTGTTTTAATGGAGCATGGATACGCCCCATTACATTTCATTGCAACAGCCCCCTCAACACAATTGCAAAAAACGAGCAAGAATATTGGATCCTGAGTCTTCGTAAAGGCTTGCCTTGAAGCCCCTCTAACCACTATTAAAAGAGCCTATATCCCTAAATTCAGAGCACCCTCTTCCTTCCAGCAGCATGCTTGCAATGCCTTTCTGCTAAGCAGCAGCACACTAGGTGACTGACGTATGACACTAGGCAGGGCAGCATGTAGAAAGGCATGAGTCATGTTTGAGTGGCTAAGCGCATTAGGCCCAGGAAGGTTGAGCCCAGCCCCTGGCCCCCTACACATGGAGGCTGCTGCACGGCGCTGGTGAGTCACAATGTGCTGTCAAGGTAAAACATCTGTTGACAAGGAACAGAGGAGGAAGCGATCTGCCACTTGTGCCATCTTAACAATGGCTGAACCTCAAGACCGTTTTCACATTGACGAAAGCAAAGGGACATTTTAGAGAGGTATCAATTCTCGAGAGACAATACTGGTGTAAACCTGAAAAATTATCACATCCAGAGGTCGTGCATGACACTCACTCGACAGTTGCCCCACTCCGAGCAGGAGTGCTTACTTACTGTAAACAGAAAGAGCCTGACCAATGTTTTTTTTGGGTACGATACAGATTCTTGGGGGATCAAAATGTACCAATGCCGATATACAGTGAGCTCCAAAAGTATTGGGACAGTGACCATTTTTGTTTTGTTTTGGCTCCGTACTCCAGCACTTTGGATTTGAAATGATACAATGACTATGAGGTGAAGTGCAGACTGTCAGCTTTAATTTTAGGGTATTGTCATCCATATCGGGTGAACAGTTTAGAAATTATGCACTTTTTGTACATGGTCCCCCCATTTCAGGGGACCAAAAGTATTGAGACAAATTCACTTGTGTATTAAAGTAGTAAAAAGTTAAGTATTTGGTCCCATATTCATAGCACGCAACGACTACATCAAGCTTGTGACTCTACACATTTGTTGGATGCATTTGCTGTTTGTGCCACTGTCCCAATACCTTTGGAGCTCACTGTATCTGCCGATATACAGCGTAATTTTTACACACTGTATTCTCATAAATTGCCATTAAAATCAGCAATTGTCAAAGAAATATGCTTCAAATGTTGATTTCTTACATTGTGAAATGAATGACATCATGAGAAGTGTTCATTCAGATAAGTATGACATGTAGCTTTTTTTCATCCTATTTATTAAATATCGGTGGAATTATTGGCCGATACCGATATAGCGGTAAAAAGCCAATATCAGCAGATAATATTGGTGAACTGATATATCGTTCAGGCTCTAAAAATAATTGTCTCATTAAGCTCAACACTCCTACAGTATAAATGGTAATACCAGAGCAATGTTTTTGAAACAGCTGAAATTGCAGTAACAGCCTGTTACATTCTTAAATTGTCACAGTAGCTGACGCCTGCTGGTTGCACTAAGCCACGTAAAACTATGTAAGCCCATTCCCACCAAAAATTTTTTTGGGTGTCTTCACACCTACCACAGAGGTAAGCAATCCTGATCCTGGAGTGCTGCAGGTACACTACATGACCAAAAGTATGTGGAAACCTGCTCGTCGAACATCTCATTCCAAAATCATGGGCATCAATATGGGGTTGGTCCCCCCTATGCTGCTATTACAGCCTCCACTCTTCTGGGAAGGCTTTCGACCAGATGTTGGAACATTGCTGCGAGAACTTACTTCAATTCAGCCACAAGAGCATTAGTGAGGTCGGGCACTGATGTTGGGCGATTAGGCCTGGCTTGCAGTCGGTATTCCAATTCATCCCAAAGGTCTTCAATGGGTTTGAGGTCAGGGTTCTGTGCAGGCCAGTCAATTTCTACACCAATCTTGACTAACCATTTCTGTATGGACCTCGCTTTGTGCATGGGGGCATTGTCATGCTGAAGTAGGAAAGGGCCTTCCCCAAACTGTTGCCAAAACGTTGGAAGCACAGAATCGTCTAGAATGTCATTGTATGCTGTAGCGTTAAGATTTCCCTTCACTGGAACTAAGGGGCCTCGGCCGAACCATGAAAAACAGCCCCAGACCATTATTCCTCCTCAATTAAACTTCACAGTTGGCACTATGCATTGGGGCAGGTAGCGTTCTTCTGGCATCCACTAAATTCAGATTCGTCCGTCGGACTGCCAGATGGTGAAGCGTGATTCATCATTCCAGAGAACGCGTTTCAACTGTTTCAGAGTCCAATGGCGGCGAGCTTTATACCACTCCAATCGACGCTTGCCATTGCGCATTGTAATCTTAGGTTTGGGTGCGGCTGCTCGGCCATGGAAACACATTTCATGAAGCTCCCGACGAACAGTTATTGTGCTGACATTGCTTCCAAAGGCAGTTTGTGAGTACTGCAACCGAGGACAGACGATTTTTATGCGCTACTCGCTTCAGCACTCGCCGGTCCCGTTCTGTGAGCTTGTGTGGCCTACCACTTCGCAGCTGAGCCGTTGTTGCTCCCAGACGTTTCCACTTCACAATAACAGCACTTAACACAATTACTGCCAATGTTTGTCTATGGATATTGCATGGCTGTATGCTCGATTTTATACACGTGTCAGCAACGGGTGTGGCAGAAATAGCCGAATACACTGATTTGAAGGGTTGTCCACATACAGTACCAGTCAAAAGTCTGGACACATCTACTCATTCATGGGTTTTTCTTTATTTTTACTATTTTCTACATTGTAGAATAAAGTAAAGACATCAAAATTATGAAATAACACATATGGAATCATGTAGTAACCAAAAACGTGTTAAACAAATCAAAATATATTTTATATTTGAGATTCTTCAAATAGCCACCCTTTACCTTGATGACAGCTTTGCACACTCTTGGCATTCTCTCAACCAGCTTCACCTGGAATGCTTTTCCAACAGTCTCCACATATGCTGAGCACTTGTTGGCTGCTTTTCCTTGACTCTGCCTTCCGACTCATCCCAAACCATCTCAATTGGGTTGATGTCAGGGGATACCAAATAGGGCTATCTTCTGTATACCACCCCTACCTTGTCACAACACAACTGATTGGCTCAAACGCAGGGATGTAGCTCAGTTGGTAGAGCATGGCGTTTGCAACGCCAGGATTGTGGGTTCGTTTCCCACGGGGGGCCAGTATAAAAAAAAAAAAAATAATAATAATGTATGCACTCACTAACTGTAAGTCGCTCTGGATAAGAGCGTCTGCTAAATGACTAAAATGTAAATGTAAATTAACAAGGCACACCTGTTAATTGAAATGCATTCCAGGTGACTACCTCATGAAGCTGGTTGAGAGAATGCCAAGAGTGTGCAAAGCTGTCATCAAGGTAAAGGGTGGCTATTTGAAGAATCTCAAATATAAAATATATTTTGATTTGTTTAACACTTTTTTGTTTACTACATGATTCCATGTGTTATTTAATAGTTTTGATGTCTTCACTATTATTCTACAATGTAAAAAATAGTACAAATAAAGAAAAACCCTTGAATGATTAGGTGTGTCCAAACTTTTGTCTGGTAGTGTATATATACACATACATACATGTATGTGTGTTAAACTCTACTGATCGAGTGCTCAAATAGCCCACCCTTTCTGATATCATTGCTTGGAGCTCATAATGAGCTAACCCTTGACCAGACAGACACCAAACAGTGTTGTTGACATACTTGTCTTCCACCCCGGTGGCTCCCAGCAGCTCCAGGTCCTTTTCTATGAAGCTGAAGACCTCGGCCAGCCTCTCCTCTCTCTGCTGCAGGGCCGTGCGGGCCTTGTGGAGCCGCCGGTCCACCTCCTCATACTCCATTACACTGAAATGTCTGCAGGCCACCACCAACGTTCGCAGGCCCTTCTGGAGAGGGGGAAGAAACCGAGTAGCTGTCAGAGACTGGCTTTATATCAAATAACCACACGCCTGCCAGTCACAAATCAAAAACAAATCTCTCTGTAGATCCTGATGTCTGGATAAAGTGACTGTTAAGTTGCAAGATGTATTGCTTTGCTTGGGGAGTCTGGGGGGAAAGACCCACAAGTAATCATTACTCTGCAGTAAAAAAAGAGGCAATCGGCCATGAGACCCCTTGCTTAGAAATAAAAGTGCCATTTAAATATAGTGTTTAGTTTACCTCCAATCTTGTGGAATGAAAATGGGGTGTTTGAGTGTGTCCGTGTGTGTGTGAGCATACAAGTACGCATGTGTTCAATTCAGACAGGAGGCGACCCAGCTGCACTGGTGGACTCTTCAGCACAGATAATAAAAGATAGCATTCAGCGTAGCAAAAAATCTGCTGTACATAAGGGCTGGAAATAGTGCGTTGTCTAATATGATGTGATGTGGTATACTCACCAAGGCAAATTCATCTACATGTACTCTTGTTTTGTTAATTTCTCCACTTGTAGTAAAGGGAAGAATGGCGGACTCAGCTCCCTTTGTAAATAGTACTTTTCCCCCTATAGCAATAGATAAAATATATTGCAAATGAATTGTCATAGTGAGTATGGGCCAGATATGAAATACAGGGTAGCAGTAACAGTTAGGGAAATGAACTGAATAATGTTGCAGGACCAAATCAAAGGTGGGTTACATAATGTAATGAAATCCAAATATGTTTATGAACGAGCCATTCGTCTAATATGGAGAGAAATCCCTGTACCTGAGGGTGTCTGTAATATGACACTCATTCTCCTTCGGTTTGCATCAAACTCTAGTACATGGAGTAGTTTATACCTGTGGGACAAGGGAATAATTGGTAGTACATCACTTTCTATGCACAGTACAGGTTCATCATCTACATAAAATGTCTGACTTTTTAACCATAGAAAATTATACTTACTTTTCTGACTTTCCAAATGTTTTTATTTCCATAATTTCTCCATGGCTACCAATAAAGGTAATCCCCATCCTGCAAATCAAATCAAAAACAATTAAATTGTTTCATGTGACATTGCTGACCATAAATACTGTAACATGCAGACTGTTGCCCATACATAACCCATGACCATAACTGTAATATGCAGACTGTGGTCTGGAATGTGGTGAACCTCTAAAACTATTTGTCTCAATAAATGTTAATTTGTCTGAGTGCTTGTATGTCCAAAAAGACCTGTGAGACCAGCACTGGTCATATAGCTATATATATGAATTTGATTTACCAACAACAGTACAAATGGGTTGAACAGTGAGACATGACAGCTATCCTCCTGGGTACCTTTTAGTGGCTTCCACCAGTGCTTTCTCGTCCGGCGAGGAGGCATAGTACTCCATCTGGGAGGAGAAGCCGTTAGCGTGGGAGAATGGGTTCGCCGGGCCGTCGCCTGGCTGCTCGTAGCTGATCTGCACTGTGTGACACAGCGACACTGCCTTCAGGAACAGCAACTCCTCCCGACTCTGAGAGGTGGCAGACAGACAGAGAGAGACAGACATGAGAACAGTACCTAGAGTTATCAAACCATTGCGAGGGTCCAAACCCATGAGGACAGTCAATGAATAATTGTTTAACACATGGTTTGAAATGCAGAGCTAACCATGTACAGTTGAAGTCGGAAGTTTACATACACTTAGGTTGGAGTCATTAAAACTCGTTTTTCAACCACTCCACAAATTACTTGTTAATAAACTATAGTTTTGGCAAGTCGGTTAGGACATCTACTTATTTTTCCAACAATTGTTTACAGACAGATTATTTCACTTATAATTCACTGTATCACAATTCCAGTGGGTCAGAAGTTTACATCCACTAAGTTGACTGTGACTTTAAACAGCTTGGAAAATTCCAGAAAATGATGTCATGGCTTTAGAAGCTTCTGATAGGCTAATTGACATAATTTGTGTCAATTGGAGGTGTACCTGTGGATGTATTTCAAGGCCTACCTTCAAACTCAGTGCCTCTTTGCTTGACATCATGGGAAAATCAAAAGAAATCAGCCAAGACCTCAGAAAATTAATTGCAGATCTCCACAAGTCTGGTTCATCCTTGGGAGCAATTTCCAAACGCCTGAAGGTACCACGTTCATCTGTACAAACAATAGTACGCAAGTATAAACACCATGGGACCACGTAGCTGTCATACCGCTCAGGAAGAAGACACGTTCTGTCTCCCAGAGATGAACGTACTTTGGTGCGAAAAGTGCAAATAAATCCCAGAAAACAGCAAAGGACCTTGTGATGATGCTGGAGGAAACAGGTACAAGAGTATCTATATCCACAGTAAAATGAGTCCTATATCGACATAACCTGAAAGGCCGCTCAGCAAGGAAGAAGCCACTGCTCCAAAACCGCCATAAAAAAGCCAGACTACGGTTTGCAACTGCACATGGGGACAAAGATCGTACTTTTTGGAGAAATGTCCTTTGGTCTGATGAAACAAAAATATAACTGTTTGGCCATAATGACCATTGTTATGTTTGGAGGAAAAAGGGGGATGCTTGCAAGCCAAAGAACACCATCCCAACCGTGAAGCACGGGGGTGGCAGCATCATGCTGTGGGGGTGCTTTGCTGCAGGAGGGACTGGTGCACTTCACAAAATAGATGGAGGAAGGAAGATTATGTGGATATATTGAAGCAATATCTCAAGACATCAGTCAGGAAGTTAAAGCTTGGTTGCAAATGGGTCTTCCAAACGGACAATGACCCCAAGTATACTTCCAAAGTTGTGGCAAAATGGCTTAAGGACAACAAAGTCAAAGTATTGGAGTGGCCATCACAAAGCCCTGACCTCATTCCTATAGAACATTTGTGAGCAGAACTGAAAAAGCGTGTGCGAGCAATGAGGACTACAAATCTGACTCAGTTACACCAGCTCTGTCAAGAGGAATGGGCCAAAATTCACCCAACTTATTGTGGGAAGCTTGTGGAAGGCTACCCGGAACGTTTGACCCGAGTTAAACAATTTAAAGGCAATGCTACCAAATACTAATTGAGTGTATGTAAACTTCTGACCCACTGGGAATGTGGTGAAAGAAATAAAAGCTGAAATAAATCATTCTCTCTACTATTATTCTGACATTTCACATTCTTAAAATAGTGGTGATCCTAACTGACCTAAGAAAGGGAATTTTTACTAGGATTAAATGTCAGGAATTGTGAAAAACTGAGTTTAAAGGTATTTGGCTAAGGTGTATGTAAACTTCCGACTTCAATTGTATATTTAATGAATGCACAGACAACAAATGAATAAATACTGTATCGCAAGTCACTTGGGCACGTGAGGTTTTAATGGTGTTTACCAGAGGAGGCACAGATCCGTCAGGCGAGTCATCCGTCATTCCCTCGGGTAAAAGCTTTCCATTGATTTCCTGGTATTTGATACCATTGATTGAACATTCACGGAACAGCATCTCGTTCTCTGTCAGGGTGCCGGTTTTATCCGTAAACACGTATTCCACCTATAACACACACACAGAGGCTGTTCATAACACACACACAAACTCTGCTATGACGCTGAGCATGGTGGCGCCATTAACAGAGACCAATAGTGAAGTGCTTTATGTCCGGACCTGTCCCAGCTCCTCGTTGAGGTCGGACGTGTTGACCTGAGCCATCTGGTCGCTCTCCTCGTGATAGAGATCCATGTCCCAGCCAATGAAAAACGAGCCCAGGAATTTCTGCATCTCCACAGTGACGTAGAGTGAGATGGGGATGATAAAATTGTATAGGACCAGAAACGCCAGGAAATCAGAGATGAACTTCAGGATCTGTCAACAAGGAAGTGGTTGGGAAATAATAAAATACAACAATTAATAAAGAAATAAACTACAAATAACCTATACTATTAAAGTTAGGGACTGTAGTAAAATAATTTGTATTCTATTTTTAATTTATAGTATTTATAGTATTATAAAATAAAACATCTCCAAATACAAGAAACTGGAACACAAAAGTACTTAAAGCCAGGAATTAGGCAGGAATCAACAAGGTAGAAATAAAAACACTACAAACAGAAGACATAGAAGGCACAGTATGTGGGTATGTATGGGTGTATATGTGGGGGGAGTGCGGGTGTGTTGGAAGATGGGGTGCCCGTGTGTTTTGTGTGATTGGGAAAGTTTGATGAGAAAAGTGAGTGAGTAAGGAAAATGGTTGCAAATGCCAGAGCCCATGTGTGTCTGTGAGCAGGAGTTGTGACAGAGCGAGAGTCTTCACTTTTGCGCAGATATGGGATATACATTTTAAAGTAAAATACAAATATATATATACATTTTTTTTCTTCTATCACGATGGAATGGTGCCAACCTTATATCCTCGACACCCACCTGAGCGACCCACCCACCAAGGAGAAGTCCTTATCCGTTTTATAGGCCTACTGCAAGTAGCCTACGCAGCCAAGACAGAAATGTGAACGCGGTCAAAGACCCACTAAAGCAGCACCGCCCCCTCAAGAATCTGAGCATGTCTTGCAGGGTTCGTCCAAAAGCCAAAGCTCCTGGATGGGTGAGCATAATATACAAGGATTTTCTCAAAGCTGCTTATGAGAACCTTGACGACCTCATACCTAGCCGGTGGGAATTCCGGTGGAGTACCCCCACCCAGGTAGTGGCAGTGCTGGCAACACTGGCTGCAGTAACCCATGGGGCGGGAGAATGGACAATCTGAGAAGAGGCATATTATTGTTGCCCTGCTAGGACTAGATATTGGTTAATCAAATCTTCCCATTCCAATTTGGCATGCCTTCTCAATCAGCCAAACTGTATATCCATTCACACATCAAGTCTTCTCTTGAGTTGGGCTCGGGATGAAACAACTGTTGAACATCTGAGCTTGTGGTTGTGTGTGTGGGTGGAGTTGATCTATGGGTGGAAGGGGAGAGAGGGGCAGAAGTGTTTGTGTGGAAGGGGTAGGGTGAATCAGTGTATGCATCCCACATCTATTGACAAATATTTTAGATTTTCTACTGCCAGTCCTTGTTATAGGTAACGATCCTTCGTAGAAGTGCTTATATTATTACGCACTTATTAGTCAATTGTGGGAATGAATTAAAGATATGCAAGATTTTGTAATATATATCTTTTTTAAATAACTAGATGCATTACAACTGAGGTGAAGGCATTAGAAATGCTGTTGGCTGCGAATCTGGTTCTGTACTGTAGGTGGCACCAGGTGCTCTTTTTTAAAGGATGGGCCCCTAGCTCTCAAAGGCCCTAGGATCCATGTGTATAGGGGTGGTCAGACAGTCACTGGGATGACAACCCAACTTGGGATGGGGGAGGTTTTAGCGGGTGGAGTATTGGAGGCCAGTTAAACCCCGTTTCCTCTGGCACTTAAAATTAGGGCCAAATTCGAGCTGGCTCGAATGGAATTCTCAAATTCGAGCTGGGTCGAGGGAAACCCCGGACAGCGATTAAAGTTCGGGCTGGTGACGCCATTACTACGCAACCACCAGCTGATCACTGCTGGATGCTTACACCACATTTAGCTAGCTCGTCTGGGCTTGTTGCTGTTAGCTAGCACATGGACAAGCAATACTTCTGTAGTCAGACATAACACAAATTACCACCATAGCTGGATCCTTCATTTATTTTTGCACTACAAAAACTTATGAGATCAGTCAGCTCTCGAATGCTAAGTACAGAGAGGGAAAAAAGTATTTGATCCCCTGCTGATTTTGTAAGTTTGCCCAATGACAAAGAAATGATCAGTCTATAATTTTAATGGTAGGTTTATTTGAACAGTGAGAGACAGAATAACAACAAAATCCAGAAAAACGCATGTCAAAAATGTTATAATTTTTTTTGAATTTTAATGAGGGAAATAAGTATTTGACCCCCTCTCAATCAGAAAGATTTCTGGCTCCCAGGTGTATTTTATACAGGTAACAAGCTGAGATTAGGAGCACACTCTTAAAGGGAGTGCTCCTAATCTCATCTTGCTACCTGTATAAAAGACACCTGTCCACAGAAGCAATCAATCAGATTCCAAACTCTCCACCATGGCCAAGACCAAAGAGCTCTCCAAGGATGTCAGGGACAAGATTGTAGAACTACATAAGGCTGGAATGGGCTAAAAGACCATCGCCAAGCAGCTTGGTGAGAAGGTGACAACAGTTGGTGCGATTATTCGCAAATGGAAGAAACACAAAAGAACTGTCAATCTCCCTCGGCCTGGGGCTCCATGCAAGATCTCACCTCGTGGAGTTGCAATGATCATGAGAACGGTGAGGAATCAGCCCAGAACTACACGGGAGGATCTTGTCAATGATCTCAAGGCAGCTGGGACCATAGTCACCAAGAAAAAAATTGGTAACACACTACGCCATGAAGGACTGAAATCCTGCAGTGCCCGCAAGGTCCCCCTGCTCAAGAAAGCACATATACAGGCCCGTCTGAAGTTTGCCAATGAACATCTGAATGATTCAGAGGAGAACTGGGTGAAAGTGTTGTGGTCAGATGAGACCAAAATCGAGCTCTTTGGCATCAACTCAACTCGCCGTGTTTGGAGGAATAGGAATGCTGCCTATGACCCCAAGAACACCATCCCCACCGTCAAACATGCAGGTGGAAACATTATGCTTTGGGGGTGTTTTTCTGCTAAGGGGACAGGACAACTTCACTGCATCAAAGGGACGATGGACAGGGCCATGTACCGTCAAATCTTGGGTGAGAACCTCCTTCCCTCAGCCAGGGCATTGAAAATGGGTCGTGGATGGGTATTCCAGCATGACAATGACCCAAAACACACAGCCAAAGCAACAATGGAGTGGCTCAAGAAGAAGCACATTAAGGTCCTGGAGTGGCCTAGCCATGATGTCATGGCTTTAGAAGCTTCTGATAGGCTAATTGACATCATTTGAGTCAATTGGAGGTGTACCTGTGGATGTATTTCAAGGCCTACCTTCAAACTCAGTGCCTCTTTGCTTGACATCATGGGAAAATCAAAAGAAATCAGCCAAGACCTCAGAAAAATAATTGTAGACCTCCACAAGTCTGGTTCATCCTTGGGAGCAATTTCCAAACGCCTGAAGTTACCACGTTCATCTGTACAAACAATAGTACGCAAGTATAAACACCATGGGACCACGCAGCTGTCATACCGCTCAGGAAGGAGACACGTTCTGTCTCCTAGAGATGAACGTACTTTGATGCGAAAAGTGCAAATCAATCCCAGAACAACAGCAAAGGACCTTGTGAAGATGCTGGAGGAAACAGGTACAAAAGTATCTATACCAACAGTAAAACGAGTTCTATATCGACATAACCTGAAACGCCATGAAAAAGCCAGACTACAGTTTGCAACTGCACATGGGACAAAGATCGTATTTTTTGTATAAATGTCCTCTGGTCTGATGAAACAAAAATAGAACTGTTTGGCCATAATGACCATCGTTATGTTTGGAGGAAAAAGGCGGATGCTTGCAAGCCGAATAACACCATCCCAACCGTGAAGCACGGGGTGGCAGCATCATGCTGTGGGGGTGCTTTGCTGCAGGAGGGACTGGTGCACTTCACAAAATAGATGGCATCATGAAGAAGGAAAATTATGTGGATATATTGAAGCAACATCTCAAGACATCAGTCAAGAAGTTAAAGCTTGGTCGCAAATGGGTCTTCCAAATGGCCAATAACCCCAAGCATACTTCCAAAGTTGTGGCAAAATGGCTTAAGGACAACAAAGTCAAGGTATTGGAGTGGCAATCACAAAGCCCTGACCTCAATCCTATATACAATTTGTGGGCAGAACTGAAAAAGCGTGTGCGAGCAAGGAGGCCTACAAACCTGACTCAGTTACACCAGCTCTGTCAGGAGGAATGGGCCAAAATTCACCCAACTTATTGTGGGAAGCTTGTGGAAGGTTACCCGAAACGTTTGACCCAAGTAAAAAAATGTAAAGGCAATGCTACCAAATACAAATTGAGTATATGTAAACTTCTGACCCAATGGAAATGTGATGAAAGAAATAAAAGCTGAAATATATCATTCTCTCTACTATTATTCTGACATATTACATTCTTAAAATAAAGTTGTGATCCTAACTGACGTAAGACAGGGAATTTTTACTAGGATTAAATGTCAGGAATTGTGAAAATGTGAGTTTAAATGTATTTGGCTAAGGTGTATGTAAACTTCCGACTTCAACTGTATATTTGCGAGAAAAAAAGATATGGGGGATTGGAAGTGATGCAGACAATTACATTGATGGAAGTGACAATCTGCAATATTAAAGCTGATCTTTAAAAATAAATAAAATAAAGATACAATAGAGTTGTATAGAATTATGTTAATGTTGAACTCTAATGTTAAGTGGAGGGCCACGAACAGTACCTAGTAATACCTTATACTGTTAGAAAGCTAATATTTTTTGTATTTTTTATTTATCTATGATTTGTATGCACTTTTTGCACTAGTATGCACTGCTAAAGTAAATAGTATGAAAAATTGTACATTGTAGATTTTATCTTCAAATGTCATATGCTATGAACTTTAAAAATATAAATCTACATATGCTGTGCATTCGGAAAGTATTCAGACCTCTGACCTTTTCCATATTTTGTTACGTTACAGCCTTATTCTAAAATTGATTAAATTAATGTTTTTCCTCATTAATCTACACACAATACCCCATAATGACAAAGCGAAGTAAGGTTTTTAGATTTTTTTGTATTAAAAATAAAAAACAGAAATACCTTATTTACATAAGTATTCATATCCTTTGCTATGATATTCCAAATTGAGCTCAGATGCATCCTGTTTCCATTGCTCATCCTTGAGATGTTTCTACAACTTGATTGGAGTCCACCTGTGGTAAATTCAACTGATTGGACATGATTTGGAAAGGCACATACCTGTCTATATAAGGTCCCACAGTTGACAGTGCATGTCAGAGCAAAAACCAAGCCATGAGGTCGAAGGAATTGTCCGTAGAGCTCCGAGACAGGATTGTGTTAAGGCACAGATCTGGGGAAGGGTACCCGAAAATGTCTGCAGCATTGAAGGTCCCCAAGAACACAGCAGCATCCATCATTCTTAAATGGAAGAAGTTTGGAACCACCAAGACTCTTCCTAGAGCTGGCCGCCCGGCCAAACTGAGCAATTGGAGGAGAAGAGCCTTGGTCAGGGAGGTGACCAATGGTCACTCTGACAGAGCTCCAGAGTTCCTCTGTGGAGATGGGAGAACCTTCCAGAAGGACAACCATCTCTGCAGCACTCCACCAATCAGGTCTTTATGGTAGAGTGGCCAGACGGAAGCCACTTCTCAGTAAAAGGCCCGCTTGGAGTTTGCCAAAAGGCACTTAAAGGACTCTCAGACCATGAGAAACAAGATTCTCTGGTCTGATGAAACCAAGATTGAACTCTTTGGCCTGAATGCCAAGCATCACATCTGGAGGAAACCTGGCACCATCCCTACGGTGAAACGTGGTTGTGGCAGCATCATGCTTTGGGGATGTTTTTCAGTGGCAGGGACTGGGAGACTAGTCAGGATCTAGGGAAAGATGATCTAGGGAAAGATCCTTGATGAAAACCTGCTCCAGATGATGTGGAAAATAATCACTATCCTTTATTAAAAATCTAAGTTCTTCCAGAGTTTTTGTAGAATCAAGATTGACTTTATTACAATTCAACAAAGTCAGGCTGGTCTGCAGAGTAGCCCCCCTTCTCTCACTCTGCTCCCCATCTATATAGTCCCATTCTCTTCCCTTCTAGCTCAAAACCCCTCCTTCTTCAGTTTCCCGTTCTCTATCGCTCTGCCCACTTCCTTTGTCTATGATGGCGGCTACAATCAATCAATCCCTTATCTTGCAAAAACACTCATGTTTAGTTTAAACTCTGTTCAACTCCAGCTCTCCCGAGCTTGACCTGGAGATTGATTGTTGGACATGACAGGTTCACTGAGGAGAGATGCATTAGGCAACAGTCTGGTTTCAGTCTCTGATAAGGTAAGACAGCCATGGATTAGGTAAGAGAGAGCAATTTGACCCTAGGTCAGATCCCCACTTCACACACACACACAGTGAAATGACCCAATTAAGTTATTGCATAACAACAGAGAATTCTAACTATATGTTCGTGATTAACTCAGTTTTATCTTATAGTCCACTAAAAAATCTTTCTCACAGAGCGCTCAGGACCTCAGACTGGCTTGTAGGTTCATACCCGAGAAGACTCGAGGCTGTAATCGCTGCCAAAGGTGCTTCAACAAAGTACTGAGTAAAGGCTCTGAATACTTATGTAAATGTAATATTTCAATTTTTTATTTTGAATAAATTTGCTTTGTCATTATGGGGTATTGTGTGTAGATTGATGAGGGGAAAAAACCATTTCATCCATTTTAGAATTAGGCTGTAACGTAACAAAATGTGGAAAAGTCAAGAGGTCTGAATACTTTCCGAATGCACTGTACTCACAATCAACTTTACAATTTACATGCTATAAGATTTCAGCTGCCTTATTATTGTATTAATTGTTTATATAACTACTGTTCAGGGAAACTCCAACTAATTTCCTGGTGCACTGCTCAAATCCCCCTTTTTGCCCTCAGAACAGCCTCATTTCGTCGGGGTATGTACTCTAAAAGGTGTCGAAAGTGTTCCAGAGGAATGCTGGCCCATGTTGACTCCAATGATTCCCACAGTTGTGTCAAGTTGGCTGGATGTCCTTTGGGTGGTGGACCATTCTTGATACACACAGGAAAATGTTGAGCGTAAAAAACCCAGCAGCATTGCAGTTCTTGACACAAACCGGTGTGCCTGGCACCTACTACTATACCCCGTTCAAAGGAACTTAAATATTTTGTCTTGCCCATTCACCCTCTGAATGGCACACATATATAATCCATGTCTCAATTGTCTCAAGGCTTAAAAATCCTTCTTTAACCTTTCTCCTCCCCTTCATCTACACTGATTGAAGTGGATTTAACAAGTGACATCAATAAGGGATCATAGCTTTCACCTGGATTCACCGGGTCAGTCTATGCCATGGAAAGAGCAGGTGTTCTTAATGTTTTGTGTACTCAGTGTAAATCGATGTGTGTTTGTTGTAGAACGATGGGACTACTTCCTATCGCTGCAGTAGACTCTCAGCTTTGCAGCGCTATTTGGTTTGTGTGCCTGTGATGTACCGTTCCGATCTGACATTCCGATCAGTGAATGAGCATAAAGTGGGGACTCCCGAGCCTCCAATGACTGTGGATATGTAACCTGATACCGCAGTCCTCCAATTTGGTCTAAAAGAAGTTGATTTATAAGCGAATTACTTTGATATGCCTTGATAAAACAATTACATCACTTTTTTTTTTTTATCAACAAATCACAGCACATATTTATGGGTACAGGTTCTGCTTTTAATTCCTGCTTCTACTTCCTGCTTTGCTCCTCGCAATGGCACCAGTCCCCCTATTATGCCATAAATTACTTGAATGGGGACACCCGTTCTATTCATTATATTTCTATAGCAGCACATGCAGTCAGGAGCGGAGGAGAAAATGTGTGTCTTAAATTATCATTATTATTATATCTTTGCTATTCGAACGGTTATTACAGTGACCATAGTCATTTGGCTGGCCAATTACCATCATCCAAAATTCCATGACCGTCACCGCCCTAGTGAAAACATCTTCCCACCTTCACTGCATTATCCCCAAAAACAACAAACATTTTGCAAATAAAGTATCCAAGAATCCTATGAAATCTAAGATAATCTGTTTAAGAGAGTGATTTACCAATGTGAATAAAGTGTCTCAGACAGTGACTGACCTGGCTACTGTTTCTCTCCTGCTCTGTCTGCTGGTTGTAGAAGGGCTCGTCCCACTTCTTCTCAGCCTGCCAGGCGTACTTCAGGATGGTGCTGAGGATGGCCTCAAACAGCAGGATGCCCAGGTAGATGAGTAGAAAGGTGTTCATGGACCTGAAAGAAACACACCCAAAGATACAAACTGTCTGAGATGTACAGTACATACTGTAAAGCTGAACCTGAAATCTGAGAAGAGGAAACTCAGAAGTGTTCAGTGTTGCTGTAGAGGTGCAGAATGTCCTAATGCTCACTTCTCCACTGCAGAGCGCTTCTGGGATTTGCACTTGTAGTTCAGGGCCATCTTGGACTCCATCCCAGTGTAAACTGCCACACCTGCAAATCAAGAGTGGATCTTTACTGAACCCTGAATAGACAACAACCAACTGGGCAACTAGGGACAACAGAGCATAACTGAGGACAGAAAACAATATGATGACAACAGTGAGAGCAAGAAGCCATTTACCAAAAATTTCTTTGGTATTTTTCAATCTTGCTCCTCGAAGCAGCAGGTTTTCAGGTCCAAGGGGTCTAATGAAGCAGGGACAAATTTAAGAATGATACAACATAATAACTTTTATTTCACCAGCAAATGGAAACAATGTGCCATTCCATCCATGCAACTCAGATAAAAATCCAATAAACTAGAATTGGCAAATTTTGCAATCTCACCTTACAATCTCTTCTTCTTGTTGTGTTACCGTTATTCGCCCAACAAACCTGAAAGAAGAGACATTTCTTCTGAGTGGGAAGAGTTACAGAGTAACAGACAAACTGCAACACCAACAATCCCTAAAAATACCTCCATTCTGGCCTGTAGAAATTTGAAAAATAATAAATGGTCCTGTTCAGTTATGGGGACAGTGAAAGGAGAGCGCAGCATTCTGACTGGCCAGTAAGAGCATGGTGTTATGTTCTGGACTGTAGCTGTGACTGTACCGTACCTATACAGATCTGCATCTGGCTGCTGACACTCCACCACAGCATGTAGGGCCTCTAGCCTGGACACCGACTGAGACAACAATGTCTCTGGCACAGAGTAATGAGTCTACAAGACCACAGAGAGAGTAGGGATATGTTCATGGAGAGGGACGAAGATAGCAATTTTATAGAATATAAATAAAACATTTACAATGAGACAGTGAGCCACGAGGCTTGTTAGGTTTCCATTTATAATTGAACTGAATCATTCCATGAATGCTTGAGGGACAAAATCCAATCTGGTGGCTAAAGGCATCCGTCCGCATGCTTCCCAGCCGAAACATATATTATGACGACATTCTGTGATGTTTTCGGTTGTTCGTACACACAATTTTTTTTCCGAGGCAAGCCGAAGTCGGTACCGAAGTCTACGGCCCTTTGTCGGTGATTGGTCAACAGTAGGGATTCTTCAATTAAGTGTTTGTTATCGAATCGTTTTCATGCAAATTTTTGCACTTGAGAAATTCTGTACCAAAAAATATTGTGTTAGATGTAGAAATTGCACGACTATGATGTCCTCTGCAAAAATATCAAAATTAATGACAGATTTATTGAGTTATCTTAGATTAATTCAGACTATTTTGTGGCAGGGACTCACTACAGCGTGTCAAGATGGACTAACAGTACTATTGACTATTTTTTCTTGTTTTTCAAGCGAAGGTCTTTTAAGGGAGTATGCGAGCACACTCGTTCGGGTTCACCTAGCCGAGTTCGGCTAGGCACCAGCCGAACCGAAGCATGCCGACGCCTTTACCCATGTGCAACCTTTCGTTGCTCTAACCCCCTCAGTGAGAAAGCTAGTCCATCCCCCATTGGATTCTAATGTCATTACTGCAACACAAACAGCCATAAAAGACAAGTAGCTGGCACAGAAAGCTGACAGAGAGGCTGCACTCCTGAGATTGCACAAGAAAGAATACATTGCAGTTGTCCCAAAAAATATATATCTTCTGTTTGTGACAATATACTCTTCAAACACGTCACATTTCCAGAGTGGGCTCTCTGGTACTTTAATGATATGACCAATTTTTTTTAAGAAAAAAGAGATAAATAAGTAAACTGTTATATGGCAGAAGCATTTTGATTAGAAGCAGATAATTAGATATTGCCTCTGGCAAAAACACGATCTCTCGACAGACTGCATAAGTAGTAGGTCATGGAAATGAAAGGATGGAGACGGGCCATGAAAAGAGCAGTTTTTCCTCCCTCTGTGAGAGGGGAACGCTAATCCTTTTAGGGCTCAGAGAGAAAGAAAGTGAGAGCGGGGACGGAAGATTAAAAGCTCAACCTTTAGATTAGTCTCTCCGTCCAGGCTGGTGGTGGTGATGTGACACGTTCCCTCAGCTCGGTCCGATGATAAGAGGACCAGGTCCACTGGGAATGTCTCATCTTTGGCCACCCGGACTATGTCCCCCACCTGAGCAGACAGCACAGAAAGACACGTCACAACAGATGAATGAGGAGCAAACCTCCCCCATGATATCCACGACCTCAGAATCCAATATTTTCTGAAGACAAGGACAGTGTAGTTCAATAGTGAATGCCACCATGCACTGTTTTAAAAATAGCCCAGTTTTTGCTATGTGAAAACTGATGCATTCCATCTGCAGAACTGTTAAACAACAAACTAAAACAGCACTTGAATACACTTCTGGAATCTTCTGGCAGTTTAATGTATGATTTATTTTACCTTCAAAATGTATTATCAAAGTAAATGAAAGATGAGTGCTAATCTTTCCCTTTCAAGACGATTCAATACATATCTGAATACATGGGCTCTGATACGATACAGGAACGATACGTTTTAGTTTGAAACAATTCAGTGTGATTCAGTTTGATTAGAGAACGAATCGATGCGATGCGATTCGGTTCGATGAGATACGATTCGATTCACTTACATTTGTTGCATAAACACATTCATTTTCCATTCTAAATTAAAATCTGCTGCTGATGGAACTCATGAGCTGGATCTGTCTGAGCCGACTTCTCTCTGTGTGTGTGTGTGTGTGTGTGTGTGTGTGTGTATAAATTATGTACGTCTATGTTGTATGCACTATGTAGGCACCTGAGCTGAAGATAGACTAGGCATCTACCACCCCACTACCACTATCAGATTACGGGAGGCAATGTAGCCTATGTTCTTTGTACCCCCACTTTGGTTCTGAAACCACCATCACCCACTAATTAACTTGTCATTTTTGCAGATTAAGTGTTTTAGCTAGTAATGTATGAATATTTACCGTTTACAAAATAGCTATGACATAGCCAATGAATATATAGCACAATTTTGGATTACACCCCCCATCTCAAAATCGAATGGTCTTGACCATTTGGAGGTTTTTATGGAGTGATCTTCTCCTCTTGCTTCGGCCATGCAGTGTGCCTCGCAAAAGTGACTGGTGTCCTCATTATGAAATTATCAACTTTACCCTGTATATCTAAAAATGACCATATACATTGATTGTATAAAGCAAAAACTATTGCTGATGTTTGTAAGCACCGTTCAGCAGGTATACCCAGATGAGTTGTGTCTCCGGTAGCTTACTTTTATTCTGGTAAAACACAATTTTCAACAGTGCATTGATAACAATAACCTAGAAAACTACAAAGGTTGTCACTCAATTAATAAAGCCTAATATCACGGAAGGCAGATGTACCTCGCGTTGGTAAGCACGTAAAGCTGGGCACAGTTTGACTAGGCCACTGATATTGCCTGGGGTTGTTCGACATGCACATTTTATTTTACATTTTTTTACATGACTTGTAGATCAATTACTGTCAACACAGTTACATGCAGTTCAACACTGAAGGAGAGAGGACACATCAGTTGTCACAAAATATGAGGTAGAAAACAAATAATGTGTGAACCGGTGATTCGTAAAGTTTTAATTGATTTTCTGACTGATGCATGCTACATTTGGATCGGTTTGGGATCCGCGGGCCGATGCACTTGCATATTAAACATTTGAATTAGGGACCGATGTGTATAGTTGGCTAGCTACATCTGGCTAACATTTGTTAATTGGGAACAAATCCTCTTATTCAATAACTACCTGGTGAGTAGATAACCAACATTTAGGCAAAGAACGTAGCGACTGAGACTTGTCTGTGGGTGGTACCTTGGTTTCACATTCCTGGCCTGGCCAATTGGTTTACTGACAAATCTTTAACACAGTAGTACAAAGCACCAGCCAAAGGTGGAAGGTACATGAAATATAACCATTTGTGTGACATCTGTGTGTGGGTGTATGGTTTGCCAAGTGTTAGGACGGTGTGCTGTACAAGGCAGGACTCATTATGACAGTGTTGTGACTCACTCGGATGTTCTTTGAGCGTGTCTGCACAAGGCTGCCACTGCGTACCACAAACACAGGCGCCCCGTTCACCTCGTTGTCCGCCTTGTGCCTCAGCCAGTCCTCATAGCCCTGAGTGGTGGGGGGAGGGAAGGAAAGAAGGGATGAGATTAAACCATCTAGACATTCTGACATCTAGACAAAGTGTGTATGATAAGCAGCCATATTTAATTTGCTCGATCTACAGTTGATGTTGAAGAAAAAAAGAGGAATTAAAATATGTTAATACTCTCACCTGTTTGATGGCAGTTACTGTGATGACAAAGAACAGAGGAAGTCCACTGGTGACAGGGGAAGTGGGGGTATCTATCATTAGCTGGAAAATAAAGAGATAATGTCAAAGGAGACAACAGCTGGCAATAATGTGGTTTCCTCATATAACCTGAAAACACACTGGCCATTCATAAGCTGATGCCATCTTTATTGCAGAAAATGCATCATGAATAAGTATAACGAAGTAACAAATGTAGGATTGGACACAGTAGCAGCCACAGAATCTTCAGAATATCTGAAGAAACCAAAAAGTGTGGCCTCTGTGTAGCCTGATGCATACTGAAGGTTAGCTGCTAGGGACCTCCAGGCACAGTATGCTCAAGAGCACACAGCAATTATTGGTCACTGCCCACTGAATAGAACTGAGTCATGTCACGCATTGGCCAGCAACAGTTAGAAATTGGTAGACTGGGTGCTGAGGCAAGCCCTTACCTGGACCAGGAATATGATGAGAAAATAAAAATTGGCTATTCTTCTGAACTGTTCAAACAGATTCTTGGGAACAAAATTCCAAACGGTGTACTAAAGACGGGGGAGGGGAGAACAGGAACGTCAGAGTGTGAGTTGTTTGACACTGAAATAAAGTGGTTGAGTAACTTGAACATTTGTTGATGCTTTTGACTCAAAAGCTAGGGATTCAACACCTCTGCCTTACCTTGGATGATATGATTCTGTTGTCTGCAAACCGCTGAGGGACATAATGGCCATGTTGAGGGAAACGGTTTGCGATGTAAACCGTTCTGGTGTCACTTTGATGGGGAGGGTCAAAGCCCTGGAGGAAAGAGAGAGGAGGTCAAACTTCAACCACTCACTCAGAACCAATATGGACAACTTTTACCTAGAGACTGCCTGGCAGGAAAATGACAGCCCAATGCTTTTTGAAGAGCACTGTGTCTATAAGTCTATATTTAAGACATCTTGAATACAAACACTACTTTGCACTCTGATTATCTGTCAGAAACACACAGGCTAGATTATAGCCTGATTATAGTCTGTAGCCAGTGACCAAGCACTGTACTGAACAAAATATATTTGACTGAATTAGCATAATTCTACAGCTAAATCATTGAGAGCATCTTGACTGGCTGCATCAACTGCAAGGTACCCGACCACAAGGCGCTACAGGGTGTGGTGAGTATGGACCAGTACATCACTGGGGCCGAGCTCCCTGCCATCCAAGACCTCTACACCAGGCGGTGTCAGAGGGAGGCCCAAGAAATTGTCAAAGACTCCAGCCACCCAAGCCATGCTACCGCTCTGCTACCGCACAGCAAGCGGTACCTGTGCACCAAGTCTGGAACCAACAGGACCCTGAACAGCTTTTAAGACAACTAAAGAAGACTGCTAAATAGCTAATCAAATGGCTACCTGGACTACCTGCATTGACCCTTTTTTGCACTAACTCTCTTGCACACACACTGGACTCTACCCACACACTCACATCCCAACACACACTACATACATCCACACACACACACACTGATGCCACAAACACTCACTACATCCGCTGCTGCTACTGTCTATCTATCCTGTTATCTAGTCCCTTTAACCCTACCTTCAGTATATGTACCGTACAGTGAGGGAAAAAAGCTGATTTTGTACGTTTGCCCACTAACAAAAGACATGATCAGTCTATAATTTTAATGGTAGGTTTATTTGAACAGTGAGAGACAGAATAACAACAAAAAAATCCAGAAAAATGCATGTCAAAAATGTTATAAATTGATTAGCATTTTAAATGAGGGAAATAAGTATTTGACCCCTCTGCAAAACATGACTTCGTACTTGGTGGCAAAACCCTTGTTGGCAATCAGAGGTCAGACGTTTCTTGTAGTTGGCCACCAGGTTTGACACTTCTCTCGTGGGCTGGTCAATAACTTCCTTATTGCAGGGAACTGAAGACAAATTCTAGAATTCTAATCCTAGTCTAAATGAGTAGTGATAGGCTATCCGTATCTTAAAATACATTTCTGTACGCAATTTTCAAAAGAGTCAATTAATCTGGGCCACATGATGGGGATTAATAATGACGACAGTGTGTGTGTGTCCATTGCTCATGAGTAGTGAGAATGAGTGCTGTCAAAAAATGATTGAATTCAAATGGATTTACCCTGTTTTGATTTATTACAGCTCCTCACTCCATGTAGCTGGGCTCTGGATTTCCCTCAGGACATGGGAGTTGTAGGCTTTGTTAGAGCATGAAATAACTTGACAGTTATTGGCGTAGGAGGGGCACATCAGACCAGGTGACAAAAGCAATTTCGTCCAAGTATGTAGTAGTTTGTCAGAAAGGTAGAAGGCCAAACCAAACAATAGAAAATAATTCTCAGAACAAGGAGTTACTGTATGCAGATGTCTATCAATGAATTAGCTGTGTTGATGATTCACTCATTCCCTGGCCCAGACAGCCATATTGACACTGATACTGGTTACACAAGAATTTCCCAAGAACTCTGTCAAAATGCCTGCCTGTTGAAAATATAACTGTACTCTTTGTAACATTTTCGGCTCATCCACTCTGACATTCCCCACAGCAGCACATACAGTACATATAGCCTATGATTCAAACTAGTGACCACCGATGATGTTTGATCACCAAGGAGGACTAAGACTGTGCTTTTGAATGTGCTCGGGGGTTAGCAGAACAGGCAGATCATTAGATGAGAGATTTTGCCTGGGTGCAGTAAACATGGCCAAGATGGGGAGAGCGGTGTGTGAGAGTGTTGTGCAAACACAAAAGCCCATGGGAGAGCGGTGTGTGAGAGTGTTGTGCAAACACAAAAGCCCATTGAGGAGGGCGGGCTGTGACAGTAATTGAATGCATGTGTTGATGTCTGGCCTCAGTGACGTGGCCCACTCATTCTCACTACTCATGAGCAATGGACACACACACACACACACACACTGTCGTCATTATTATTCCCCATCATGTGGCCCAGATTAATTGACTCTTTTGAAAATTGCGTACAGAAATGTATTTTAAGATACGGATAGCCTATAGCATTCTAGGATTTGAATTTTAGAATTTTTATTCAGTTCCCTACAATAAGGAAGTTATTGACCAGCCCACGAGAGAAGTGTCATTGACTTGAATAGGCTAATTTCAAATAAAATCAATTCAAATTGCATTTGTCACATGCTTCTTAAGCAACAGGTGTAGCCTAACAGTGAAATGCTTACTTATGGGTCCTTTTCCAACAATGCAGAGTTAAGATAAGATATCAAATAAATAAATAAAATAGTGACACAAGGAATAAATACACAGTGAATAACAATATTGAGTAAAAGTAACATGGCTATATACAGGATTACCAGTACCGGGTCAATGTGCAGGGGTACAAGGTAATTGAAGTAGCTATGTACGGTACATATACTGTAGGTAGGGGTAAAGGGACTAGATAACAGGATAGATAATAAACAGTAGCATTAGTTTATACTGGATTAAGCGTACATTTTCGTTAACTGTAATTTCGTTAGTTATGCTCCAACATGCCATCCATCTTGTGCCAACATTAGTTCTTTTGAAGTCTTGGTTCAAATTGATGTCAGTTGGATAGGCTCTCTGCAAGGTTTTGTATATCTTACCTATCATATTAAAATCATTTTCTGACTTAAATAAGACTCCCTCAAGGGTGCTCTGATGTCGAAAATATTTCAAATCGAAATGTTGTGATATGTAACTTTTAAGTTGCACGTATTTGAAAATATTGCCTTTTAATTATGTCATGGAAATACATTTATTTCCTGTTACCAGGTCATTTACGGTTTCTATGCCTTTAGTTTTCCATGTGGACCAATTTATCTGTGAATTCTGAAAAGCTATCCAAGGATTGTTCCATAGGGTTGTGTTTTTAGGGAGTGATATTGATTCTTGTAGAATAGATTTAATTTTCTTCCATATTGTTAAAGTGTTTTTAACTATGAAGTTGTTAATGTTCTTAGCTTTATCCATTGAAAATATACACGTAAAAATATTCTGGGGATGAGCATGCATATCAAAAAATATGTACCCATTGTTCCTCTTTAGTGCATTTAACTATATGTCCCAAGTAAAAGCCTCGGGTAGCGAGTTGATACAATTCAAAGTCTGGAAGGTTAAAACTACCCTCAGATTCAGGAAGATGTGAAACTTTCCTTCTTACTCTATGAATTTTATTTGCCCATATTAAGTCTTATGACAGAGTTTTTTTAAAGAATGTCTTCGCTGGGGTAATTGGTATTACCGAAAATGAATACAAAAACTTTGGGAGCCATGCCATTCTGAAGAGGTTTATTCTACATGTAAGATTCATGGGAAGATAGTTCTATTTAATTAGATCTGCTTTTATATTGTTGAGTAATGGAATAAAGTTATCTTTATACAGTGAGGGAAAAAAGTATTTGATCCCCTGCTGATTTTGTACGTTTGCCCACTGACAAAGACATGATCAGTCTATAATTTTAATAGTAGGTTTATTTGAACAGTGAGAGACAGAATGACAACAAAAAAATCCAGAAAAACGCATGTCAAAAATGTTATAAATTGATATGCATTTTAATGAGGGAAATAAGTATTTGACCCCTCTGCAAAACATGACTTAGTACTTGGTGGCAAAACCTTTGTTGCCAATCACAGAGGTCAGACGTTTGTTGTAGTTGGCCACCAGGTTTGCACACATCTCAGGAGGGATTTTGTTCCACTCCTCTTTGCAGATCTTCTCCAAGTCATTAAGGTTTCGAGGCTGACGTTTGGCAACTCGAACCTTCAGCTCCCTCCACAGATTTTCTATGGGATTAAGGTCTGGAGACTGGCTAGGCCACTCCAGGACCTTAATGTGCTTCTTCTTGAGCCACTCCTTTGTTGCCTTGGCCGTGTGTTTTGGGTCATTGTCATGCTGGAATACCCATCCATGACCCATTTTCAATGCCCTGGCTGAGGGAAGGAGGTTCTCACCCAAGATTTTATGGTACATGGCCCCGTCCATCGTACCTTTGATGCAGTGAAGTTGTCCTGTCCCCTTAGCAGAAAAACACCCCCAAAGCATAATGTTTCCACCTCCATGTTTGACGGTGGGGATGGTGTTCTTGGGGTAATAGGCAGTATTCTTCCTCCTCCAAACACGGCGAGTTGAGTTGATGCCAAAGAGCTCGATTTTGGTCTTATCTGACCACAACACTTTCACCCAGTTCTCCTCTGAATCATTCAGATGTTCATTGGCAAACTTCAGACGGCCCTGTATATGTGCTTTCTTGAGCAGGGGGACCTTGCGGGCGCTGCAGGATTTCAGTCCTTCACGGCGTAGTGTGTTACCAATTGTTTTCTTGGTGACTATGGTCCCAGCTGCCTTGAGATCATTGACAAGATCCTCCCGTGTAGTTCTGGGCTGATTCCTCACCGTTCTCATGATCATTGCAACTCCACGAGGTGAGATCTTGCATGGAGCCCCAGGCCGAGGGAGATTGACAGTTCTTTTGTGTTTCTTCCATTTGCGAATAATCGCACCAACTGTTGTCACCTTCTCACCAAGCTGCTTGGCGATGGTCTTGTAGCCCATTCCAGCCTTGTGTAGGTCTACAATCTTGTCCCTGACGTCCTTGGAGAGCTCTTTGGTCTTGGCCATGGTGGAGAGTTTGGAATCTGATTGATTGATTGCTTCTGTGGACAGGTGTCTTTTATACAGGTAACAAACTGAGATTAGGAGCACTCCCTTTAAGAGTGTGCTCCTAATCTCAGCTCGTTACCTGTATAAAAGACACCTGGGAGCCAGAAATCTTTCTGATTGAGAGGGGGTCAAATACTTATTTCCCTCATTAAAATGCAAATCAATTGATAACATTTTCGACATGCGTTTTTCTGGATTTTTTTTGTTGTTATTCTGTCTCTCACTGTTCAAATAAACCTACCATTAAAATTATAGACTGATCATTTCTTTGTCAGTGGGCAAACGTACAAAATCAGCAGGGGATCAAATACTCTTTTCCCCTCACTGTATGCAGCATACGGCAGGCTAGCTAAATAGGATGACTAAAGACAGTACAGTATGGGGACCACATAACGTTAGATGGCCTGACTGGCTGACTGTTACTGCCTGAACAGATAAGAGATTATTACGTTAAGGAATGAAAAATAATAGTCATCAAATATAAACTAAGTAATATACACAACTGAAATATTGTACTATTTCATAGTAATTTTCTATTGTCTACCCAATGTGGACCTGACAGAGACATTGGAATATTTTCAATGTTTTGGCAATTGAATGTACACTATTTTTGGCTTTGGAATGTCCATGAAAAAGCTCTAAAATCATTGTAACGTCATTATTTCATATTTACATTTTTTTATCGAAACCGAAAACCGTGATTTAAAAAAAGTATCTAACCAAAACCGAACCGACCTCAAAAAGCACTAATCGCTCAGCACTACTGGCTAGGCTAGCTAGCAGGCTAAAATAACTGCATATACCAGTAAAATTATTTTATATACTAGTAACATTATTTTAGAACTGTTAGATGGCGTTATGTATTTCCAAAACGTTGGTTTACTTTAATGTAGCTGTAAGGTAGGTGTTGATAGCAACTGGCTGACTCACGCAGTGCTAACATAACTTTAGCAGGCTGGTAGGGCTAACGTTAGCAGGCTAATGTTAGCAGGCTAGTTGGCTAGCAACCTTGCAAGCTGATTTAAAACAAATTCATAAAGTATTTGCTTATAAGTTGCCTGAAACTTTTATTGAAACCAGTCATGAGTGCAAAAAATGTGGTTTAGTTGAAGTTCTACATTTAAAGTTATTTCTGTTTAAGTTTACATTATAGGGAATAGGCTGGCTTGCCGGGTCCTCCATATTACATCACATCCCGGAAAAAAACATTTTCCGACATGACTTAGGCATTATGATCGTTTTTATGTAATAACTTGAAAAATAGAAAAGGTGTAACTTTGCATTGGGACTTTTGATCCATATGTTACATGTGGTTATGTTTATGCAACCTACCCTTTAAATCAGGGGTGTAATCATTACTCCAAAGAGAAGCAAAATGTTCTGTTTTGCAAGCAAAACTAGCGTTTCTATTGGACAGATTCAGGTAGGTCCTTCCTGGTTTGCTGGCACCTGTCCAATAGAAACACTTGTTTCTGTTGCACAACAGAACATTTTGCAACTGTTTGGAGTAATGATTTGATTACACCCCTGGTAATACTTAATGAGCACAAAAAGGTGCTATTATTTATAGATTTTTATGATATTAGTGAAATCATGAAAATATGTTTGTCTTGCCTAATTAATGGTCTAACTAGGCAATATAAGAGATTCTCCAGTACTTTTGTATACTTTTTAGCTAGTAGTTCTGAAAGCAGCGCTCTAGGCTAGAACCATGGTTTAGCCGGAGGACAGCTATTTCCCGTCCTCCTATGGCTACATTGACTTCAATACAAAACCCAGGAGGCTAATAGGCCTTACCCCCTTCCATAGACCTACATGGTAATTATGACCAGTACCAGAGGACGTCATCCAACCAATCAAAGCTTTTGCAATATGAACTGACATGTTGTCCATCCAATCATAGGATTAGGATCAGAGAACAAACCTAGGGTGGTGTATTGGGGTTGTGCCACAGAGCATTATGGGGGTTCTGTGTGTTGAGAAGCTTGGTGAGTTGGTGACAATAAATAGAGATTGAGAGTGAAAAGTGATAGTTGAGCATTTTTAGGATATTATTCAATTCAAAATAGTTTATTTCAACTACAGGAGACGGAGGTAGATTATATATTGTTTTTCTTGGTTTTAGAACTTTATTTTTGTGTGGAGTTAGTGCAATTTATTTCAATTTGCCTTCCTCTTTAGTAGCAAGTAGCTAGCTAACGTTAGCTAGCTACCAGAGTGCAGTTTTCTCAGCCAGAATGGCTCGCTAATGCTAACAACAAAGTAGTGGATT